TGAATTTGGCTTATTTTCCTGACAGCTTTGGTTGCTCTTGGTGGCTTACATTGTCAGTAGTAAGGTTTTAAGGAGAAGTTTGTTTTATAATGAATTACCTTGTGTATTAAACTGTACCTAGTTGTCCAGCGGCACGAATAGAAGTGTGGGTATGCACAGGCACATATGTGGGAATGTAGGGCATTGGTGTGTTGAAATTGACTGCCACACTTGACAACAGTAACGTGTTTTGATGGTATATCAAATGTCAGACTTACTACACATATCAAACTCTGAGTCTTAGGTGTCACCCACTGACTTCTGAGCACAATACTCTTTTGCCGAAACCAAGACTATAACAATAATAATAATCCTTGCATTTGATACAGCGCCTTATCACGTCTTCGAGACATGTCAAAGCGCTTCACAGAATATACTCTAAAGTGAATTGACTGTATAATTTGTAGGCGAAACACTCAGGCCAATTACGCACAGTCGTGTCCCACAAACAGACGTGATTGAGTGACTAAATTATTCTTACTATATACAGGAGAAAGACTTGAACCAAGTCAGGTGGAGAGAATCCATTGTCCACTCTTAACATGGCTAACATCTCAGGACAGGAAATCTGATTTACAATGGAAAAATAAATATTATGCTATAAAAGATTACAAAATACAGTACAGAGAATTAGGATCAATCGTAAGGAGAGTGTTGATCTTGCTTTTGTCCAGGATCTTATCTCTGTGGTTCAGGGCAAGGATAACAAGTGTAAGTCAAGGTGCTAACATCTCTCTGCACCCTCTGACATTATAAGAATATAAGAAATGCTAGATGAAGAAAGACTAAAGTCCATCTAGTTCACCTTCCACCCTCCTGGCGGTCGCATGCATATATGTCCCAAACTATCTATGTACTATATCCCATAATGTTATTTCCTAAAAGAAAACTATCTAATCAACATTTCCTGCTTCAACCATCTCCTTAGGGAACCTGTTCAACAGGTTCATTATTCACTCACTGAAATAGTGTTTGCGTAGATTCGTTCTGAATTTACTCCCCTTCAATCGCAGGCCATGTCCTCTGGTTTTACTATACTGGACAAGTTGAAACAGCCTAGCATGATCTATAATGTCTAGCCCCTTTAGAATCTTAAAGACAGCAATCATGTCGCTTTTCAATCTTCTCGTTTCCAGCATAAACATGTCTAATTTACTTAGTCGCCCCTCATTGTCCAATCCCTCCATTCCCTCGATCATTTTGTTTGCCCAAAAATGGTTGCTTAAAAACATCATTGTTGGTAGAATTGTATGAGAGTCGCAATCTCTTCATAGTGGTTTTATTTCCCTTCTCACGAAAGATTGCTGATAGAGATCTGGTAGCTGACCAGATCACCTCCCAGACCTGATCTGTATATTCATCACTGTCCTCAAAGGCCCATGTTTCATGCTGTGGCAGCATTTTATGTCTTTTGTGACTGATTTCTGAGAAGACAACAACACTCCCACCACAAATAAATTTGCAATGAAAGCAACATTGTGGTCTGTAAGTTGCACACAATCGGAACTTGAACTTGTGTAGTCTATGCTAACACTCCAATGCAGTCCACAAATTTGTCATCTCTTGCCTCAATTATTCCATTACCCTCCGTGCCAGTCTCCCCAGCTCCACCATTCACAAAATCCATCAAATCCAAAACTCCACCGCCCATATCCTCACCCGCACCAAGCTCCATACCCCATCACTCCAGTCCTTGCCAGACTCCATTGGCTCCTTATCACAAATTGGATCGATTTCAAGATCATCAAACTCATCTTCAAATCCCTTCAAGCCCTGGGACCCTCCTACATCTCTGCTTATACCGCACTCCACTAACTGCGTAGAACTGCGTAGTTCACTCAGCTAGCTCTGGCCTCCTGCACGTCCCTCATCCCCTCTCCTCCACCATCGGCCGTGTCTTCAGCGATTATGCCCTGAAACTACGTAACTCTCTGCCTGAATCCCTCCGCCTTGTCTCCTCCTTCCCCGTCTTCAAATCACACCTGAAGACCTTCATCTTTTATCTGTGCCTACGGTCACTTCCCTCTCTTGGTGTAAAGCTCTGCCACTGTTAATAGCTTGGAGATGCTACCCCATGAAGTAAAGGACGCTATACAAATGCAAGTTGTTTGTTATTATTGCAGCAGCAGCAGCAGCAGCAGTTCTGGGGGTGGCTGCATTGTTGGAGGTGCTGTCCTTTTAGATGAGACATAAATCTAAGATCCTGTCTGCCTGTTCAGATGGTCATTAAAGATCCCATGGCACTATTCAAAAGCAGAGGGAGTTTATCCCAGGGTCCTGGCCAACTGTCCCCTAAATAAAATTGATCATTCACTTCATGACTATTTGTGGGACATGATATGTGCAAATAGGAGTTTCACCAACAAAATACAGTCACGACACTTCACAATATATCCTGTGAATTTCTTTGACATGTCCTCCTGATGTGGAACATGCTATTTCAAATGCAATTATTATGAATACTCTGCGTGGACAGTTACAGATTGAAAATATAGCATAAAGTCTAGCCTTGTTGAAGTCAAAACAACACCAACAAATTACATTTGTATAGAGTCTTTCACATCGGGAAGACAATGATAAGGCATCTCTATCACAATAAAGACTCCTTATCAATGTACACTTCAATATACAATTAAGCAGCATTATACAGACTGTTGCAGCATGAAACAAGCCATTTGACTGAACTTGTGCTTGCTGGTGTTTGTACTTCACACGAGTCCACATTGCAAAGTATCTTGATGCAGTGATAGGGGGACAATCGGTGTGTGTTCTGGAGGGATGAGATCGAATGGACCAAAGGGACTTCTTCATCCAGACCAATTTTATGAATCTTGTGAGTCTCCATCCCTCCTAATCCCCTCTCCAATATTCCTCTGTTGCTTCATTTCATGCTCCATGATTGTGGAGTCCTTTAGCTCAGTGGTTAGAGCACTCGCTTTGCAAGCAAGAGACCTGAGTTCAATTCCAGGCAGGGCGAAACCTTGGGCAAGTTTCCTTACTCCACACGCCTAGTAATAATCCCTCCAAAACCAAAAACAATAATAAATTGGTGATTTTCAATCTACGACTGTTTGTGGGACATTGCTGTGCGCAATTGGCTGCCGCGTTCGCCCACAAATATACAGTCAATTCACTTTACAGTGTGTTCTGTGAAGCGCTTTGGGACGTCCTCCCGACGTGAAAAGTGCTATATCAAATGCAAGGATTATTATTATTATAACTATCAAATATTGAGGGATATTGTAAAAGTGCGAACCATTGGGATTAAAAGATGTAACAAGATAGAGATGTTTAAGATTCTGAAAGGATTCAATGAGGTGGACATTAATAGGCTGTTTCCACTTATTTCAAAACCAGGGGGTGTAGACAGTATTAGGTCTAATAGGGAGTTAAAGAGGAACTTTCTTTACCCAGAGGGTGATGAGAATTTGGAAACACTACTGGAAGCTATGGTTAAAACAAAAATCTCAGTGTAGTTGAGAGGAAACTCGTGCATACATGAAGGAGAAGTGAATAGAGGGGTGCAGGGGAGTAGATTAGGAGGGACGGAGATTTGTGTGGTATATAAAACACCAGCACAAATGAGTTGGGCTGAATTGCCTATTTAACGCGTTACAGTGTTCTATGTAATTCTATGTAAGATCTGACAAGCTGGTGGAACAGGTTCAATGGGCTAATTGGTCTCATGTTCATGTTCTCCTATATTCCTAGGTCAGTCACATGTATTTCGTTAATTTCATTTCACATCTCAGATGGACTCCATTAATACAACTACATGTAAAAGGAACATACCAATGATGGAACTAAAATTAGAAAATGCTGGAAATCTAAATTAGGTTAATCAGGATCTAATAGAGAAACATAGACAAAGCTTTTGAGTATGTTACGTCATATTTAGGAATCAACCTTTGTTATTTTGCGAAGAATATCCCCATAAAATAGTAGTTGTTTATTAAATTGAAATGTTAATTCATAATGCACTGATATGCATTACAATTTGAAGCGAAACAGGCAGATATCTGACTTAAACCCTTATGTGATAAGTGCTTCAGATGGAGGAGGACAAATCCGGTCCAGGTAAAGACCAGTTGCAAAATGCTGATATCTCATGGCCAGCGGTAATGAGAGAATTGAAGGCAGAATGGACATCAGTACAGAGTGTGTCTTGTGTTTGTTTGTTTGTGAGTGGGATTTTTCTGTGTTTGTATTTTTTATATGTAAATAATTATAATCCTTGCATTTAGTATATTCACGTTGGGAAGATGTTCCCAAGTGCTTCTTCACAGGATATATTTATAAACTGCTATGTCTGTGTGTTTTGTGGGTGAATTCGGCAGCAAATTTGCACACAACAATGTCCCACAAACAACCATGAAATGAATGACTAATTTTCATTTGAGCGGTAATTGGCCAGGACACAGGAAGAAACTCTTTACGAATCTTGGTCGGCCATCTGAACAGGCACTCAGGGCCTCAGTTTTAATGTCTCATCTGAAGGAGAGCACCTCCAACAATGCAGCACAGCTTCGACTATATGAGTTCAAAGTCCTGATGTGGGACTCGGAGGCGAGAGTACTAACAACTGAGCCAGGCTGACACAGAAGTGCTGTGTTTGTGTGTATGCTGTTGGTGTGTGCGTGTGTGTGCGCGCGCGCAGTGATAGCTAAGAGGTGAAGCACATTCTGTGGAGTGTTTTGCTTTTACTCAGTTGGTGATGTTTGTTTTGATTCAATGTGTGAATAAAACACTTCTTTGAATTCACAAAAGTGAGTTTGTTTTTCAATTTGTGGCCACAAGCACCACTGCTGCTCAGACTTTGGTGAAGTAAGTACAATACTCTTGGTATCTAATCCCTGCAATTCTGCAATGAACAGTTCTGGGTTTTTGAAATGGATGTATTACTTATATAAAGAATGTGTGTTCTGTTATGGGCTAAACTCAGTTCTGTTTCCTTCATTTAGGAATTAGTGAGCGAACAAGATTTAGTTGTGAAGCTCGCAATGAAAAAGGAGTGGCCGTTTCAAAGGAAATACAAGTTAACATCAAGGGTAAGTGCTGTGAAGTGTTTACACTGTTGTGGTCTAAGCACAGAAAAATTTATGCTTTGAACAGATAAATATTTAAAGATGTTCTCAGATACCATACAAAAATACCCTGCAGCATCTCTAGACAAAGCGAGTATCTATATTTATTACAGAGTAATGGATATGTAGGTGAGATTATGAGGCAGTAACATTTTAAAGAAAGGACGGATGATATCCAAGCAGTGAAGATGAATGGTTTATAACGTTATGTGATATTGCTGCCTGAAATCCCTCTTAAATCGACATTACTTCTGCCGCTTCTTTCAAAAAGTTTTTTTTTGCATTGGTGGAAGTAATGGCATCTGTGAATGTGGACCTTGACTGTCTGTAGTCTGTGTTGCTGGGTAGGTTTTAACACTGAGGTTAAAGGTGGTGTTAAATTGCAGCAATATTTACTGAGAAATGCCATTGAAAGTCAGAGTTATTAGGTATTATGTAGAAATTGCAAGAAGGGTTCAGCCTATTTCACAAGAACATAAGGTAAGATTAAGAACACAAGATCTGAGCTCATCCCTTCAGAATACCTATCCTATCATCCTCAGAGTGCTTCACACGATTTACTGTGAAATGAAGTGACTGTGTGTTTGTAATCTAAAGTGGCAGCACAATTGCACACAGCAATTTAATATGAAATGAATGACCAATTTTATTCCAGAGATTTTTGGCCAGGACACCAGGAGAAACTCCATTCTCTCTTCAAGTGGTGCCATTGAATCCACCTGAATAGGCAAACGGGACCTCGGTTTAACGTGCATCTGATGGATAGCACATCTGACAATCCAACACACCCAGTGCTGCTTTGGAATGTAAGCTTAGACTGTGTGAGTTTATGTCCCGATGTGGAGTTTAAACCCACAACCTTCTGACTCAGAGGTGAGACTGCTCCCACTGAGCCAAGCTCTCACATATACTATCAGAAGGAGTTCCTAATTACAGGAGAACATGTCATATTTGTTTAACCAATATTTAATATATTTGTTTCATCTTAATTAGAGGCTCCATTAGCACCAATTGAACTACAGGTTAAGAATCAAACCGCCAATGTTATCACGATTTCCTGGGCATCAGGTTTTGATGGATATTCCCCTCTTAGCATTTGCCAAGTCCAAGTAAGTCCTATTTGTCTTACGGAGAGTTTTCATTCACAAATATTGAGCAGATATTGAGAAATGCCTTCAGCTGAGTCAAGCTCCCTGTATGTTGAGTGAGTCCTGTTGCATATCTTAGCAGCTTGCCTGTGGGCTGCAAGGGAATGACTGACTTTGTAATATGTCCAACACAAATGTAAAGTAATTACAAGCATCGCACCATTGGTCAGCACTGAACGAGTAGTTCATTTTTTCTGAACCCGTGCCAACTTAGGCATCAGGTTCGATCCCCAGTTATCCTTCCTCCCTCATCAGCATCCTGACCCTGACCAGCACAGCTTTCTTCCACCTCCGCCACATTGTCCGTCTCCGACAATACCTCACCCCAAAAGCTGCCGAAACCCTTGTCCATGCCTTTGTCATCTATCAGCTGGACTACTCTAACGCCCTCCTCCCTGGTCTCCCCTCCTCCACTATTCACAAAATTCAGCTCATTCAAAACTCCGCATTCTCACCCGCACCAAGCTCCGCACCCCGATTACCCCAGTCCTTGCCAAACTCCACTGGCTCCTTGTCACAGAGTGTATTGACTTCAAGATCCTCACTCTAGTGTTTAAATCCTTCTATTCTTTGGGACCCCCCATCTCTCTAACCTCCTCTCTCCCCACAGCAGTACCCGCTGCCTCCCTTCTATTGGGTCCGTGTTCCCTCCGTGTTCCCCAAATCCTTCGCTACACCACCAGCGGCCATGCCTTCAGTCACTACGCCCCGTAACTTTGGAACTCTCTCCCTCAACCCCTTCGCCTCGCCCCCTCCTTCCCTATCTTCAGGTCGCGCCTGACGACCTTTCTTTTAGACCGCGCCTACGGTCACCTTCCCCCTCCACCTGGCTCAGCCTTGGGCTCCGCCATTGCTAAGTGCTCTGAGATGTCGACTGGCGTGGAGGGCGCTATATAACTATATAATTGCAAGATGTTGTCTTGTTGACTTTCATTGTATGTGAACAGACTGCGCCCAGTTTCTCAAACACTTCTGAAGTCTATTTTATGTGGTGATTCTGACACTGAGTGGAGTTACCTACTGTAGACATGAAGGAACTATTTGTTATTTGTTATGTTGTGTTAAGCTCTGAATCTCTTATACAGACTTTTGACTTAACTAACAAAATATTTATTTGGTCTAGTGCCCACTCTACATGCAGAGCAATCTGATTACAAATACTATATTCCAAACATACCCATGGCTCTACATTGATCGTCATTCAATGGGGTCTAATGTGCAAGACTCACAGAAGGATTTGTTCATGGCAGATCCTGCAGGTATCTGGATATGTTTCCAGCTGATCCCCTGGAACTCTACTCAGATGTTGATTGACACTGATCTGCTAGAATGCCAGAAGCCTGCAGGATCCGCTATTTACCAATCCCTTTGCAAACATTACAAATTGGACCCTAATAGTCGATGCTGCAACTCTGGTGTGCTGATTGTATGTGGGAGAGACACAGAGGTTGCCTATTTTAAAAGCTGAAAATACAACTTTGGTGCCTAAACTGTTAATTTACCACCGACGGCATAGCGCCTTGATGTGTGGACTCATAATAGACGCTTTCACAGGCATGCTCCATGTAATTGTTACTGTCAACATTTCTTCCTGCATAGAATTAAATCTATATCTGCTCTGTAAAACAATGGAAATGGGAAACATGAAGCAAGCTTGTAAAATGCTTGCAGGCTGTTATGTTATGCTGTGTTTTGTTGATGGGATTGTGAGTTGAAGTGATTTCTTTACTGCGATGCATTGACATTTTCGTTTTTTTGGATGTCTTGTTTTTCGTCTTAGGTTGAGAAAATTACAGGCAAAAACGATGGGGAAGGATCAGCGAACAACTATTCTGTTACTGTACCACCATACGAATACAGCATTGCTCACTTACAGGCTTTGACTTCTTACAACATTTGTGTTTCTTGTAAGAACGAAGTAGGATGGTCCGACTACTGCTCTCGGGTCCAGGCCAGCACAACAGAAGGAGGTGGAGCTGCGCTTTATGTATTTTTTCTGTGTTGTGGTGTTGTATTAATCAGTAATGGAAGCGGGACAGATAACTACTGACCAGCTATTACGGTGAATGTTATGTGCCTAAATATTATTGCTGATATTGTTCAGTATGACCCCTCCAATGTCTGCGACTTTATAAAGCGGACGACTAAAGTCTCATGTCAGAGTGGACGACTAAAGAGGATAGTCACTAGTTGGTCGCTCGACATCCGACAAGGGAGCATTTTAGCCTTCACTATGTAGATGGCAGGTACCAGGAACTCCCTGCGAGCTTCCCAGTGAACAAAACTTTTCAGCATGAATTGCATGGGAGCATTGCTACCATCTTCCTGTCCACAGCTCAGGCACACATCCCTTCCCATTGGACATTGAGCATTCCACAGATGATCCAGAGAATGGAATCACAACAGTTAAGATAGGGAAGTGAGGAAGTACTAAATAAATTAGACAAACATAAAGAGGAACAACCACCAGGTCCAAATGGACTGCAACTTATGGTGGTTTAGGAGGAGATAACTGAGGGGAATGAGTCTTTGTATTTAATAACTCTGTAGAGAAAGGAATCAAGGCAGAAGGACTGGAGGGTGGTCAGTGTTATTCCCATTCTTAAAAAATGAGATGGAGCTAATAAGATGGAGCAAATCCAGGAATTACATGACAGTTAGCTTAATGTCTGTGGTGGGCAAGGTATTTTAATCTGTAATAAAATTGAAATAACTAAACATCTCGCAGGAGAGTAAAATGGATTTGTGCAAAGAAGATCATGCTTGGACATAAATAGACTATTTCCGTTTGCTGGTGAGTCCATAACAATATGATAGCTGGCATCCGATCTAAAAGCACAACAAATTTCATTTATGTATCTCCTTTCATGTCAGGAGGATGTCCCAAGGCACTGGATTAAAAAAAGGAGTTTAGGAGGAACTTTTTTACACAGAGGGTGATAAGAATTGGAGGAACTGACACCTGGAAGCTGGGTTGAAGCAAAACGCATCAATGTATTTAAGTGGCAATACGATATGTATGTGATGGGGAAGGAAATAGAGGGATATGGGAAGGGGTTAGGGAGACGAGATTAGGAATGGTGGAGGCTCATGTGGAGTATAAACACCAACACAGAGTAATTGGGCCAGTGGCCTGTTTCGGTGCTGTACAGTCCATGTGATTTTTATGTAATTATTTTCTCAGCAGAATTGCATCTGTAAGGTGATGAGTGAGGTGAGGTTTGCAAATTGCTGGGTGGGGTTGGCAGAGAAATCCTATGCACGTGCCCTTTATGGATGGGAGAGACAACGCTATGTAGTTGTAGACAGATTGCCCAAATGTACATCTCACATCAGGCAGACCGTTGGTGGCAACCTGCCACCTCTCTGTTTGATGAAGCTCCTCTCCCACGTGCCGCAGCAATTGCACACGGCACTATTTGTTTTTCAGGAACATAAAGGAGTTGAACAAAGTTGGTGGCTGTTGTTATGAACTTAAACTTGCAAGTAATTACTCATGGTTTTTCCTTTCCTTTCCAGTCCCAATGGCCCCACCTCAGAATGTCAGTGTGCTGGTGAATGACTCCTGCTTGACCATTCAATGGATTGGACCTCCGGATGAGGAAGTTAATGGCATCCTGTTGGGCTACAAGTTAAACTATCGATGGGAAGGTGGCATTTCCCCTGTAAGTAAAACAATTAAAGGGAGTATTTTAAATGAAATCAAACGAGCCCGACCTCCCATGCTATCGTGCTGCTAGTGAACAAATGACATTAAGTTGTCCCTGGGTTGTTTTGATCAGCTCACTTTATAGAACAGCCAATGGCTGATTAATCTGAACACAACAACCGTGCGTTTATGTGGATTATCTTGGCAGCTCTCTGTTACGACGGATACAGTATTTGTTGTCTACATACAATTTACCTTACATTTCATTGTGCATTTTTTTCAAACTCTTTCTCTGAGATGAAGTTTTTCACGACTGTGGAAAATCGGAAATTAATATAGAGTTGAAGGATTTCAATTTCAAAAATTCTGCACAATCTTAAATTTTAAGCTATAAAAATATACCGTTCAATATAAGAGAGACTTCTTGTAAAATGTTACGACACATGTCAAGGTTTCTGTGTTTTTGTGCATTCATTCTATGATGCCACCTCTCCCAGAGCTTCATTGGATGTACTACTGTATTTTGTTTTAGAAATATTGCTCCGGGCGTGAGACAAAATCCTAATTAAGGCTGAGGACTGAACAGTTTCTCTCAACAATTGCTGCTCTATTTTGTATTGTGTAGAAACCAGTTACACTTCATAATCTATTTAGCAGATACTGTAACATTCCCAGCATTTGAAAAAGAAAGCTGTCACTTCAAAAAGCCCATTAAGTTTGTCAATTTTTCAGTTTGTACTAAAAATTAATTGGTCTTTGAACAAACTTGCTGAACATAGTTGCTAAAATAGCGTTATTGACATTCAGTGCAAAGCTTCCTCTATGTTTATTTTAAGATGGGCTATGCTGCTTTTGTCTTATTCCCTCTCTCCCCCCACCCCCAACAAAAACCAAATGGAGTGTTAACACTCGCCACCCAGACTTGATCCTGAATCATGGCCACAGTCTAGGTTGACACTCCAGTGCAGTGATGGGGTCTCGATGTGTTTTTCGAGCTGCCCATTTGAGATGTTAAACTGAGGTCCCTGTTCGCTGCACTTTAAAGATCCCATGACCCTAATGGAAGGAGGAATTAGATTATCTCATGTCTTGGCCAGTGATCCCCAAGAGAATATTGGTCATTCACTTCATAGATATTTGTGGGGCATTGCTGTGTATAAATTGGCTGCTGTGTTTGCCTACAAAATGCACAGTCACTGTACTTTACACTATGTCCTTTGAAGTGCTTTGAAACTTCCTCCCACCATGAAAGGTATTCTATCAAATGTAAGGATTATTACTTTGTAAGGATACTAGAGAGTGCCTGTGGAATGTAAAAGGTGAAAAGGCATCAGATGTCTTCAAGAAATGAGAGGGGGAGGGGACGAGGGAAAAATCGGTCTGGTACATAAGTGAACCTCCCCTGAAATTGTATAGAGCATTTCTAATGGAATAATTGTGTGGGCTGTTCTTTCAGTTCCCAGTTCATTTCTAAATCTGTCGATGTAATCTCTATGGCTAGGAAAACAAACGCGTATTCAGCACTTACACCAGCAATAGGACAGAACATTGCATGTTTCCTCTTTTCTTCCTCTCGTGTTGTAAAGGATGTCATTACCAAACAGTGTATGTAGTTTGGAAGTTGCAGACTGAAACAGAAACCCTACTTGTGTTTTGAGTGGAAAACATGTCAAATCATTTAAAAAGTTTGTATAATCAGTTTTTCTAGTGGGCTGAGATGTTAAACCAAAGTCATGAGGTGATGCCTGTTCAGGTTTCTTGTTAAAGATTCCATGGCGTGAACCGAAAAGAAAAGGGAGTTTCTCTCATTGGCCTGGCCGACAATCACCAGATGGTCATTTATTTCTGTTGGTGAGACATTGCTTTGCACAAATTGGCTGCCACTACGCCTATAAGATAAATAGTCACTACACTTTACAGAGTATATCGCGTAAAGCACTTTGAGACATCCTGTTGTGATAGGCACTATATCACACATAAGTAATATGATTAATAAACCTTCCAGTGGTTTAGTGAAGTAAGGGCCTGGAACTTCATGTTGGATGTGACAGCGGGTTATTTTGGTCTGTTGCAAATTTTTTTCCAACATATTTGTGCGCAGCAAACGCGTAGGGATGCAATTAGTTCATGGCTTCATCAATGAAATCTGTTGTAAAAAGAACCTTTCTTTCAGAGTTCGTTTCAATCCTGGAAATAATTAATAGGGAGTATTTTGAAAAAAAATGTGTAGCAAGTTTTAATATAAAAGTGCTTGCATTTTTATAGCGCTGATAGTGTCTTAATGCTCTTCTCAGTAATTACTGTAAATTGTAGTACCTGTTCTCTGTAGACAAGCATGGCAGCCATTTTGCCCACATCAATCTCCCACGCAAATATGACCAATTAATCTGAAGGATTGCTGGCCAGGACATCAGCAGAAACTTCTCTTTGAGTTGTGTCATGGGATCTTAATACCTGAAGAGCACATGGGCAGAACCTCAATCTAATTTTTTATCAAGAGAAACTGCACCCCTTACATTGGCAACTAAAGAATAATGTGGACTTTGCATTGTCTGAAACTACCTATTCAGCATTTTTTATGTGTGTGTGTACATATATATATGTATGGGCACATTTAATTTTAGAACTAATTTCAAAGCGGTCAAATGGAAAAAAAATACTTCTGCTTATATCTGCTCACCATATTATTTATTAATGGAAAACTAGGGTGAAATGTTATTGTGTAACCAGCCTCCCTCCCACCTCTCTGCCTTCCCTCATCCCTACACTACCCCTCCCCCATGCTCGGGCCCCGATAGCTGACTGTTCAGCGCTTTGGCACGTCCTCCCAACGTTAAGGGCGCTCTATAAATGTAATTTTGTTGTTTTTTTGTTGTGACTATCCTCTTCAAGGGATATAAACGTGGTCTCTCTGGGTCCAGCTGATTCCACTGTGACTCTGCTGATGAAGGAGTTTAGAGTTGAATTTCCTCTTTGCTGTGAACACAGTGATCTGATATCTGACCTGGGCATTCCTGTTAATGAGGGGCTAGTCTGGCCGGGTTATCAATGCATCCCACTGTTAGCAGTTGTGTCTGGTTAAATTGCAGCACTTTTCCAATGGGCACTGTGACGTACTGCATGCGTGGGTCCATAGGAGACATACAAAGTGATCCACCATAGAACTGCAAATAGAATATGGGATGAAAAATGCAACATGATCCAATGAAACATCACATTTTTTGATCTATTCCTAAAGTCTGTAAGCTATGCGGTTTAAGCTGGTTAGACTCCCACAGTACCCCAACACATACTCTAGGGTCCCCAACCCTAGGCTTGTGCCATCCTGGGGCTATTACTCTCAGGAATTAAGTAAGCAGGATGCGTTGTCCCTCTAGGGAGAGAGTGTGAGTTGCATTCCAACAATCTATCTGGGATTTCCGTGCGTTGATTACCTGCATGGCTTCTCCTCCACCCCCCGCACTGTCTCATGTGGTGTCCCTCAGGGCTCTGTCCTTGGTCCCCTCCTCTTCACCCTCTATATGCTCCCCCTTGGTGACATCATCCGCAGACATGGGGTTAACTTCCACATGTATGCGGATGACACCCAACTCTACCTTTCCTCCTCTACTCTCAACTCCACGACCACCGATGTCCTGACAGCCTGCCTGTCCGACATCGAGTCCTGGACGAGAGACAACTTTCTTCAGCTCAACGTGCGAAAAACCGAGGCCCTCCTGATTGGCTCACGTCAGCGCCTCCGCACCTCAGGCGCTGACACCATCAGCATCCAAGGCTGCACTCTCCACCTCTCAAAGCCAGTCAGGAACCTCGGCGTTTTGTTCGACCCTGAGCTGTCCTTTCTCCCTCACATCCGCACCACAACTGGCACCGCCTTCCATCACCTCCGGAACATCGCCAGACTACGGCACTACCTCACCCCTCACGCTGCTGAAACCCTGGTTCACGCCTTTGTCACCTCAAGGCTGGACTATGGGAACTCTCTCCTCGCCGGCCTTCCCGCCACCTCCCTCCACAAGCTGCAGGTCATTCAGAACTCTGCAGCTCGTGTACTGTCCCGCACCAGGCTTCGGGACCACATCACTCCCACCCTCGCTCGCCTCCACTGGCTCCCCATCCCCCAGAGGATTGATTTCAAGATCCTCATCCTCACCTACAAGGCCATTCACGGCCTTGCTCCCTCCTACCTCTCCAACCTACTATTCCCCTACCTACCTGCCCGTACCCTCCGTTCCTCTGGCTCCGGTCTGCTCCACGTCCCCCGCCCCCAACGCCCTACCATCGGTGGTCGGGCCTTCAGCCTCTCAGCCCCGAGGCTCTGGAACTCCATCCCCCAGTGCCTTCGCCGCTTCCTCCCTTTCCTCCTTCAAGGCCGGTCTCAAAACCTTTCTCTTTGACCGTGCCTTCAGCTCCCCTCTCGACTCTCTTCCCCCTCCTCGCTCCCTCCCTTCCCTCCCCTCACCCTGACCATTTCCCCCCTGCTCGGGTCATGATCCAACTGTGCAGCGCCTTGGGACGTCCTCCTGACGTGAAAGGCGCTTTATAAATGGAATCTTGTTGTTGTTGTTGTTGTTGCATGGAAATCTCAGTTTGGATACTCTTAAGCATAGTGATGGGTTTCCGCATGTGTCAGACACTCGGCTAACCAAAAAAAAAATCCCAAAGTCTGACCATGGATGTGAACCCAATTTCCCCCCCCCAAATTGACACAATGATTCTGCCCAAGTTAGTTCCAAAATTGTAACCACTAACACTTTGGATTTCCGTTTACAACCCACACTGTTCCTCCTGACCCTGGGCTGGCATTTTGCTCTGAGACACTGTCTTGCATTAAGGGCTCTATATAAATGCAAGTTGTATCAATGTTGATTTGCGGGATACTGAATGAGTTGAGTTAAGCCGGTTCCATGAAGATGTGTTAAAACTCCATGATCAACAATCAGGGACAATGTTGGCAGCTGAAATGTCTGGCCAACCATTTGTAGGAGAGATAAAAGTTTCCAGTCGTTAGGAATACATAGAAAAATGTAATGTTTTATTTCTGATTCGATGTCACGTTGAATCTGTTTTGAAACATCACATTTTCCACACTTACTGTTTCTGTGAATTACTAGCAGTCAGAAATTGGAGACCTTTAAGAAAAGCGAGATGCAATGGTAGCACTCTCGCCTCTGAGTCAGAAAGTTGTGGATTCACAACTAAGCTGACACTCCAATGCAGTGCTGGGAGAGTGTTGCATTGTCAGAGGTGCCGTCGTTCGGGTGAGATGTTAAGCCAAGGTTTCATCTGCCTGTTCAAGTGGATGTTAAAGATCCCATGGCACTATTCAAAAAGAGAAGGCAGTTTCTCCTGGTACCTGACCAACAATTCTTCAAATAAAATTGGTCGCTCGCTCATTCCAAGGCTACTTGTGGGATACTGCAGTGCGTAGACTGGCTGCCATGTTTCGCCCATAAAAATACACTGTCAATCCAATTTACAGTATATTCTATGAAGCGTTTTGAGACGTCTTGACAACGTGATAAGGCACTACATCAAATCCAAGAATTATTATTGTATCTGAGTGTGTCAGATTCTCAGATGACCAAACAAAATGCATACGTGCAAAGCAAAACTCTGTGTACGTTTCCCGGTACAAACCAAGTTAATTACTGTTGAACGTCAACTGTGTGGATGGGGTAACTCCACTTGCTCCATGTAGAAATAAACTGATCAGATTAAGGCACCAGGACTCCATGTGGATCATATGATGATCTCAGGTTGTTGAACGGTTTGAAGTATCTCTCTTCTTTTCTCGCCACCCTGCCTCAGCACGCACCCAGGCAGCTGAGATTCGTTGCCGGTGAATGTGGTTGAATTCAATGTTTTCAGCAGTAGGAATTAACATTGGGATTAATTGCCAGAATTGTTTTTAAGTGTGTAATCTTCTCCAGAATTTGCGCCTGTGTGTGTCTATGTGTCTGTGTGTACATGAGACATTCAGTGAGTTTGCACAGTAAGCGGTGTTGATGTACTCTTATAATTAATTCTGGTTTGGCCAATGCTGCTTTCGTTAAAGAAGGTTTATTGTGTCGGTGAAGGGATAGCTATTTCTTGAGGTTTTCTTTTGTTTATAAGGCTGAATATTTGATGTCAGCTGTGGATGACTTAAGATTTGTTCTAGTGATTCACCTATTGCCCTTTATTTTAAAATTAAGTGGACACATGTATATAACATTGTAGTCTGAAGCAATCTATTGCAAATATCCTTCCTCCCTTTAAAAGCGGAAGTCTTTTTAAATCATTGCCAATACAAAGTTGTCTGATCGTATGATCAGAGCCTGAGGTGGACTGAGTCACTGGAGCAATCCATTGGTTTAGAGCCTTTTTTGTGGCCTGAGCTATTTCCAAAAAAAAGGAACAGGAAGTCCTGGGAAAAATGCTGATTGGTAAAAGGATTCTTGGGCTCTTTGCCCCATTTCATAATCTCTGGATCAAAACGTGAGCAGAAAGAGAAATAAGGAGCAGCAATTTGCAGAGACACTGTTGGAATTCCAAACGAATTTGTGGTGTTTGATATTGCATTCCTTGTGTTAATTAACACAAGGGTAGGTTTGAAAATATTTTAAGCTTTACTCCAATACAGTCGCTCACATGGTGTAATTTGTTCTGCTTCTCGAGTAAAATTGTTCTGAAGCTTTTCAAATTGCTCCAGTCGTATTCTTTTGCAGCATAACTTTCTTTGTAAGAAAATAAATACTTGCATTTGATATGTTATACAGGCATCATTTCTGACTTAAAATTGAGTTGCCTTCAGCCTTGCCTTGCCTGAAAAGATATCCCCTCAACATTCAAAGCTTTTATTCAGATAATTTCAGTCTCCACAGGTTTTCATGCATCTGGTCGGGAAACCTGTCACTGGAACTCCATGCTATGCTATTCAGTGGCTTCATAGAGCAGCAGAAATGTCGAGAACTGATAGCCCCACAAAGTGTTTCTGCACTGAAGCCTTAGACTTGCAGTGAAGCAACTTAAATCTAATATACAACATGTCATGGAAGCCAAATAATAACAACATTTATATTGTACCTTTCATGTTGCGAGGACAGCTTAAAGCACTGGGAGGGAGCGGAGGATTAGGGGGCAGATGGCTGAAAGAACATATCCAACATGTACAGAACCACCTACTGTTTGTTTCACCAATGGGTCCACTCATAAATATTCTATCACCCCAGGAATTGTAGGGTGTCCTGGGCTTGGACATGATGGTTAAATACAATCAGAACAGGCATTTCTTTACTGGAGAGAATACGTTGTACATGAGACACATGCGTAAAATGTTAAATACACATTTTGAAAGTAACAACTTTGAGAAGCAGTTTTTAAAATTTCAGGCATGCTAGTTGTTGCCTATGTTAGTTTTTCACAGAATTCTTTGAACACAACTTTTGTGTCAGGATTTAATACAGTACTTTGTTCTAAATAAGTTCATCAAACTGAAAAACAGCAAAATGATGGCTTGCAAAGGTTTAAGGCTGGAATAATACATAATGAAAGGCTTGTGTCTGAGCAGATTAAAAGGTTAGCAGTTTGTGTCCCATCTGAAATGTCAGTGTGCAGACTTATACTGGTGACTAAATGTCACGTTGTGTACAGCGCAGTTCCCTACTAGTGGTAAAAGATTGAGCCTTCAGTAAACACCTAATTTGATGGCAAAGATCAGCTGTTATTCATGGAATTGAATGACTCATCCGAAAATACCATTATGAAAAGTTGCTTAGGATGTCCTCTTTCCTATAATATTACTGTTATTCAGGACACAGCTGTGTGTTTTCTAATGTCTGTGAGCTTCCTGCACTGTTTTTAGTTTAAGGGCAATTCACTATCCAGTGGATTAATTGTGGTGCAACACACAATGTCAACAATGACATTTTTGTGTTATTAACTTGACTGATTCAGTTTCGTGCTGACCTGATGTAGACACTAAACTGATGAGTGTGCCAGCAGGTGTCATAACAGCTTGTTGTTGCACATGTGCATTTTATCCTGTAGGATGTTGAATCCTTCCACGCTATTTTTATGAGGACCAGCAGCCGTGCTCCTACAACTACTCCCTCTGCTCCTCTCCACCAACTCTGTCTTGCTTCATTCACTCAACCTCATCATCGTGGGCAAGCCTTCAGTCACATTTTCCTCTCCCTCTGGTACTTTCTCCTGAAATCCCTCAACCGTGCATCTTCTGCTTTCAAATCGCACCGACAAACCAACTTCTGTGCTTCCGGCCATCTCCCCACTTGTCCTCCACTCCCTCCCTCATGCTCCCGCTTAATCTTTGTGAAGTACTTTGAGCTGTCCTCGCAACATGAAAGGCGCTGTATAAGTGTAAATTGCTGTTGTTGTTATTGGGATTCCATGACATCGGCAACTCTTATGTCCTACATCTTGGGAACTTTTGCAGCCATCACATTTTAAAGCTCTCTCTGTGCGGGATTTACTTGTCATGTAAAATAATATATTTAATTTGTCTTTATGTTTTGTTTCCCTTCCCAGCTGACAAAATCACTTAAACGAAGCAAGAATGGGACAGATCAGCAAGACAGCATTCTGATCGTGGCAACAAATGTCACATACACCATACAAGTGGCAGCGTTTACTGGTGCGGGAATAGGGCCTTACAGTCATCCTGTGGAGGTGTTTGTTACCAACAATGGTAGGCTTTACAGTCTTACTTAAATTGCAATTGCGATTAGTCAGAATCTTTTTAAAAAGTAACATTTATTGAGAAGCAATAATAATAATCCTTACATTTAGAATAGCGCCAAAAGCGCCAGCTATTTTCTATACTGCAATGTTCCATAAACAGCCATGAAGTGAATGATCAGTTTTATTTGCAGATTATGATAGAAGTGTAGAAGCATTGAGTAACTTAATAAATGCATCTGATAAATCTGAATCATGCTTTTTCAAAAATACTTTTCACACACTTGATCTGCCTATTCCTTTTTTACTAGTTTAATAAAACTAATTTTACTTCTCCAAATTTCTCTCCATTTGAAAGTATATTACTTTTTTTCCCTTTACTGGGGCAGGGTTTGATTCCAACCCACTGCTCCGGTCCAAATCCCTGACTGTCCTGTGCCTCGGGACGTTCTCCTGACATGAAAGGAGCTATACAAATACCATTTGTTGTTTTTGAGTTCTGGACATGCCCTTGTCCCTTGACTAAGTGGCTATAATTCATGTGTGGTTGTTGATGGAACACAATTTAAGTGTGTTGTTTTGGTCAGTCGGGTGTCTAACATATGCAGCAAACCAGCTCCTCGCTCAAGAATATCCAAAATAGACTGAGAATTCCACCATAGGTATGGTGTCTGTTAGAATTGAAGGGTGATTTCAGCCATGCAAGATCTTATCCTTAATCCGCATGCATTAGTTTCACATGGTGTTCATTGTGGTTTCGGAAAGGGCAGGAGAGCAAATTGGCATAAATTGACTTCTATTGTGTATAGTGTATAATATGCATGGCCAGGATACTGATTGCACAATTTTCCCATTTGTTTATTTTATTTGGTAGGTGGGCTAATTGTTGCACCTTTCTCAACCTCTTCTGCAGTGAAGCGAGGTGCCAACTACTCACTAATAGCATTAATTGGAATAATATGCACCATCATCATAATCCTGATTATACTCTTCACATCTGTCACTCTCCGAAAGCGACTGAAAGAGTTGGAGTTTGGGTCAGTATCATGGTTTAGACAATTTAACGGTTCTAGGTCTGAGCTGTGGGTTGCACCATGTGCCATTAAGCTTGTGAGGTGTTGATAATGGGCTGTAAGCAGATTCCTTGTGTGGGAAGAAGTGGTTTCCAGTCTGTGACTGGCTCGAGATTGAATGAGCTGTTCTTCCAACCTTCCTCATGCCAAATCCCCATTTGTTAGGAACATAATTGAAGCATTCGGCGGTGAAGACATATTCAGTGATCTTGGAATATGGTTGGTGGGCATTGCTTCCTCCAATATGTCCCCTAAATGTAATGCTGGGTGTGTTGCTTTTTACAACTTCTGTGCTCTTGTTCTGCTGCCTTGGTTTAGCTGACGGTGGCAGTCATCAGAGGAGGTCTGATCTGTCTCCACACATGCACTTTCAGCAGGGATCACTGTGTAGTGATCAGGAGTGCAGTCTTTGCTAATTTCTCTCCCTCACTACCATAGATGCACTAAAGTTAATTGTAGCATCCCATACGATTACTCTGGTTGGGATCAGTCACTTTTTTCTCTTCATCTAACTCCTTTTTCATTCTATGGATGTGATACATGTTCCATGGAACCCACAAATGCCTTGCTCAAATGGTCATTCTTTACTTGTGGTGACTATATCATGGAGGGTATCACACCAAGAGGGATCCTGACCTCAACCAAAGTTTACACACATATATTCCCAGTTGGCACTTCAGTGAAGACCGAGATTACTAGGTCTATTGTGCTGCCTTAATCTGGAACATTGAGGCCAAATTTGGCAACCTTGGTGCTAAAATCAGCAAATTCAGCACAGACTGGGGATTGAACCCAGCACTGCCCCAGTGTGTAAACTCAATGAGTGGCTTTATCCTGAGTGGAATCATCAGAAAAAGGCAGGTGCTTTTATTTTTGTGCAGAAATCAGAATCTGCAGTTTATGGGGGAATGTATTAAAAAGATTTGGGGAGTGACGATAATTATATAACCTATTTAGTTTCTAGGGTTGAGTACTCTGGAAGGATGATGTTAAATAGGCCGAAAGGCTTTCCTTATTTCAGACAGCATCTGATACTAAAAGTGACTAGAATTAGGTTGATTTCCGGTTCTAATATTTTCAAGAATTGAAATGAAATGTTGGCCCCTTTCCAGCAGCCGAATATTTTCTACTGAAAATAGTAGTAGCTGGACTTAGTTCTTTTTTTATATGCCAAAAAACAAACTTACCAATTATTTCTCTAACCACTGACGTGCATTTTACATTAAAATAAACTCACCACATTTTAAAATGAGAAAATAGCATTCTGTACTATTTTGGAAAGTTCTTAAGCATTGGAAATAAATTCTGCATACAATTGTAGACGATAGAGATCATTTCAGAGCAAGAGGGGAATTCCAATGGTTAAAGTTGCTGATGGGCAGAAAGTTGTTTTACTTACTCATTCCTCCAAACTGATTTTCAACAGTGGTCTGACAGATAAGAGAATGGAATGACCAGGATTTCCTTCTGTTTAGTTACACTTAATCTTTGTGCTCCCAAGAATTTCAGGAATCTCTATGTGCATTGGGATTTCACCAGCCTAGACTGGTTCAGTGCTTTAGAGGGAACTGGTTGAGTATCAAGAGGACCGGGCAGATAAAAAGGGAGAAATTCCACCTAGCTCTAGATTTACTCTTATTTATGTAGCATTTCGGAGTGTTCAGAATTTGGCAAATTGTTGAACTCAGTCTTAACTTTGAAGTCATTTTTCTGTTATTTTGCAGAAAAACTGAACTGGTTAAAAAATATGGTTGTTCTTAAAATTTGCTAAATTCTGCATGTTCTGAAAGAGTTAAGAAAATAGAGCAAAAATCTAAATCTGGGTGGAATTTCTACTCTGGAATGTGTTTCAGATCGTGTAATTTTGACCTCTACGTAAATAAATCCTTGATTTAATGGTGCGTTTTCTTTGCCTGACTTGTAGCCAGGTTTTCACGCTGTCACTTGAACCGGAAAGCAGGACAGCATTTGCATGGGCCAGAATTCAGTCAATGGATTTGGCTGCGATGCATTTAGTGTCTCATCAAGGTTCCCAGCTGTTTGTGTTTCACCAATTACTGTTATATTGTATTGTTAAGGTTTTCTTTCTTCTTTGATATAAACAGCAATGCATTCAGCGATGGAGAAGAGGTCGAACCAACAGTCCACTACAGAGTGAAACATAGCTATTCACGGAGAATATTCGAGATCACATGTAAGATCCCTCTTTACCACAGTGCTTTAGCAAATGAAAATGACATTTTTATACAGTTCCTATCATATTAAGTTGTCTCCAAGCAGCACTTTTGTGTAGTTTTTCTTCTGTTTTTCTCACTTGTATTTCTCATGTGGAAGTTTCTCTGGTGTCAAATTTGGACTTTTAAGTGCTTGGGACATCCTTTCAATGTGAAAGGTGCTACGTAAATGTAAATTTTTATTGTAACTACTGATGCCTGGTAGGGTGTGGTTCCTTGGATGTGACCAGTGCTAGACACCTGACCCATGCACACTTTATTATCTGTGATCTTCTGAAGCAAGTGTCAGGAGGTTAACATCCTGTAGCTCAGTGGTTAGAGCACTCGCTTTGCAAGCGAGAGATCTGGGTTCGATTCCCGGCAGGGTGAAACCTTGGGCAAGTTTCCTCACTCCACACGCCTGATAAACCCTCAAGAAAAAAACAATAATAAATTGGTCACTTCAATCCACAATTGTTTGTGGGACACTGATGTGCACAATTGGCTGCCGCGTTTCGCCCACAAATACACAGTCAATTCACTTTACAGTATATTCTGTGAAGCGCTTTGAGACATCTAGAAGACGTGAAAAGCCCTATATCAAATGCAAGGATTATTATTATTAGTATCAGAGTTTTGGGGAAGGGGGAGGGACATCACATGGGAATGTTGGGGGCAGAGGGTAGGAGTCACTCAGTGCCAATCAGATGTGCGAACTCCGATTGATCACATTTTGGGGGTTACTTTGTACCTTTTAGCCCAGAGAAGCTGAAGGTAATTGTGGTGTTAACTGTGGTCAGCCTTTACACTCCTGCCATCTTCCACAACCTCTTCACCTCTCTTCCTCTCATTTTGGCTTCAAAACCCTTACACTGCTTCCCCAGCAGTTAACACTTGTCAGCCTGGCTTGGTTGTAGGCCTCTGGCCTCTGAGTCAGAAGGTTGAGGGTTCAAGTCCAATGACAGGACTTTGAGCTCATCATTTAGCCTGATCCAGTGCAGTGCTGGGAGTGCACTGCATTGCGCAGGTCCTGTCTTTCTGTTCATGTGAATGTTAAAGATCACATTGCTGCGCACAAACTGGCTGCCACATTTGGCTACAAAATACAGTTACTACACTTCACAGTAAATCCTGTGAAGCACTTTGAGATGTATTCCCGACCTGAAAGGCGCTATAATGATAATAATAATAATCCTTGCATTTGAAATAGTCCCTTATCAAGTCTTCGAGACGTCTCAAAGCACTTCACAGAATACACCGTGAAGTGAATTGACTGTATATTTTGTGGGTGAAACACGGCAGCCAATTTTGCCCATCACAAACAGTAATAGATTGAGTGTCCAAATTATTATTTATTAATTTTTTTTGAAGGGATTATTAGCCCCGGAAAAGCGATCTGCCAATCGACTAACAGCCAGATTCCTACTTATTGCTAGGTAAACACAGGCGTGGGGGGAGGAAGGAAACTTGCCCAATGTTTCACCCTGCTGGGTATCGAACCCAGGTCCTCTCTCTTGCGAGGCGAGTACTCTAACCACGTCTAGAAGACGTGAAAACCGCTATATCAAATGCAAGGATTATTATTATTACATGAAAGGTACCATTTACCTGCAAATGTTGCTGTTTATGCCATTTATCATTCACCAATCAGATGAATTTATTTATTGTTCGATATACTTAAACAATTTATTTTGATTTTGTAAATCATGAATCAGAGAAATACACTGTAAAAGTTGATAAACTATTTGCCTTTTATTCTCACAGTGGATAATTTGGGAATCAGTAAGGAGCTGAAAGAGAAGTTGCATGATGTGATGACTGACAGGAATCTATTAAGTCTGGGCAAGGTTCTGGGAGAAGGTATCAACATGGATTCAATAATGGTTTATTATTACTAATATTTACATTTAATGTAATCCTTTATTAAACTGAAAGCACATATGCTTGTTCAGGTAGGAGGACGTTATAGATCCTGTGGCACTATTCAAAAAGAGAAGAGAGTTCCTCCGTATGTCTGGGCCAATACATCTCCAGATGAAAAAAAAATTGTTATTCACTTTAATGCTGCTTGTGACACATTGCTGTGCGCAAATTGGCTACTGCATTACCTACAAATACAGTCTTTCAGAAAACTCAGTGAAGCACTTTGATATCTCACAACATGATAAGGTGCTGTTGTACATCAAATGCAAGGATTAATTTATCAAATGAAAGGGTATTAAAAAATTAATTAGATTTATGAATATCACTCAGCATTTTAGACATCGATATATTGAGAAAGTTTTGCAGGACAGTTCTATGCATCACAAGTACCATTGGGTATGTGACTGTTGGAACATCAGTCCATCAAAAAGCAGAACAAGGACCAGCAAGTTTCACATTTCATGCTGTTGGAGAAAATAGGGTTACAAGCGTTCAAGGCTGATGGTCATGCCTCGTGCAAGTCTGGTAAAACTGGCCAGTAGATGTCGTAAGAATGGAAAGGCCTGTTTTCAGTAGGGAAAAGAATAGACAAATATAAGCAAAACTAGGGCCGGTTTGAATGTGGTAGAGGAAGTTATTCTGGCCCTTACAAGCTAAGAACAATCTGAGGTAAGGAGGAAGGGCTGGCTGGTTTGGACATGAGAAAAAATTGCTTCATGTTATTTTAAAGAAGAGGGCAGGAAAAAATGCATTATGGATGTGAAAGAACCTTAGTAAAACACATTAATTATTCATTTAAAGCGAGACCATGTTTTTGAATATTGTAACATCGAAATGCAATTCAATAAGTACTCTTATACTAGAAATGGTAAGCTTGCAGTTGGACCTGAATCGTAATAGCCTTAATATTTTTATCAACATGGATAGTGCTAGTTGTAAAGAGTTGAACTCTTAATGTAATCTCAGTACTTACTAAACTGAGAAATATTAGTGCTGGGAACTTCCACTTTTGGCCAGTATTGCTGACTGGTCAGATGGAGGATGACTGGATCTACAGTAAAGTTCCCTTTACTCTATTCAGTGATCTGCCTTAACCACAACATCAGAGAATACCCCAACACTGCACAAGATGATATCTACACTTAACCACACCGGCCACCAACCTGGCTTCCCTGAGAGACAGAGACAGTTTAGTGATAATTTAGTGATGTAGATTCATACGCCATGGGTGCTTGGTTGAGAGTGGCCCAATTCATTGCAGGAGATTTTCGTCCTATTTTTCCTGGTAATCTGGTCTGAAACCAGTCCCTGAGATGAAAGGGCAGTTCTAGTTTACTGTGCCAACAGTGCCACACAATCTGTGAATTTATATACATACAAACACAGTGATACAAACTGGATATAAATGGCTAATACCTTCTTCAAGTAATTATATTTGTATCTTGGTTATCAATAATGTAATATTGTCAACATTCGGTTATGGAGATCCTATCTAACAATGAATTGACCTTATAATGTTTTTTCTACTCACAGGAGAGTTTGGCTCTGTTATGGAGGGACAGTTTAAACAGGCAGATGACACGAGTCTCAAAGTAGCTGTTAAAACCATGAAATGTAAGGATATCTTTATAGTAATTCTACTTTATTTGCCCTTCACTTCTTTCCGATGTGGAGGGCACTATACACGTGTAAGTTGTTGTTGTTATTAATCCACATTCAGAAGTAACAGTAAAACACTCTTGAGTGTGAATCCCGGCAATAACACGATTGTCCAGGCTGATACTCCAATATATTGCTCAGGTTGTACCGGAGTTTCTGTCCTTTGGATGAGATATTAAACTGATGTCCCATCTGTCTGGCAGATGGATGTTAAAGGTCCCGTGGTACTGTTCAAAAAAGAAGGTTTTCCTCTTGGTGTCCTGGCCAACAATTCCCCAAATATAATTTATGATTTGCTTTATTGCTGTTTGTGGGACATTGCTGTGCGCAAATTGGCTGCTGTGTTTCCCTAAAAATTGGTCATTAAACTTTACAGTACCTCCTATGAAGTGCTTTGAAATGTTCTCCCAATTGAAACACATTATATCAAATGCAAGGATTAATATATGATGTTATTAGGAACCAATTAAAGCTTGCTTTCGTAAATAAATCTTTTATATTTATCTTTTCATTTTCAGTGGATAATTTCTCACAGAGGGAGATAGAAGAGTTCCTGAGTGAGGCGGCTTGCATGAAAGATTTCGATCATCCAAATGTTATTAAACTATTAGGTATGAAGCACTTTTATATCACACACATCCATAGTATAGAATTTGCTGAAGGTATTTGGATGGATGTACATCAGTACAGGCTGTTGCCACTCAACACTGATTTTACAGAGTGACAAATACAGCAGGTTAATAAAGTAAACTGGTGTTCATCAGCTTAATTATGTAAAATAATTGGGGGAGGGGGGTTTGAACAAGCTTGATGCCGGCTATAGGACTGCAGAGTATGAAATTCCCTTTTCACCACTAACAGGGCTGAGCCCTCCCCACCACCCCATTGCCTTTTTAGGTAAAGGCAGCAATGAGCACACAGAATTGTTGCAGGTTCCAAGTGAGGGGGAGGGAGAGAAGCTGGCTGGAAAAAAATGAGCTAAGAATACAGTAATGTTTTTCAATCAACTAATCAAAATGTATGACTAACAATTTCCAATTTCGTGGTGGTTTACAATTAAGATTTTTTTAAAAAAGAAAACCAAGAGCAAAAGGAACACATTTACATTCTGACGCTTTGCAAAATAAATCACTGCGCATTTCAAATCTATTTTTAGAAAGAACAAAGAGGGTGTTTTTTCATGCTTTCATGAGAAAGGTAATTACGTAACCCCTTTGGACTGTTGGCAATAATTCATTCTGAACCTGCGTTTAATCACCCACGTGTAGCTGATGATTGTGGTTTGCAAGTTGCCATTGTCAATGTTCTCCTCAAATGTCGCATTTTATTTTGTGGTCACCGTGGCATTTCTTACAGTGAAAAAGAGTGGGCTACTTATCTGTCGTAGGCTAATATGGACAATAAGCTTATTTACAGCTAGATTTTCATGCAATAAGATGTATTACACCAGTTATGACTAAGACCTCTATTCTCCAATATGTTGTGGTTTTGGCCCCGTTCCTATGAACTCTGCCTTTTGTCAGCATTCTACATAATATGCTGTTCACTAATCAGCTGCAAAAAAATAAACATTTTGCTGAAGCAGAATATTCCGCTCCAGCTGTACTACATTGTAGAATTGATCCCATGTCAAACCAATACAAATGATTTAGTAAATTCCAGTTTGATTTGAATTGATGCAAGCTATTGCATTGTAACTCTGGCCTTACTGCAGCCAATTCATATAGAGTTGTGTAGAGTGATATATAATAATAATAATAATCCTTGCTTTTGTTATAGCGCTTTTCACGTCGGGAGGACGTCCCAAAGCGCTTCACAGAACACACTGTAAAGTGAATTGACTGTATATTTGTGGGCGAATGCGGCAGCCAATTGCGCACAGCAATGTCCCACAAACAGTCGTAGATTGAAAATGACCAATTTATTAATGTTTTTGTTTTGGAGAGATTATTATTAGGCATGTGGAGTAAGGAAACTTGCCCAAGGTTTCGCCCTGTGCCTGGAATTGAACTCAGGTCTCTCGCTTGCAAAGCGAGTGCTCTAACCACTGAGTTACAGGACTCCCAATGGTACAGATATGTTATGGTACAGATATGGCACAGAAATGGGACAATTGTATCAATGCGTCCATTCCTGTGTTTATACTCCACATGAGACCTGATCCCTCCTGTTCCCCTCAACTGTACTCCTCTTTGCCTTTCCCCTTCATGTATGCATCAAGTTTTCTCTTCAATATATTGATGCTACTTACTTGAACTGCAGCTTCCAAACCAACGTTTAGACTAGAAACATTCGGGAGGCTCTTTCCCACGTGGACGGAACTGTGTTCCACCTCCTTCACAATCTGTTTCAGGGATGCCTGCAGAGGTCAGCAGAGACAATATATTTGGGAGACCTGAAGAAGTGGAAAGGGAAAACTGGTTGAAACTCTTTATCTCTTGATATATCTCCAAAGAGGCCGTAATTTGGTCTTATCTTCCTCCACATATTGGGTGGCAGGGCGAGCAGCATGTTTGAAGATGTTTCCTCCCCCTTCACCTCATTGTGCACAAACAGTATCTTTTAATGTTGTCACAATTTGAGTAAATTATTACGCTATTCCTGTAATATCCTGTAAATAACAAAATTCCTGCAAATCCAGTCTTTGCAGAAGTCTTTAGAGAACAGACGATAAATTGGAGAATGTGCAGTAAATTTAGATCACAAACATTTTTGGTTTGGAGACGAGTGGAGGGCAAAAATTGTCTGTTACATCAGGAATTTTCAATGAATGTGTCCGTCCTTTGATGTAGGTGTGTGCCTGGAGTTGAGCTCCAGAGAGCAGATAGCAAAACCAATGGTCATTCTGCCTTTCATGAAGCATGGCGACTTGCACAGCTTCCTGCTGCGCTCACGGCTTGCTGAAAATACTGAAGTAAGTAACAGAGTTTGCAGGGAACAGGATGTTTTGTGTGTGTGCAGTTTACAGCTCTTCGATGTTGATTAAACACTAGTTATTCCTTCATACCTACAAATCTCCCTTTCAGGACTGATTTGCAAGATTTACAAAAGGATTTGCAAGTTGCTACTGCACTATAGGAGCCTCTTTTGAAGAAACAGGCTAGTTTCCAAAAAGTCAAAACTAAGATTAGCATCTGATCGGAGTTCCAGAGGGTTGGCCTGAAACACATCTAGGTACCTGGAGGATTCGCTCTTGCAAATCTTTTTGGAAATTTTGCATTTTAAACCCAACTATACCAGGTGTCAGCCTCTGAGTCAAAAGTTTATGGGTTCAAGCCTCATGTCATGACTTTGAACTGATTGTCTGGGCTGACAGTCCAATGCAGTGCTGGGGAGTGCTACATTGTCGGAGGTACCAACCTTCGGTTGAGATATTAACCAAGGTCCTATCTGCTTGTTCAGGTGGAAGTTAAAGATTCCATGGCACTATACAACAAGAAAAGTAAATTTCTCACAGTGTTCTGGCCAACAATCTCCCAAATAAAAAAAATTGATTATTCACTACATATCTGTTCATGGGATATTGCTTCCATGCATCTGCTAATGCCCTGATTACAGAACTGTGTGTTGTTTGCTGCTGTCCTGGCCCTGTGGAACAAAGAATGGAACCTGCAATACTTTTTAATGAGGGAGGGGGGGAATTAACTGAGGGGAGAAATGATCTGAGCTGCTTCTTTTAATAACACTTCTCCTGTGTCGAATTGTTTCCAGTATCTGCCGCTGCAGACGTTGCTGAAATTCATGATGGACATCACCACAGGGATGGAATACCTGAGTAACAGGAATTTTCTGCACAGGGATCTGGCAGCTAGAAACTGCATGTGAGTTTTTGTTGAATTAGTCAACACACTTGTAAGAAATATTTTTTCTATTCATCACTTTCTCACTGCTCCAATATCTACCAAGTGTAGCTTGCAGAACATTTTGTTTCAGTCATTTTCATCACTGTACATGATGGATTTTTTTCAAAAAACTTTTCCAAGTTATATGCATAACAGATTTGTTTCATATAATTGCTGCCAAATACCTACTGTGGATTAGTCTTAGTCTTGGCATCCATCCAATCTTAGTGCTTTGGCATTCTGTACTGTAACAATGTTCCTCACGTTCCTTGCTTTCTTCCAGTACTGCTCAAGACCTCCGCCTAGTGGGTGAGGGGAAGCAGAACTGTCAGTCTGTTGAGATGTGTCTCGGATAGTTTACAGGAAAAATGGAAAAAAACTTAAAAAAGGATAGAATAGCTATACGTAGTTTCAATGCCAAGCTATAACCCCGCAAACACTATGTGTACCTGAAAACATTACTATTGGATAAATGTACAAGTGTAAAGTACGATACTGCTTGCAGAACACGGTCTGAATGTAGGTTGGACCCCTTTAAAAGTTTCCTCCAACACCTTTCTAATAATATTCCAGACATTCCTTTCCAATAGTTGCAAAACATTTACTCAAATAGTTTGGGAATTTGCAAGAAAAGCACGCACTAAGCTTTCAACAATCCTTCATTATTAGTTCCTGAATTTTTGAGCGATTAGGAAAGTTATCCTCCTTATGAGAACGTATAGCCTTTGCCCTGTTTACTGTTAAATTCCTGAAACTAAAGTTCTCTGAAATAATCACACCACTATTTATGTAATCACACCACTGTTGTACCATGTGACTGTTCTGTAACTGAACTTCTTTGCATAAGAATTATTATGCTTTATTTCAAACAAAGCACTGTGGAACAAACCTTCTGATAACCTAGAAAAGTTACCAGCAAAATGAGGGAGGAGACCTAGGAGATTAAATGATCATTTACTCACTGTTTATTTTCCTTCTCCGTCCAACCCCCCTACACCCCACTCCATCTCATGCTCATCACTCTTGCTGCAGTGTACATTGTTCCTGTGCAGTATAGCAGGTGCTGGCCTGTGGATTCTGTGAGAATGATGATCAAGACTTTGTTCTTGCATAGATCCTTTTGGGTAGGATGAAATGCTTCAAGAAGTGTTTCATGGCGCTCATCCTACTGTGAGTGAAACACGTTGTGTGTGAATCACTCAAGTGTGGTTGTTTTCCTTCCTCACATTTACAAAATGCCTCCTTGAGCTCCCTTGACTAAAACAGGCACTATGTGATACAACACTCCCCTTTTACCAACCACAAGGCACTCCATATGGTAAACTATGATTTCCAATCATGACATCAGGAGGAACTTTATATAGAGCATGGGGTAGCATCTCCAAGCTCTTAACAGTTGTGGAGCATAACACGAAGTCGGGAGAGAAGGCATTTAGAAGGAAAATGTTGCAGTTGTAGCAGGTGCTGGTATTAAGCTCTTACTAGCAGCACCATTGTAAATCTGATCAGGTTGTTTCAGGCTCATGCAATATATCCCATGTCCAGTGAATTGCATAATAAACAATATAAACTCTTTTTCATTCTGAACAGGTTGCGAACTGATATGACAGTCTGTGTGGCTGATTTTGGTTTATCCAAGAAGATATACAGTGGGGACTATTACAGACAGGGTCGGATTGCTAAAATGCCTGTAAAGTGGATTGCTCTTGAGAGTCTGGCTGATCGAGTCTTCACTGTTAAAAGCGACGTGGTATGTTGATTAAAGATTTTTATGGTGCCTTCTAATTTTGGTGAGATTTGTTTCATTGATTCTGATCCTCAAAATGTCCTGCAAAGGCAAAAATAGTTTTTTTTTAACCTAATACAGGACCAACAGTGTTTGGGCATATTTTGGCATGCTGACAAAGTGATTTGTAAATAGGAAATCCCTGTGGATACTGAGATGTGTCTGAGCCTGGAATGCTGCTCGGATGCCGATCATAGCCGCAATCTAGCTTCAGTAAAATCAGAACTGAAATTGGTGTCCGAGAGGACACTCAGCAGGTCAGGCTGAGTGTCACTTTCCTCTCTCTATGGAGAGAGGAAAGTGAGTTAACGTTTCAAGTCATTGACCTTTCGTCAGAAATACTTTCTGGTGTTTGGCCTAAAACTTACCCTTCACAGCCTTGAACACTTGCCCTCTCTTCCCTTGTCCCTGAGCTCTTCTGAAAGCATTGTTCTGAGTTTACTTTTTGAGTGTGGCGAAAGTGAACATGGGAAGATTAATAACTGTAGCGATCCTAATATATACCTATATGTGTATGCATATGTGTGTGTGTATATATATATATATACACACATATAGGTATATATTAAGATCTATATATATGTGTATATATATATATAGGTATATCCCTACCAACCTTCCTGCTCGCTCCATTCAGCGGGCTCCGGTCTGCTCCATGTCTCCCGCCCAACCCGCCCCTACCATCGGTGTCCGGGCTTTCAGACTCTCTGCCCCCACACTCTGGAACTCTATCCCACGGTCCCTTCGCCTCGCTTCCTCCCTTGTCTCCTTCAAGGCCGGTCTCAAGACCCTTCTCTTCGATCGTGCCTTTGGTCGCCCTCCCACCTCTCTGCTTTCCCTCATCCCTACACCACCCCTCCCCCATGCTCGGGCCCTGACTCCTGACTGTTCAGGACTTTGGGACAACCTCCCGACGTGAAAGGCGCTCTATAAATGTAATTTTGTTGTTGTTGTTGTATGGTAAAGACAAACACAGCACTGTTAGTAACTTTGAACAGAAGAAACTCATGGATACAGAATCTGCAATATTCCTTATTTTATGAGTGTGATTAACCTCTGGCTGGTAATAATTATTGAGCATAATTTTGCATGTTCCTAGTGGGCGTTTGGTGTTACCATGTGGGAGATAATAACCCGAGGGATGACGCCATACCCTGGAGTGCAGAATCATGAGATTTATGACTACCTGTTTGAAGGTAACAGACTGAAACAGCCTTCGGACTGCCTGGATGAACTGTGAGTATCTCACACGATAGGGCTTGATTTTGTAAACCCTTTCAAACTTGTATCCGTCAGTTAGCCATGACTTTTAGTTTGCAAAGTTTGAGAGGAAATGCTTATTTAGCTCCTCTTCATTTAGTTTTTTCATTTGGGAAAATACAGCATGGTGTAGTTAGGTCAGTGATGACAATTTAACACAAATTTGTTTGAAAGGTATACAAGGTCGCATCTTTCCCAGCTCTGGTGGTTCCTAAGGTTATGGAAACATAGATATAGCTTGTTCGGAAAGACGCTGAAGTTTTAGGGATACTGCAGACCAAGGTTATCAGATACCCTCCTGCGGTGCGGGACTATAGCCACTTTGGAAGACATTTGGACAGGCTTGAATACTGCAGGTTGATATTGTAGCACTTTGAGATACTACCCTGTGTGGAAAGTGCTATATAAGTGCAAGTTATTGTTGTAGCCTGATGTGTCACAATTAGTAACTGGAACTGTGTCATTCTGTCTCCCGTGAACACAGCTCTGATACAATAATACAATATAATGTACATTTATACAAGTTGGGACGATGTTTTAAAGCACATAATATCAATTGCTGTTACTGAGAATCGCTGTTGGGCTCTATTATGATCTTCTTTTCTGAATCACCACATTAGACTCCATTATGGAGATTGTGCTTGACTATTTTGTGGGTAAGGGAGAAATTTTGCTGAGTGCTTTTTTGCTATATTAAACAATTGGGCTATCATCTGTGATAGTACAGGTAAATCATGATTGTGTGTACATGTGTAAGAAATGGGGTTATTGGGTTAAATACACTTTTCTCATTTGATGAGTCATATTCATACTAGAAAAAAATAGTGCAAGAATGTGGGTTAGTTTACTGCATATTTTCTTTCATGCATTCGGCACAGAATTGTGATGTGTCTATGCAGAGAAGGTATGTGGGGAAAAGGGTGAGGAAATGGAATTAAAAGGTTGCCCAGGATCTAAACTGGCATAACAAGCTCAATGGATTGAAAGGACTCCCCTTGTTCCTGTCTTCCTAGAAAGCTATGTCACAAGTTGTGTAAAACTGTTCTACAACACTAAATCTGTTGTATAATACTTAATCTGTTATGCATCACTAGATCTGTTAAACAATATTATAAATTTGTTTTATAATGAAATTGAGTATATAGTAACATAAGGGACATCCCTGGTTAGGGGCTCGCTGTGAGGTAATGTAGCTCCATTATGGCATTGAGTATTTCTGGCGTTATGAGATTGTATACTTAGGATTTTTTTTCTGGTATCCAAGCCATCAGTCCCCAAGATAAAATTGGTTGTTTGACTTTGCTGTTGCAAATTGGGTGTACAAGTGGCTATTGAGAATGAGAACTTAACATTTAAAAGGCAATTAGTTGAATATTTGAAGAGGAAGAATAAAAGAACTGGGGAAAAGCAGATAACTGAGACGAGAGCATTTAGCTCCAGTGGAGGAGCTGGAATCAACAGAGGTTGGATAAGATAAATGTTTCCTCTGTGTAGTAATGTCTATGATTCTGTCAAACCAAAATTGAGTCTTGTATCCTAAATGTTCTCCTTTGTATGTTTGCAGGTATGAGATTATGTACTCGTGTTGGCGTAGTGATCCTGCAGATAGGCCCACGTTTGCTAATTTAGGAACATTTCTCAACAAACTTTTGGAGAGTTTGCCTGAAGTCCGAGGCAAGGAAGACATCATCTATGTTAATACAGGTATATTAGAGGGACAGGGGAATATGACTCAAGATCCTGAACTCACTCAATTTGATTTGCATGAATCTAATGAAGCAGCATCAAGCAGTCTTGGACCTACGGAAAGTACAATCACTGTGGAAATCCATGAAACCGTGAACAATCAAGACCGATATGTGATATCTGGGGTGTCTGAGGAGCAGTTAAACACTGTGGATATAGAAACACACTTGTTGCATCACATTACTCAGAATAATGGAGCCATGCTACCTCACAGCGAGCCCCTAAACAGGGATGTCCCTTATGCCGATGATTCATCAGAGGACTCGATTATCATGGTATGAAGGAAAAAATAAATTGCCAATAAACTTTGTCAGAACTGAAACAAAGTTGCTCTTAGAAGATGAACTTACAAGATGTGCGGCCTCTTTAAAACTGCCAAATGCAAATGTGCATTCCTACCTATTTACAATCATCGGCCCCTGACACTGTGATGAGGTCCACAAGCAAACATTTAACTCGCTGGCAATTAATCAGGCAACGAGAATTTCACCATGTTTAGATGCTGGTGATAAATGAAGGATAACGTCAAGACTTATTTGTGTGTGTGTGTATGTACATGTTTCCTCGTTCTGTGAGGAAATTGCGGGCATTAAGATGATAGAACGCGCTAACAGGTGTAGATAATTGTGTTTTCCGTTGTATACTTGGAGCTATGTGAATACCTTTTTTTTTAAAATTCCCATGTGGTCTTCTGATCCACTCGCTTTGATTAAAACTAGAAAAATATTTTTAAAAATCCACAGTCACTTTGTATTAAATGTTTAAAATCCTCTTGTTTCAGTTTGGTTCAGTTAATAATGTTAGTCTGTAATTGTTTTCACATGATTTATTTTGGATTTTCAGATGAACTGAACATGGCTGGTTTATTCATCCATTTAACCTATTGTCATTGATTACTGTTTAAAAATATTGCTTCCCTTGACTCTCTGCACTATCATCAGTGTCCAAACCTTCAGCTACTATGACCTTACCTCCTCTATCTTTAAATAACATTGTGGTGTCAGCCTGGCTCAATTGGTGGCACTCTCGCTCCAGAGTTCAAAGGTTGTGGGGTAAAGCCCCATGTCAAGATTTTGAACTCACACAAATCTAGGTTGACACTCTAATGCAGTGCTGGGGGCATGCTGCAAAGTTGGAGGTGCCAACCTTCGGATGGACGTTAAACCGAGGTTCTGTCTGCCTGTTCACGTGGATGTTAAAGATCCCACAAAGAGAAGGGAATTTCTCCTGGTGTTCTGGCCAACAACCCCCCAAATAAAAACTGGCCATTCACTTATTCGCTGTATCCAAATTATCTTTCACATTCACCTACAAAATACAGAAAATTCTGTGAAGCGTGTTTAGTTTTTTAAAATTTATTTAGATTGTCACGATTATTTATTTCCTCCCAATTCAGTGTGTTTCAATGTTAAGATGCCAGGTCAACAGTGAAAACAGTAATTTTAGTCTTGGCTTCAATGACTTAGGTTTTAAGTGTGCAAAGATAACAGTATGTTTAGAAAAAATAATGTACACTAATAATAATCCTTGCATTTGATATAGAGCCTTATCACGTCTTCGAGTCATCTCAAAGCGCTTCACGGAATACATTGTAAAGTGAATTGACTATATTTTGTGGGAAAATCAAGGCAGCCAATTCCGCACAGCAGTCTCCCATAAACAGTTGTAGATTGAGTGACCAATTTATTATTATTATTATTTTTGAAGGAATTATTACCCCCAGAAAAGCGATCCACCAATTCACTAATAACCGGGTTCCTACTTATTGCTGGGTAAACAGATGCGTGTGGAGTAAGGAAACTTGTCCAACATTTCACCCTGCTGGAAACAAACCCAGGTCTCGCTTACGAGACGAGTACTCTAATCACTGAGCTACAGGACTCCTTTCAAGTCAAGTCGACGTCTTACATACAAAAAAATTCCACAGACAACCATTATGTGAATGACCAATTTTATTTGGGGTTTGTCAGCCAAGATTCTGGGAGAAATTTATTTTTGAATAGTGCCATGGGATCTTTAACATTCCATCTGGGGTTAACTCACCTCCCAGCTCCACCTCCTTGCCCCTCTAGTCACAGACATCATAAACTTCTCCCTGTCCACTGGCACCTTTCCCAACCCTTTAAAAATGTCCATCATCACTCCTATCCTTAAAAAAAACCCTCCCGGGACCCATTCCTGCTCTCAAACCACTGCCCATCTCCAACCTCCCTTTCCTTTCCAATGTCCTGGAACGAGTTGTTGCTTCACTCCTTCCTCTCCCGCCACTCCCTTCATGAAACCCTCCAATCGGGTTTCTGTGCCGCCCACAGCACGGAAACAACTCTGGTCAAAGTGACAAATGACATTCTGTCCATCTGCAACCAGGGCTCCCTATGCTTTCTCCTTCTCCTTGACCGCTTTGCTGCCTTTGACACCGTTGACCAATCTATCCTCATCTCAACTTTAATGATTCTGGCCTTGATTGGTTCAGATCATATCGCTTGCACCATCTCTACTTCATCTCCACAAACAACTTCTCCAGCCCCCGAACCATCTTGTGCGGTGTTCCTCAGGGCTCTGTCCTTGGTCCCCTCCACTTCAATATCTATATGCTCCCTCTTGGTGACATCATCTGCAGACATGGGGTCAACTTCCACATGTATGCGGATGACACCCAACTCTACCTCTCTGCCTCCACTCTTGACTCCAGGACCACTGCTGTCCTGACAGAATGTCTGTCAAACATCAAGTCCTGGATGAGAGCCAACTTTGTTCAATCAAACGTCAACAAGACCGAGGCTCTCCTGATTGACTCCAATCAGTGCCTCCTCACCTCAGGCGCTGACAGCATCACCATCCACGGTTGCACATTCCAACTTACTAAGCCAGTGCGGAACCTTGGGGTCTTGTTTGACCCTCAACTATCCTTTCTACCCCACATCTGTGCCATGACCCGCTCTGCCTTCTCCCACCTCCACAACATCGCCCGGCTCCACCACTGTCTCACACCGCAGACCGCCAAAACCCTCGTACATGCATTCATAAAATCCACGCTTGACTATGCTCCCTGCTTGTCGGCCTCCCCAACTCCTCCCTCCCTAGTCTGCAGATCATGCAGAACTCTGCAGCCCGTGTCCTCTCCCGCACCAGGCTCTGTGACCTGTCACCTCCATCCTTGCCCAACTCCACTGGCTTCCCATTACACAGAGGATATAGTTCAAGATCCTGGTCCTCACCTTCAAAGCTACCCCCCTTCGGAGACCTCCTAACCCCTCAAACAACCTCCCCGCCCTCTCCAATCAGCAGGCTCTGGGCTGCTTCACATCCACCACCTTGCGAGCCGGCCTTCAGCCACTCTGTCCCAGACCTCTGGAACTCCATCCTGTGGTCCCTCCGCCTCGCCCCCCTCCCTTGCCTCCTTCAAGGCTGTCCTCTTCGACCGTGCTTTCGATCACCCTCCTTCTCCCCCTGCCCTCCACCTTCCCCAATCCCGACCGCCAGCTCAGGCCCGAAATACTTGACTATCAAGCACCTTGGGAAGTCCTCCCAATGTGAAAGGCGCTAAACAAATGTAATTGTGTTGCTGCTGTGGGACAATGCTGTGTGCAATTGGCTGCTGCATTTGTCTAAATGTACAGCCACTGCAAATAATAATTCTGAAGCGTTTGAGATGTTTAAATGTGAGAGGTGCTATTATAATATGCAAGGATTATTAGTATTGGAACCTACAAACTTCTACTGTTAAAGGTGTCAGGCTCCATCGAACAAGTTTCTTTGCACTGGGCCATCAGTGAAACTTTGCTGCCTTTTACTAGAGGTTAGCTGCATATTTTGATTGATAACCCAGGTGATAGGTGTGATTGACAGCTCATGCCTCCTCCCATCCTCCTTCAGCTACGTGCCAGTTACCTGACATCCACCCAGTGAGAGCTCAAACCCGCGCTTGTTGGCTATCAAAAGACCAATTGGTGACTTTCCTCCTTGGAGGTTAGTTGGATCTCCTCGGAGCTGAACTGGTTCCAAGGTGACATATTTAGTAATGGAATAACAGAATCAAGCTCGTGCTCTGTGGTGGTCTCAGTAATCCGAATCCTGAGTCAGGCTGGTCCACAGTATTCTGGGGCACTTCTGATGGCAGCACAGGACCTGGCTTATCGGCAGGCCCTGGAAGGGCAGACCAGTCACAGTGACAGGGAGTCATCCCACTCAGCTCCTGTTAACCCCAAAAGCCAAAGTCCTAATGGGTAGGGTGGTCCTAGCTCGACAGCAATATCAACGGCAAGCTGTGAGGTTTTAGCGCTTTGGGACGTCCTCCCGACGTGAAAAGCGCTATATCAAATGCAAGGATTATTATTATTATTAGCTGGTTAATAATAATAATCCTTGCATTTAATATAGCACTTTTCACATCTTCCGGACAGTAAAGTGAAGTGACTGTATATTTGTGGGGTTAGACACCAACGAGCACGCTAGGGGGTCCCCAAGCCTTGGCTCTTGCCAACCTGTGCTCAATACTTTCTGGAATGAGGTAAGCAGGATGTGTCCCTCCAGGGAGAGAGGGTGCATTCCATTCCAGCAACCTATCCCTGGGATTTCCATGTGCTGGTGGGATGCATGGCATTCCCGTTTGGTTGGATAGCTTTAAGCACGAGCATGGGGATGAACTTACTTCCGCACGTGTCACACGCCTGGCTGACCAATAAAACTCGGGCATGCGCAAACGGTCCCCGCGGCAACCTCCCAAAGGGCACGTGATCTGTGTGTTTACAAACGTGCCGACGGGAGGGCGGCGCCTCGGGGGGGGGGGGGAGTGACGGACAGAAGATGGCTCTCCGCCCTTTGTGATGTCATCGGCACGCTGTCGTCTTGCGCGTGCCCGAAAGGCGAGGGTGGTGGTCTGTCAATCACACCTGTCATCACGGCGGGCTGGTGAGACCGGAAGAAGCGGAGCGTGGGGGCGCGCGCGCGCGCGCGGCCGTTGGTCGCCCCCCGCCCCACCCCCTTCCGATTTGAAAAGCAGTCGGGTTCCAAAGCGGAGCGTGGCTGGAGCGCCGCGCCTGCGCACTCAGCCTCTCGGGCCGCCGGCGAAGATGATGGCCGTGGCTCCCGGGGCTCGGCCCCTCTGCTGCCCGCTCTCGGCCTTGTTTTGCGGCTTGGTCTTAGCTCTCTCGCCCGTGGTCGAGGGAGTGCCGGAGCCCGGTTTGTGGCGTCGCGTGGTTGGGCCGGTGAGTGTTTTGTTTTGTTTTGTGCGAGTCGAGGTTTCGTAATACCGGGAGAGGGAGGGAGGGTGTGCGGTGTCTCAGCTCACCTGCCCCCCCCCCCCCCCCCCCGGCCCTGCTCGGCTCCGCCCGAGGCCTGTGCTCTGCTCGGGGACGCCTCGGGAAGGCTTTGTCGCTCTTGACAGGGTCTGGAGCTTTTTTTTTTCGGAGTAACTGGCAATCGGCCGCAACTAAGGGAACACACGAAGCTGCTCACAGTAGTAGTAGTAGTAGTAATAATAATAATAATAGTAATCCTTGTATTTTATATAGCGCCTGATCTCGTCGGGAATACACCTCAAAGCGTTTCACACAATTTACTGCGAAATTAAGTCGTTGTATTTGTAGGCAAATGGCACAGCACAATTCTGCGCAGCAATGTCACTCACAGCCACAATAATAATAATAATAATCCTTGCGTTTGATATAGCGCTTTTCACGTCTTCTTGACGTCTCAAAGCGCTTCACAGAATATACTGTAAAGTGAATTGACTGTATGGTTGTGGGCGAACGCGGCAGCCAATTGCGCACAGCAATGTCCCACAAACAGTCGTGGATTGAAAATGACCAATTTATTATTGTTTTGTTTCGGAGAGATTATTGTTAGGCTCTGTGTGGAGCCATGAATGAATGAATGATTAGGTTTATTTGGGGCATTCCTTCTTCGTTCCCTTTTTGAATCATGCCTTGGGATCTTTAACGTCCACCTGAACAGGCGGTTTAACAATTTATCACCTGCACATAACAGATCCATGTCAGCCACCACTACCATCTGGTCTTCATCATCTTACTGCTCCACTCCAGGTTCAGTGTTGTACTTTCTGACCGGCCACGTCATCATCACTGAGACCCCAGTGTTGTCTAGTTTGCAGGTGTCAATTTATCTCCCCTGTGTCGGGTGTCACTCTGGCTCAGCAGGGTACAAGTAAATTATGCAAGTCTTTGTCTGGAGTAAAGTTAGCTTGGTGAATCACATTAAGTGATGTCTTTCATTTTAAGTATGTTTAGGCCTTGTCTGTTTTTGTTAATGACAAAGGCTTGTTATACAGATGTTCTGGTGATGTACAGGACTTCTTCATGCTTTGGGTGCATCACTTTTACATTACAATACATGCAGGGAGTGAAGAACTCGTTGATTTGTCACAGGGAGTGTGCAGAAGAACAGCACTAAAAAAAATTTGCATTCTAAACAACCATTAACTTTACCCAATTTACAAACCAGTACTTCGGAACAGATGTGCTGTAGGGCGCTCTCTTGCATCTTGTTATTCTAATGCACCTGCTCCATGAAATGCTCTGCAAATGACATCTAACAAAGCTGATTGAAACTTATGTCTTACTATTAATTCATTCTTGCACTTATAGAAATTATGAGTGTCATAATTCTGTGTGTCAGCCTTGCTCCCTGAGTGGGAAGGTTATGGGTTCAAACTCCCAAGTCGGGAGTTGGAATTCGTAGTCTAAGTTGACACTCCGATGAGGTGCTGGGGGTGTTGGAAATTGCTGAAAATGCCATCCTTCGGATGAGATGTTAAACCGAAGTCCTATCTGTCTGTTGAGGTGGGTGTTATAGATCACACGGCACTATTTAAAAAGAAAGGAGTATCCTAGCCAACAATCCCCCCCCACCACCAAAAAGAAAACAAATGTGGTCATTCAGTTGCTTGTGAGACATTACTACGGACTAAATTGGCTGCTGTGTTTGCCCACAGAATAGTCACTGTATATCCTGTGTAAGCACTTTGGGATGTCTTCCCAACGTGAAAGCTGCTATACCAAATCTAATGATTATTATTATACATATTAAACTGGCAAAAATTACACTTCGGAGACCAATGTTTTGGAGAACATGAGACCAGGATGATGAGATACAAATTTAATTACTGTACTTTCCCTTTACCAATGGGTTCCTGATTTCGGATATGATCCATGGATGAAAATTTGCCCTCTGTGATCCTGAATCTTTTCTGTACTCTATCATTGCAGACTTGTGCATCTGAGACATAGCAATTCTATGAACTAGTAAATCGATATTTAAAAAAAATGCTGCACGTTGACGTCAGGTCAATTGACATCCAAAATGTTTTGATGAATGCCCTCAATCAAAATATTTTAACTATTTTTCAGATTCTGATTGCCCTGATGTGAATTTTGAATATATTCTCTTTTCGTATCAAATTCCACACTCTTCTGGAATTAGTGTGCAAATCTCTGATTGTCCAGTGCCTTGGGATGTGCTCCCGACGTGAAAGGCGCTATACAAATGTAATTTTGTATTGTGTTTTGTACTGCTTGTGTCCCACATTACAAAGCCTCTTGATAAAGAATCCTTGACCATTATAACAAAAAGAGGTATTTGGCCCATCATACCTCCATTAGCTCCCTGAAATAAATATTTGTTCAGTTGCAGTTTCCTGCTTTTTTCCCCACACCATTATAGATTTCGCCTTTTCAGATAACCTTCTAATTCCCTCTTAAAAGCCTCAACCACAGTTTTTGGTAGGGCATTCCACATTCTGATCACCCTTGTAACGAAAGCCTCTTAATCCTCTTTCTTTGATCTTTCAGTAAATACCGAAAATCTATATCGTCTGATTCACCAACCAACAGAAATAATTTCTTCCTGATTGATTATCAAAACTCCTACGAATTTTAAAAACCTCTATAATCTCAATCTTCTGTGTCTAGGGAAAACAGCTGGAGTTCCACCAGTCCCTTTACTCGTGGCAGTTATGAAGTCCAGTTGCAATAATATAATAATAATAATCCTTGCATTTGATATGATCCCTCCAAAAAACAAAACAATAATAAATTGGTCATTTTCAATCCACGTCTGTCTTTGGGACATTTCTGTGCGCAATTGGCTGCTGTGTTTCGCCCATAAATATACAGTCAATTCACTTTACAGTATATTCTGTGAAGCGCTTTGGGGCGTCTAGAAGACGTGAAAAGCGCTATATCAAATGCAAGGATTATTATTATTATAGCGCTTTTCACGTCTTCTCAATGTCTCAAAGCGCTTCATATTATATACATAAATATTATTATTATAAATATGTTTTATATTCGTCAATAGATTAACGACTGACTTCATTACTTCCCGAATTGCAGTGTAGTGTACGATCTTCATCATATAAAAAGCACGCTTGTACCATAAAACAATAAACCATATCTGATAGGCACATTTGCTTTTGTGTCCAAATGCCTCTTGCTTTAGGTCAGGGCGGTCCAACTGTTTGGCTGCCATGAGGCTGATGCTCTGTTTGAGACACATCTCTGGGCAGCATAAGCAATGCTTTTGTGTTTCCCTTCCAGACACATAACATTTACACAGCGCCTTTTTCATGTAGGAAGGATGTCTCAAAGTGGTTAACACTGCCAGGTGGGCACCCGAGCCAGGGAAAAGATGACCAAAAGCACGGTCAAAGAGTTAGGTCTGGTCTTGAATTAGAGGAGAGAGCGATTCGGATGGATTCTACGAATGGAGCTCAACAGAGCAGGGGAAAAATGCTGATAGTGGGGCAGGTGGGGAAGGGACATGAACTACGTCTGTGTTTGCTGGGCAAAGGGAATGGCCGGGTCGGGAGACTGTAGAGATAGAGTGGGAGGTGTGATGAAGATTCTAGAGGAGTTTCTCACTGGGGAACGAGGGAGTTTGCTGTGAGGAAACTGCACAGCACGGCGCTCTGTGTCTGCTCTTGGTACCCCTCAAGGTGGCCGAGGGACGCTCTGATCGTCTGTGCTTACAATAAACAACAAAATGGGGGAAGGGGGGGAAGAGCAAGAAAGGGGAAAGTATTCTCCATTGTTTAGAATAGGGAAAGAATCCTGTTTATACAGTATAGTTGTTTTTGCTTTGCTATTTTTGAACAGTGATTTTCCTTTTTACCTTCAGAACTACAAGCCGCTGGTGTTTACAAAAACAATGTTTAACAAAACTGAAGTAACACTTCGAGGTAATTTTTCTATATACAAGCTCTATATATATATATATATATAGGTTATATAGGTTATGTATATATGAGCTAATTGTGTAGCAGTAAACAAAGATTTATACATGAAATGTGAATAATTGATGTTATGATCAAATAATGATAGAGGAAGAGTAAAGTAAGCAACAAAATAGACTTCAGATTTTGCAAAGCATATATGCTCTGCTCATCTGTATTGCAATGCAAGTACAGTCCTAACATGACTGATACTGCCGTGCAGTCTAGGAGAATAGCTGCACTGTAGGAGTTGCTGGCCTTAGGATAAAACATTAAATTGAAGTCCTTTCTGCCGGTTAAGGTGGACATAAAGAACCCATGGCATTATTTTTAAAAAAGGAAGGGAATTTCTCCCTGTGTCCTAGCCAACAGTGGGATCGTGCTGTGTGGAAATGGACTATCATTTGCCTACAAAATAATGGCTGCAATTGACAAGTTATTTATGAAGTACGTTGAAATGCTATAGATGCTTTGTTCATAATTACTGTATTATGTTTTAGTTTCTATATAGTATTTGATCCGAATTCAAGATCCTCATCCTCACCTACAAGGCCATTCACGGCCTTGCTCCCTCCTACCTCTCCGACCTACTATCCCCCTACCTACCTGCCCGTACCCTCCGTTCCTCCGGCTCCGGTCTGCTCCACATCCCCCGCCCCAACCGCCCTACCATCGGTGGCCGGGCCTTCAGCCTCTCAGCCCCGAGGCTCTGGAACTCTATCCCCCAGTGCCTTCGCCGTCTCCTCCCTTTCCTCCTTCAAGACCTTTCTCTTCGACCGTGCCTTCAGCTCCCCTCTCGACTCTCTACCCCCTCCTCGCTCCCTCCCTTCCCTCCCCTCACCCTGACCATTTCCCCCTTGCTCGGGTCCTGACCCAACTGTACAGCGCCTTGGGACGTCCTCCCGACGTGAAAGGCGCTCAATAAATGGAATCATGTTGTTGTTGTTGATCTGAAGAGATCAGGTGAACAGTAATGATTGTTTCTCTAATGTATGTCTGCGTAATTCAATGATTCACAAAGACAAATGGATCAGCAGCTCACATTTATTCAGATCAAGTCAATCTAGTGATAAGTCATTTTCTGTTCCTTCAGTGAAGTAATGTTTTTTTTGTCTACAAATATACCAGAAACTAAGAACACCTTGCTAAGTTCATATAAAGCATTCTTACTTTCACGAGCCAAACTTTTTTTCAAGATTGGTTGGTAGGACTAACTAACGTTTTAATATTTCAAATTGTTTTTAAGATATTTTATAGTTACATTTTGTTGAATCAAGTCTGGTGTTCTCCTTGAAGCATGTGGATTTTTCAAAACATAAGTTGTCATAAATCATTATTCTGTGAAAGGGTGTAAATACACTGTAAAATTATATTTTAAGGTGCATTTTGCAATATTAGAATTTCCTTTTTTTTCCCTTTACAGTAGTTTCATTCAATTGTCCTGAAAACATAACATTAACAGTTGAATGGTACCTCAGATACTACCCCTGCCACAATGAATTTTCTAATGTTGATGTAAGTATGTATTTTTTTTAAAAAAATTGCAGATTTGTAGAATATTTATATTCTCTGAAAGTATTATTTATGCTTGTTTCATAATCACGGCTTGTGTACAGTGTGGCATAAACAATGTTAATCGACGTTGCACAATAATAATTCTATTTTCACAAAAAGTCATTCTCCACGCTAATTACTTAATCTTGGTTGGGGAAGATTAGATAGTGGTTTGTTTTCACTGCAGAGTCTGTTCCTATTGAAATTGTCTTAAATTAAATGAAAAATAACAAATTAATACACAAGTTATATGCTTTCTTAGGGATGCCTTGGTTCCTTTACCAGAGTGGGGTGTGAAGAGGCAACCCACCCACCCCAACCCCTGCCACAAGTGGACGGGTCTGTTGTGTCCTGTAATGGGACACTAATGAGTTGTGTTTTCTGGTGTCTGTCATTGGACCTATTTGCTTTTGAACAAGTGTAGATATATATGTTTTTAAATCTGCTTTCTCAGTATAGTGAATTTATCCTTCCCTATACTGGGCAAGTGTATTCATCTATTGTGGAGGTGAGCTGCTGATTATGTTTGTTTAGCAGCTGTATTCTGGGTTTCAACACTGAAATGTCTGGTATTTCCCTGGACACATTTATGAAGGGGCCATTTGGTTGACAAAAGTGCCTTTAAAACTGTTTATTGGCCCATCAGCCGAAAACTTTTTCTGAAATGGAGGGTGAAACTTAGGTTGAGAAAAGTTTACATGTCCTTTTAGAAAAAGGGGATAGGTTAGGTATAAAAAAGGAATAAAAAGATGAAAATAAACAACAACTTGCACATATATAGCCCCCTCCACGCAGGATAGTGTCTCAGATCACTTAACAGTGGCGGAGCCTGACTCCGAGCTGGATGGGAGGTGACCGTACGCACAGTCGAAAAGGAAGGCTTTCAGGCGGAACTTGAAAAAGTGGAGAGGTGGAGGTATTGAGGAAGAGTGTTAAGAGTTCCAATGGTGGAGCGGAGGGCGTGAGGAACAAGCAGGAGGCCGGTGCCAGTCAAGTGGATGCGCTGGGTGGTGGATTGGGGAGTGGAGAGGTGGGAAGTGAAGGAATTTGAAAACGGGTATGAGGACCTTGAAGTCAATTTGTTCGGTGCTGGGAAGCTAGTGGAGCCTGGCCAGAACTGGTGAGATGGGAGTACGGAGTTTGGTCCAGGTAAAGAGAGAAAAGAGAATATAGGTTGAGCAGAATATGTTGGTAATGTCTTCTATATGAAATTAATTGATTGTTTGAGGCACTTATTTTTGTTCTCAGTTAACATTACAATAATAAAGGTTACAGTAATCACTAGCAATGTAGACCTTCATTGTTTGGTTGGAAATGGTCACAGTTTAATGCAGGCCACGTGATTGAGAAATCACTTTCTGAATTTAAATTTCTTAATCTTAAAACAATTGCTTGATTTTTGGCTGAAATTGATTGCTTTCCCGTGAAAGATCCCCACAATTCATTTTTGTGGTGTTCCATTGCAAATGCAAAGTGTAATAATTCTAACTGCATCTGAACTGATGGCGCATAGTGAAGCCTGCAAGTGATGGCCACAAATGACAAATTATTTCAGCACCTTTCTTAAGGCAGAATGCAGCTGTTTTTAGGTATCTTAATAGTAAATTAATTTTTGACCTGCTTTAAGATGCATAAACCTTATTATTATGCTGCACATTATTTAAACTTGTTGAAGATTTCAATTAATTGGCTTGCATTTTAGTACTTCCTTCATGAGAATGAGACTTGAACTTGATCTTTTTATTTCTTAGGATATATACGAAAATAAATTTTCTGGAGGGAATGTTGCTAATAGCCTTGAGCCTCGCCCATTCAGTAAAGGACATTACATTGAATATAGATCTAAAAACATCATTTGTAATGATGGAATTCAAGTCTTCACTAAATTTCCTGTAAGTACATGCAATAAATTGTTGAACTCCAATCAATTAAACTGGACTTGTTCTTCAATGCAAAGTCAAACTTGTAAATTTCACCTCTTCCATTTTGCAGAAAATCCAAGAACTTCCTCGACCTGTGATGATGCAGATTCCAAATGCAGATGAGGTGATCTTGTTGCAATAGAACGTGTTTAAAGCACCTTGTAGTTGACACAAAAATAAGGAGTGTAGCCAAATGGGAATTTACTGGTTGAAGGGACTTGGGTATGATGAATGGCTGAGGCTGAGTAGACTGGGTTAATATCACATGGAGCAGAGAAGATTAAGGTGTTTTTTTTTGAGTTATTTAAAATGATGAAAGGAAGTAGCAGGTTAGGTAGTGAATGATTCTTCCATCTGGAAAGGAATCCGTTATTAGGGACCATAGCCTTAAAATCAACTTGACATAACATTCCTCATGCAGGTCAGCATCTTGGAGCAGTGGAAATCAGAATCTAAAGTGAATTTTTTTCATATTTCCACACCACTCATGAAGATGTTTTGTTTGTCTTTAATGTATTCTGATTTCTGTTCCGAATTCTGCTTGATTTTTTTTAAGAATTAAAATTGCATTGATCTCTGCTCTCAATTACATATGATCATCTCTTCATTAGAGAAACAATAACCAGAGTTTTTGTTAAAACATTTTCGAGATCAGTATGTTAAATGGAATTGCAGCAATGTAATAAGCCATGTCCATTGAAGAGTTATTTTTTATATCTTTCAGTCTTCGCTTGTATATTTAAACTGTTTGGGAAGATTGTAAGATTATAATCTTGCTATATTTTTGATTCTGGTGCATAAATTCTGCTGCTTCCCTAAAAGGGTTAGTGTACAGTTGGTATAAATTGATAGTGGATGAGAATTTCTGTCCAAATGTATAATTGATACCCAAATGCACGTGTTTCAACTTGAGTATAATGTTTCCAGATCACAAAGACAAAAGACTCGAGTGTCAAGTCCACCAGCAACCTTCATAAACCTGAAGGACCTAAGGTACTTTTTTATTTATAATGCATGATTTTTATAGTTGTAGCATGGGAACAGAACTCCCGATTTTAGTAAAACTTATACACTTATTCTGCTTATAAACCTTTCACCATGCCATATCTATAAGGTCCAAGATAGGTTTAATATTTTCAAGTGAGTAACTATTGTGACTATTTTAAAGTGGTTCATGATGTAAATTATTACACATTATTTTAAAAAAATCTGTTTTCTTTAGGCAGTTCATTCCTTGTGGAAAAGAGAGACAGATACAACTGGAAAGGTACAAATGTTATTTTCGCATAATTGACTTCACACAGGAGATCAGATTAATTTTGTTATTTGTGATGTTGGAAGTGTGTATAAAATTATTTTGAGGATAAATTGCTTTCACCAGTTGACAAATATGGACATTTATGTTTGCAGTATGCAGTGGTAGCAGAAACTTGGAGAGAAGGTCCATATCTTTTTGCAGTTTCTATCAAATCCACGCAAGGAACAGAGAGCAATTGGAATGTAACAGGTGAACTGCAAGACTTAAAGCATTCTTTTAACCATTTAAAATAAAATTGATTGAATGAAATAATAATAATAATCCTTGCATTTGATATAGCGCTTTTCACATCTTCTAGACATCTCAAAGCGCTTCACAGAATATGCTGTAAAGTGAATTGACCGTATATTTGTAGGCGAAACGTGGCAGCCAATTGCACACAGCAGTGTCCCACAAACAGTCGTGGATTGAAAATTACCAATTTATTACTGTTCTTGTTTTGGAGGATTAATGTTTTGGTTTTGGAGGGATTATTATTAGGCTCCGTGTGGAGTAAGGAAACTTGCCCAAGGTTTCGCCCTGCCTGGAATTGAACCCAGGTGTCTCACTTGCAAGGCGAGTGCTCTAACAACTGAGCTGCAGGACTTAAAATAAATGTAAAGCATTGGTTTCATGGCTATACAGGAAATTTGATTAATTGATGTGAAAGAGGAGGAAAAATCCAGGTTGATACTTTATTGTTCAAACGTACTCCCCCAATTTGAAAGATGAAAATATCTTTATAAAATCATATAAACTATATTACCTTGTAACAAAGTGGTTGGCTGGGCCCAGTGACTCACTGGCTATTATAAACAATTGAACAATTCTGTATTCTCAGCATGTTGTATTATAGAAGCTTTTACTTTGTAAATGTAGAAAGTTATTCTGAAAGGAAAAATGACTGAATTCTGGGTTATAGGATTGCTGCGGATGTGTACTTCCTGTATGTTGTGGCGGAGCGTTTTGTTGCTGATGTAATTTAGCCGGAAATGGCATTAACGATGCTTTCTGTGCATTGCATGTCACGTGCAAGAACTGATGTCAGAGGTGACTTGACCTGGATATTGGCAAATTGTTAGTGCCGAAAGCTGGTTTATCAGTGCAGGGAGCCAGGTGTACCGTTAGTGTGGACTACCATAATTGGGTTCCTCTGTATCAGTTTCAAGGGTCTACTTTTCCAAAATTTGTGTTCCTTTAATACCAAGAAGCTTACCTGCTTCAACCATCCTGCTATCCAAAAAATAATGGCATTTGTTAGGCAACTATAAACAATCTAATGCATTTTATGAAGTTTTTAGTCTGGTACTCAACTTGAGGTCCTCGTATTTACTTTCTTTACATGACATGTTCATACCCAATTATTCTGAAGCTCATACAGTAAACCCCTGACTATCCAGACCCTAGATATTTGGAATTTCGAATTAGCCAGACTGGGTCTGAAAAAAAATTCCAGGTTTGCATGACTCAAAACTCCACCACCCCTGTGTTTTCAAACTCCCACTAGCCCACGTAACACTCACAGACAATTTGACACTGATTGTCATGAACAGAGCTGCATCATGTCAGTGGTTAGTAATAAAAATAACACTTGCATTTGATACAGCACTTTATCACTTCGTTGAGACGTCTTAAACCGCTTCACAGGATATACTGTAAAGTGGATTTTGTGGGCCAAATTTGGTAACCAGTTGTGCGCAGCAATGTCCCACAAACAGCCATGGAGTGAGCATCCAATTTTATTTGGGGATTTGTTGACAAGGACACCGGGAGAAACTCCCTTTTTCTTTTGAATTGTGCCATGGGATCTTTAACATCCACCTCAACAGGCAGATGGGACCTTGGCTTAATGTCTCATCCGAAGGATGGCACCTCTGACAATGCTCTCTGCCCCCCCACCCATGCTGCATTAGACTCTGTGATTCCGAGTCCCGACATGGGGCTTGAATCCACAATCTTCTGACTCAAAGGCAAGAGTGCTATTACTGATCCAGGATAACACACAATACAGAACTTTTTTTTGTCTTATATTTTGAAATACTGTATTTTTAAATGGTAGGTAACATTTATTTTTATTTAATTTGTTTATTTTAAACATTAGGGATTAGAATTATCAGTTATCTAGAAAATCCCACTTGCTGGATCGAATCTCCCCACTATTAGTCTGGTTAGCTGAAGTTTAGTGTATTGTTAGTAAGAAATTATTTTAATAAGAAAGCATTGTACAGTTTTTTTAAATCTTGTTCGACCAATTGCACACATCTTTCAGAACTTTGATGCACCCTAATTTTGGAAATTCTTTTGCTGAAGAAACCAGTGTTAGAAATTCAGATTTGTTTTCCAATCATTTAACATCTGGGCAAAATTTATAAATTGCGAACAAAATGTCTTTCAGTTTTGGTATCAATGCAAGGCTCCCATGGATTTATTTCGGCATCGGAATTTCCACTGATGATTGTAAGTATAGTTTCTTTTGTTCTCCTTATGTTATCACAAACTCAAACCCACCACGTGCTCCATTGATCCCATCCCTACCTCTCTCCTAATCTCCACCTGCTGGCCCTCACCTGTCCGATGTCATCAACCACTCCTTGTCAACCGATTCAGTTCCAACCCCCCTAAAAACAGCTGTCATCACTCCCATCCTGAAAAAACCTTCCCTGGTCCCATCCCTACTCTCCAGCTACCGTCCCATCTCTAACCTTCCATTCCTCTCCAAGGTCCTAGAACGAGTCATCGTGTCCCAGCTCCGCTCCTTTTTCTCTTGCCATTCCCTCTTAGAACCCCTCCAATCCGCCTTCCGCGCTGCCCACAGAACAGAAACAGTCCTGGTCAAAGTCACTAATGACATTCTGAACACCTGTGATCAGGGCTCCCTCTGCCTCCTTGTCCTCCTCAACCTCTCTGCCGCCTTCAACTCTGTCGACCACTCCATCCTCATACACCGCCTCTCCTCCTTACCTAATCTTCGCGGACCTGCCCTTGCCTGGTTCGATTCCTATCTCTTTTACCGTCTCTACTTTGTTGCCTCTAACGGTTTCTCCTCCAGCCCCCGCACTGTCACGTCTGGCATCCCCAGGGCTCTGTCCTTGGCCCTCTCCTCTTTAATATCTATAAGCTCCCACTTGGTGACATCATCCGCAGACATGGGGTCAACTTCCATATGTATGCGGATGATACCCAACTCTATCTTTCTGCCTCCACCCTCAACTCCAGGACCACTGCTGTCCTGACAGACTGCCGGTCGGACATCAAGTCCTGGATGAGGGCAAATTTCCTACAGCTGAATGTGAACAAGACTGAGGCCCTCCTGATTGGCTCGGGCCAGCGCCTCAGCACCTCAAGCTCTGGCAGCATCAACCTCCATGGTTGCACATTTCAACTCACCAAGACAGTCAGGAACCTAGGTGTCTTGTTCAACCCTCAACTGTCTTCTTCCCCACATCCGAGCCATGACCTGCTTGCTCTGCCTTCCCTCACCTCCATAACATCGCCCGACTCTGCCACTACCTCACCCCTCAGGCCGCTGAAACTCTTGTTCATGCCTTCATCACCTCCAGGCTCGACTATGCAAATGCCCTGCTTGTCGGCCTTCCCAACTCCTCCCTCCACAGGCTGCAGATAATCCAGAACTCTGCAGCCCGTGTCCTCTCCCGCACCAAACCCCATCTCCCACATTCTCGCCCGCCTCCATTGGCTCCCTATCCTTCAGAGAATCCAGTTCAAGATCCTGGTCCTCACCTACAAAGCCCTCCATGGCCTCACCCCACCCTACCTCTGCGGCCTCCTAACCCCCTACCAATCCGCCAGCTCCCTCCGCTCAGCTGCCTCCGGCCTGCTCCACGTCTCCTGATCCACCCGTCCCACCATTGGCGGGCGAGCCTTCAGCCACTCTGCCCCCAACCTCTGGAACTCCATCCCCCAATCACTCCGCCTCGCCCCTCCTTAGCCTCTTTCAAGTCCTGCCTCAAAACCCTCCTCTTCGACCATGCCATTGGTCAACGCTCCCCCCCCTCCCTTCTCCCCCCTGACCCCAACTCGGGTCTTAAATGCTGTACACTGTCCAGCGCCTTAGGACACCCTCCCGACATGAAAGGCGCTATTACAAATGTTGTTGTTATATGTACGAATTGTTTTAATATAACACTGAATTAGAATCTAAATTTTATAATTGTATTTAGTCAAATTTGGGATATATAGATATTTTCAATTTTAAAATTGTCTGAAACTAGTCTTGGATAACCAATTGTATTCGTACACATAGGTACCAAATTAATTGAAAGACAAATTGATAGACACTGATAACTAATTAAATGTATGGTTAGTTAGTGATGAAGGTATATTACTAGCCAATCACTTCTAACTGGAATTACACTGTCTTTACAATACCACAGTCTGGCAGCCCTTCTTTCCTTTTCGGTCTGCCTTTTTTCTCTCTCTTGGTATTCTGTTTCTCTCTGACTTTTTTCAGACCCAGGGGACGTTAAAATGGGATTTCCCTGTATTTAGAAATATAATGTAATCAATTGAAAAACATTTATGATTAAGTTTTAATTGGAGATTTTGATGTTTTTCTTCCAGTTTTACATGGTGATGTGCATCATTTATATATTATATGGTGTCTTGTGGCTGATCTGGTCTGCATGCTACTGGAAGGATTTATTGAGGATCCAGTTTTGGATTGCTGCAGTTATATGTCTCGGGATGCTGGAAAAAGCAGTTTTCTATGCAGAATACCAGAATGTTAACACTAGTGGAATATCGGGTATGTTTAGCACTTCTGGAAAAGATGGGAACTCTGTGTGGTTATCACATTACGTGTCGTATAGGGGTGAACAATTTGTGTTGGTTAGGGTATTGTCCATGTGCTATATGCTATGTCAGCGATTCCAATTATTTTGTATATTTCTGCTTGTTTTATAATTTGATTCCCAATGATTCAAAAGTCCCTTTCATTGACAACATGCACTTTCAGCATAAAATATCTACACCGCAAACCGCAAACCCTGTCCATGTGGAGAAATAGGCCACTTGATCATGGATTGTGGGATGTGATAGATATTTGGTTCCCCAGGTTTTGTTGCTATGCAAACAGCTCTGGAGACGTGTCTAATATCCTTCTGTTTACAGATGCACCTTGTCACTCTCTGGCTCCTCCCTACCTCTCCGACCTCATCACATCCCACTCCACCACCCGGCGCCTCCGCTCGACTGGCACCAGCCTTTTGCTTGTCCCTCGCACCCTCCGCCCCACTAACGAAGGTCGTGCTTTTGGCCACTACGCTCCAAAATCTGGAAAACTCTCCCTCAATCCCTCCGCCTTGCCCCCTGTCTCCTCTCTTTCAAGTCCTGCCTGAAAACTTCCTGTTCAACCGTGCTTATGGCCACCTCCCCCTGGCTCAGAGTCAGGTGTTGTTAAGCGCTCTGACACACTACCCTGCGTGGAGGGTGCTATATACGTGTAAGTTGTTGTCTATGTTGTCCACAGTCTAATATATTTAGAGCATGATTGAACCAGCCCTACCAGCATACTATTTAGAGCACTGGCACTGAAATTGTACATGTGCAACCGAAGAGCCATTTAACAATTCCTTTCTTTTTCTGTAGCACAAGGTCTCCTTGTCTTTGCAGAACTTATTTCTGCAGTGAAACGAACGTTGGCTCGACTACTTGTGATCATTGTAAGCTTGGGATATGGAATAGTTAAGTAAGTATTTAAGTGAATACCAAACAGAATATTCTGACAAGTAATTATTGTAGGAAAATAGATATCAATTTTTTTTAAAAAAACTATTGAGTTCCTTTTTCCCATGGGATATTTTTGGGGCAGTCACAATTAATGCATCTTGCAAAGGTGGAGAGCTAATAGAGCATTCATATGCAGAACCACTTGATCCTAGTCTGGGGTTCCACTAGATTGGAGCTATCCAAAATGTGGGTTATTTTACTTAACTTTATCTCCTACCTTTTATTTTCCCTTCAAGATGGTTAATATGTTGTGTTGATTAAAAATGAATGTGCCAATTTCACCATTTATCCCTATCTTTAACTTTTTCTAGATTCTAAGTGAAACAGACCAGGATGTGATGATCTGAGCATTAAACATATATAATTGTTTTATGTTTGATTTTGGAGGAAAGGAAACTTCATTTGATTAAAATAAAAACAGATGGAAGGTTTTTTTAAATGCTAGATTAAATATAAAGCAAATCAAATGCACATATTTGTTCTTAGTTTCCCATACGTTTGGTGAGCCTTTGTCAAGAGTTCCTTGTTTCTCTTATAGATTTTTTTTTACAGCACAGGGTCCATTGTGAGAAATCAATTATGCTGTGCTAGCTCTCTGAAAGAGCCATCTGTTTAGTCCTATATTCCTGCCCTTTTTCCATAGAGTATTATATATTTATGTATGTTCAATTCCCTATGAAAAGCTTTTATGGAATCTGCTTCAAGTCTTAACACTTGCATATTGATTTAATATCTTACCATTATTGGTTCAAGCACTCTGGGATGCTACCCTGCATGAGGGGTGCTATATAAATTCAAGTTGTTTTTCATCGTCTGGTTGCTGCAAACTATACAACTGGCTCCCATGGGGACTCTCATTTGAGTGTAGACCAAGTACTTCCTTAATCAAGGAAGGTAGGTTGAGTAGCCCAATACCACTCATTCACACCTCTTACTATCTGGTTTCAGAGCGCTTTGTCTCACCATTGCTGGATGAGCTTTCAGCTATGCTGACCTCACTCTTTGGAACTCCATTCCTAAGTCTCGCTGCTCCGTCACTCCCTGCCTTCAAAATCCACCTCAAGATGGCACATTTTGCCACATTTTCTTCCTTGCCTCAGCTCGCGCTCCCAGTCAGTTGTATGAGGCACTTTAAGATATTCTCTTGACCGTGAAAGGTGCTATGTAAATTGTTGTTCTATCCCTTCAGGTGTTCTTTTAACTTTCTGTTCAAACAGACCTCGATTGGGCACCGTAATGCACAGAGTAATTGGCTTGGGAGTTCTCTACCTGATTTTTGCAGCCATTGAAGGAGTCTTGAGAATTACTGGGGTAAGGCGAAATGATTAATTTTTAATCTTCAAACTAATATTTTTATTCATATGATTTGAACAATTTATCTCATTTTCAGTTTCTTCATTTACAGTACATTTGACTAAAGTAAAACAATCTTAGTACAATTTATTTCTCAGTTTTTTCTTTTCAAAATGCTCGCTTTGTTTCAATGTTTTTTGGTAGGAATTAAGGAACATGAGGTAAAAGCTAAATATTTTACACAGAATGATGTTGAATCCAAATTTAGACTATTTGATCATGTATTAATGTTGAAACTGAGTAATCTGTCTTCAGATTTAGTAATGTTTTTTGAAGAATGTTGTAGGTGGATCTCGGGTTAAAAATCTGGTTCATACCATTTGATCGTTTTATTTTTGTTGCATGTTTATTTTGTTATCCTTTTGATAATTAAGACACAGAGAAGTAAAGTTATTTTTCATGTAAGATTATTTTAAGAATAAAACCAAGCTTGACCAATCAGTTCTATGGCATATTGAATTGTCACCTATATGCGTTTAGGATTTGAAGTGAAGGAAAAGTAGCCCAAAACTAAAAAAAAAAAGCTTGTGTTCACAGGCAGCAAGTATCTCCTATTTAACAATGTATGTATACTGAGGAAGCGGAACCTTTACTCGAGAGGAGAGGCAAACTACCAGTTACTAAAGTTTGCTCTGGGCATACCCTTCAGGGGAAATTAATTACTCGTTTTTATGTTTGCAGGCTGGTTTGGGAGCTTTATTTCATCCTCATCTCTTTTCTAAAGTAAAACTTTTTGTTTTGTTGCGATTAAGCTAATTTCGGCTGCTAGAGATCATGGGTTGAAAGAAGTCATGCCAAAAATTGAGATTGAACATCATCTTCCTAATAAGTGCTCTCTGAGTATCCTCAGATTTGTTATCTTCCCTTTTCGAATAATCACTGCAACCTTCCATTTTTTTTTCTGTATCCAAAATGGTCCGGGCCAAGTAGTCAACAACACATTGCACTTTTATAACGTCCTCCAGGGTAGCGTCTCAGAGCGCTTAACAGTGGCGGAGCCTGACCCCAAGCCGGCAGGAGTGGGGAGGTGGCCATAAGCATGGTCGAAGAGGAAAGTTTTCAGGCAGGACTTGAAAGGGGGGAGAGAGGGGGCAAGGCGGAGGGATTGAGAGTATTCCAGAGTTTTGGGGCATAGTGGCTGAAAGCACGTCCTCCGGTGCTGGGGTGGAGGGTGCGAGGGACCAGCAGGAGGCCTGTGCCAGTGGGCCAGGTAATCCAAGGTATTTGTATGATAAAAAAGGGCTTCACTCGCAACTAGATAATGTGAATTTACCATGATAGTTTTTCTTCATAACGCTTTAATCTGACTAAACTTGCTGCATGAGGGTAGATGGTTTCAGTGTCAGTTAAAGTTGGGATTCAAAGTTAACCATTGGTGCCACAAACTTTCTGTTCAACTTTGTGATTTACAGAACAGAGCTGCCTATAGTTTTATATGACTTGGTAATCCTTTTCTCTGAATGGAATCTGTTTGAAAATATAACAATTTTCTATTTTTAATACTCTAGGATCCAAGAAGTGTTACAGTCATGGTGGCCGAGATAGTTTTAGCATTAATTGATTCCTGTTTTGTGTGGTTCATATCCTTCTAAATATTCCATATTCTGAAAAGAAAATGATCATTTTGCTGCATTGCATAAAAAATGTTTTATGTAATCTAAGATGTTAGCTGAATTGTGTCCTTGCTACCATTTTATCAAATTAATTTAATTGAAGCATTAAACTGAAATTGCTCATGAGTAATTTTTCAGGATGTATTAGCAAATTATCATTTGTCAATTACAGAGAATCCTATCCTATCCAAACTTGGCTGAATCCTGTACTCACTCTGAGTACTGAGCATGCCCACCCACGCCTCTGTTATTATACCAGCTATTACCCAATTGCTTCAGTTTTTCAAATTTTCAATAATCATTTGTGTTCTGTATTGTAATACGTAATAACCATATGTGGTGAGAAATAGAAATTAAATTTAAACTAATAAGCTTTATGTTGAATGATCCACTTCAAATCACCAACTGAAATTGTTCCTACCATTACCGGTGACAAACCAGTAACTCTGGTTCTCAAAATATTATGTGGAGAACACCAGTTTGCATGGATATAATGTTTTATCTTGGTGGTGGGCGCTTTCCACAGTTGTAATGGATCATGCATGAACCTTTTTAAGCATTATTATGCTTCACTAAAACTCAAGTAACACTAATATAGAAATAATAATCCTTGAATTTGTTAGAGCCCCTTTCAGTTTGGGAAGGTAGCTCAAAGCATTTCACAGGATTCACTGTGTAGTGTGTAGTTACCATTTTGCCGGTGAATGCACACAGCAATGTCCCAGAAAGAGCCATGAAATGAATGGCCAATTTTATTGAAGGGATTGTCCTAGACATCTGATGTAACTTCTCTTTTCGAATAGTACCATAGATCTTTACCATCCACCTAAACAGATAGATAAGATTTCAATATCCATTCACACAGTGTTTTAATTTAAGTACATTTTATAAATGTTTTAATTTTGTGAAGCCATGGAAGGTACTGAAGAATTGATTTTAATACCTTTTTTGCTTGGTTCTGAGTAAATGAGATATGTGTTAACCTGAATTCAGGGAGGTTACTACACCTGATATCCACTAGATAGAAGATTATATAAATACCCCTTATAATTGAAGGATTTATGCTGTTGAACAAAGTAATGAAAATATTTCTACTAAGGCTGAATCGATGACTGGAATGAAATTAGTTATGCCCATCCTTATAATATTACGATGACAGCTATTCTATTTATACCAAATGATTTTAAAATATATTAAGTATATGATATGGCAAGTGTGAAAACTATAAATATAAGTTATTTGTGGACTGCCTTCTCTTGTCTACGTATAGTATATGATCTTTACAGCTCTGGACAAATGTTTCTTGTTGCTGCCTTCAATACAGCTAGCTTCTGCCTCTGCATAATCTCTTTTTAAGTTAATTTGTACAGAGAAGACAAATCTAACTTGAGAGAATCTTGTCAGAATCCTATCTACTCCAAGCTTCTAGCTCAATTTATGTGCATTTGTAACTATTTGTGATCTGCTAAATTTATCTTTAAAGTTTGTTATCTGTCTCTAACATTATTTGTTCTGACCTTTTGGCATTATAGGAAAAGGAATCTGATCTTGCGCTTTTGGCCAGTATACCCTTGGCTTTGCTTGATTCTGGTTTGTGCTGGTGGATATCCTTTAATAAATCAAAGCTTTTGATGTGGTAATCTTAACTGCTCACTTTCATCTGTTCAAAGAATCTAAACTTTGCCCTCGCAATGGAACTATGCTTGCTGCATCCATGAATTAACTATTAAGCAAAATTAATTTTAACATGTCTGTATAAAAATGTTTTCTTGCAGCCTGACTTCTGGCTGATTAACAGCTGCTGAAAAACATTCTGCTAACTGCATGTTGTTTGTTTAAATTAAGGATTTAATGCAATCTTATTTAAGGCATACTTCCAGCCCCAAACATTGGTTTGAGAAGCAGGGATCTCATATTATGAGTTGTGTTTACTGTAAATATTTAAACAAGTATAAATGGTCTGTTGTTGCAATATATTGCTGCTCTAGAAAGTTATCACAAAGAATATTTTAGACCCTGTCTGTAGTTGTAACTTCTTACTTCAAGAAGGCCATGGAGTAATTTTGTGCAACATCAGAGGCTTCCATTTTTGTCCAGTGGTGTTCTCCTATGGCTTTTATAGCGCATAGGAGTATGTAGGTTGATGATGACTAACATTAGCCTATAGCAAATATTCTAAAGGGCATTGGTGGGCATGTGGTTTCTTTAGAATATCTACCCTGTGGAAATTCCACAATAGCCAGAGATGAGGTGTTTCCATGAAAGGGGCTGAGTGTCTCATTCTGTTCTTGTACTCTACCAAAAGCTGCTTTGCTTACCATTAACTGCTTTCACAACTCAAGCTCCTCTTTTCCACCACAAATCACCTCCTCCATCCCACCAAGCCCCCTTTCCACGGTCCTCGCCTCCAATTCAAATGTGACGAGGTCATGAGTTTCCTTGTGACCAAAATAGATGACATTCGGCTGTATCTTTTTCCACCTCCACTCCCCACCCCTCTCCCTGTATCTTCTGCTCCTGCCTCTACTTTGTGTAGTTTTGCCCACACAACCCCTACCGCCCACCACTGTGAAACGCTCAGACATTATTCTATGTGAAGAGTAGTATATAAAGACAAATTGTTGTTGTGTACTTGTGTTCTGGGATGAGGAAAGGAGCTGAAGAATAACAAGAAAATAGAATTTGATTTTAATTTTTCAATTTGTACCATATATAGGTTGCACCGTATTTGGTCTATAATACAGTGCTCAGTGTATTCAGAAGAGAACGGGAGAAAATTAGTTCATGTGTACAAAATCTGTCAATTGGGGTTAGGGGAGGGTTATGAAGTGGATGCAAGTAGATGGAAAATTTGAAAGTCCTTAAAGAACCAAATTGTTGCACACTAGGGAGTACAGCTCACTGGGGAGTACATTCTGTTGGCTGTGGGAGGAGAGTAAAGAGATATAATAATGCCCAAAACAGTCAGTAAAAGTATTCCCTCAGTTTGATAGGCCAAGAGGCAGTCTCTGTGTTAGAGTTGAGATATAGCACTGATGATCTCTGTTTTATTTCCTGATCTGTGGAGATGTTACAGTTGGCTTCAATATATATTAGGGGAGAAGAGGCTGAGAGTACCTTGGCAGTAAATGGGAACAACACTAGGTCACTTCATTTGATTTTTATCTGATAATTGTGGAAGCCGAGTGAAGAATTTGGTACAAACCTGCATCGCCATTGGTCCACTATCTCATCATGCAAGCTAAGTAAATCGTTTTTGCAATTTAAGCATGTATTTTCTTACATTAAGCTCTCAGACTTGTGTAAATGAGTGATTTGATTTGTGTGTGTATTTATGAATCTATAATTTGAGTATTGAGGACATGGTCATTTTCCTTAACTGCTGCTACATATTTGTCAGCCTGGCTCAAACAATTAAAACTCTGAAATTAAGGAAAAATGTTGTGAAATTATCATTGTACAGACACTTTACAAATACCTTAATTTTGGCAATTCTAGGTAAGTAAATTTTAATTCATTCATTTTTATAAAAAAAACAATTCAGTCCTTTGTGTTTTCTAATGCAACTATTTTAATTTTCAGCATCAGTTGGGTTTATGATATGGACAACAAAAAAGTTCAGATTGGCAGTATGTCAGTCAGTAAGTTATTACATTTTTTTTACTTTCTGTAATCTCTGAGCATTTTTAAATTAACTTTTATTCTATTGGTTAGAATGCAGTTATTTATATCATTAGTAATAATATATCATTGGTTAAACTTAACCTTTATACATTCAGAATAATCTACTGAAACATTCTCTTTGTGTCTGGATAACTGATTCTGTCTTACTCAGACGCTGAAACTAAATACGAATATTACTAAATATTACTAAATACTATATTAAAGCTAACCAAACATATGGAATAGCCTGATTCTACAAATAGTGGGGTAAACTGTAATCTATTAAAATAAATGCATCACACAATTTAAATAGAAAATATTAATTCGGTTCTTTTTACTATATTCTCTGCATTTTTTTTATTTTAACTTTTATTTTTCTTCTGATTATCCTTCCCTTCATTCTGTCTGGCAATCACAGTCCCCATTTGTTAAAATTATATTCCTCCGATTAATACATGTAGTCTTTATGTAACCCAGCAGGGTGAAACCTTGGGCAAATTTCCTTACTCCACACGCCTAATAATAATCCCTCAAGAAAAAAAATAATAAATTGGTCACTTCAGTCCACGACTGTTTGTGGGACATTGCTGCGGTGCAATTGGCTGCCGTGTTTCGCCCACAAATATAGTCAATTCACTTTACAGTATATTCTGTGAAGCGCTTTGAGACATCTAGAAGACATGAAGAGCAGAGAAAAGCATCTGTTATAATAATAATGCAAGGATTATTATTATAACAGATGCAACACAATGTAATGGACTATTGAACAAACAATGGAGCATTTCTCGATTAACAGTCCATTACATTGTACTGCATCTCCGTAAGATGAGCTTTCAGAGCTATTTGCCGACTTGGAATTTTCATAGGTATTTGAAGACTGCTTTTAAGTCTTCTGCTCTCAAAAGGCGATCTTTCTAATTTATATTCACAGATGTTTTTATTGGCATTATATTTCTATTTTTCCTCCTTTGAAATTTTAATAGGATTGGATGGAGTTGTGGGTTGATGATGCTGTATGGAGACTCCTTTTTTCTGTCATTCTTTTAGTCATCATGATTCTCTGGAGACCATCAGCAAATAACCAGAGGTAAGATTGTATTACAAATGTTAAACTTTATTGTGAATGTTGTACTGTTCAAGACAAATAATGGTAAGTGTGGGAAAATGAACAGGACCCAATGTTGGCATAAGCACTTGCAATTTGAACATTGTATGGCTTAAATGCAAAGTGAAGTTCCATTTATTCTAGCCAACCTCACCTGCAACGCTGAGTACAATAGCACTACTGTGACAATTATTCAATTCCCTAACAATTCTGCTGACTTCTTCTTGAGTGAGGCTGTTGTTTAGTTGTTAAATAGAGAACATTCATATCTACTGCGAACTGAGTTTAATTTCCCATAAGACCTTAACAGACTTTTTCAGGCCATTTCTGGGCACTCTTGCTTGAGCACTATTTCACAAGTATTGGCAGCTGTGTGGTATATTGTTCAAGTAGCAATTTATGTGTGAGTTATGCTAGGGATTGTTGGCAGACTAACTGCAGAGGTGATCACTCAAGCGTGAGGCAGGAGGGTAGCTGGCACCTTTGGAACTGCACCTTAGTATTATTGCCTTAGGGAGAGATTGGGTGGGTTGAAGAGCAAGTGTTCAACACTTTTGTTTTTCCTCCTCTGTGTTTTGCTTCAGATATGCCTTCACTCCTCTTATTGATGACCCAGATGATGAAATGGAGGAATTCATGGTGGGAGAAAATTTTGGTAAATATGACATAGAGCCATAGAAATTTATGGCACAGAAGAAGGCTCTTCAGCCCATTTTTTCTGTCAGCTCCCTCAAGACCAATCATTTCAGGCCCATACTCCATTTTATTTTAGAATCAGAAAAATATTGCTATGTGTGCTGATTAAATAACCTTACTATTTATCAATCTTAATACATGGGGAGGGGAGGAAGAACTAATGTCATACATGTATTTGGATCTTAATCATCCACAGCCTTAGTTGGAGGAAGGTCGTGTATTGTGGTATCACTCTTAGCTTTAATAAAACAAATTCCATCCCTACATTTGAACCAAGATATTGAAGTACAATATGTCACTTTTCGGTGCCATCCAGTCCATGGAAAGGCTTTATAATTTTTTTTTACATGGATTAAACATTTTAGAATATTAATCAGAGCCCAACGCAACATTGCGTGATACATTTCTTGCAAGTTGCAAACTGCACTTTGTTTTGAATTTTTTAACTTGACGTAAGATCCAAATGGATAGTTTTCTGAGTGTAATTAGTAATTTCATGTTAAAATAAACCAATTTATGTTGGTGTATTTTGCTCTTTCATTGTGTGTTTGATCCAACAGTCCGTTAGCACTAGTTGATGTTTTTTTTCTTGGGCATCTTGTAGCTGATGGAATAAAGCTGAGGGCATCCAAAGTGGAGAATGGCACAGGAAAACCAGCCTCTAATTTGGTGAGTGATTGGTACTTCATAAATCACATGATATATTGAGTTATGAAACAATGCTCATATTTATTATCAAAACTAGAGAGGAAACAATTTATTGAAGTGTATGAGTTGTTTGAACTAAACCCGCCACCCTCGTCCCAAAACAAATGTTAAAAAGAATATTATTGGAGGTATTGCTTTCACATGGTTCATCATATGAAGAGCTGCTGTCTGGCGAAAGTTGTTGGGTCAACATTGATTATAAAGCAGTAATTTGCTGCTCCATAAGGAATCCCATAGATTGGTATCCAAATTGATCTGGTTGTTAATAGGAATGTTTTTGAGCTGGTAATATCCATTTTGATGATAATCCTTGCATTTGATATTGTGCTCTACCATATTTCCGTATATTCCACAGATACACACATGTCTTCTTCAAATGACCCTTGATTAGTAAAGCTAAGCAACAGACTCGGATAGAAACCAATTTATCAGTGACTTTGCTGGATCCAAATTGCAGCACAGTTGGATTCTCATAACTACATTGATTGCTGTAGTATATGGTTCTTTTGATTGCATGGTAACATTGCAGTATCCCTTGTCAGATTGGTGCCATCTTTTCTCCTCCACCCACCATAAGTATCAAAGCCATTTATTATTCCTAATAAATGCTTTAGATGTTTTGTATTTGTGTTGTGACGCTTCAAATTATCTTGAAAAGCCCCTTCTATATACTGTTTCAAGTGTGAGTCTAATCATCTCTCCTTTTAATCCTTTTCACAGGATGAAGATTTGAAATGGGTGGAAGAAAACATTCCTTCTATTACAGATGTGTAATTATCAACATTTTATTAATTATCAGTCTAATTTACAATGTAATCTAATGTTTTGAAGCAAAAATGTTTGCTTTAAAAGGTGAAAGTCTAGAATGTGTACATAATATTCAAAGTACCAACAGTTGTTATAGAATTTTTAAATAAGGTTCATCATACTGCTGGTGACAAACTCTCATACAGTGGAGCTCCATTATAACGTGATAATCACAATCAGCACTACAAACAGGCACGGTCGCCAGCAGTGTCGCTATACAAAACACTGGCCTGCGCCATCGGTGCACACTCTTCAAATGTGTCATAGTGATGAATGCTTTGATATTTATTGAAGTGTGTCAATTCCAGCAAGCTTTCAAGTTTAACTAGGGATTTGTATGGCACAACGTCGACAACCATAATTTCAAAGTAGGAAAATGTTATGGTCCGTGGACCATTCACACTATAAACATAGGCGTTGGGTGAAAATATTCTTTGGGAACGACTGAGTAAAATTTAGAGGGTCAGTCCTTTTTAAGACAGGTGAGCCATTGGTCAATTAGAGATGAGGATGTTCTGATGAGCAGCCCGCCGGACAGGAAGTCGGCCTCGCCCTAGCCACCCATCACCATTAATTCTAAGTGAACCAGTATTATAATGAAGTATATTTATAACTGGGCTCCTGCTGTTGCATATTGCAGAGAAATGAGCCATTTGAGCATCGTCAATTAATTTAATGGGGGCTTAGGATTTGATCTGTAACTGCCCCTGGGAACATATCATCTCAGCTAGATATTGATGCATGCTCACTGGTACTGTAGTTATCACATCCAGGCTAGACTACGCCACTCTGCTTGACTGCTTCACTGGCTCCACATTCCCTAGAGGATTGAGTTCAAGATCCTCATCCTCACTATTAAACTCCTCAATAGTTTTGCCCCACTCTAGCTCTGCAACCTTCTTAAACACCCCTCCTCCGCTCGGCAAGTCTGATCTGCTTCCCATCCCATCATTGGCGGTTGAGCTTTCGGCCCCAATCCTGGAGTTCCTTCACCTTGCCCATTTCCTCGGCTCCTTCAAGGTCTGTCAGAAGACCTTCCTCTTTGACTATCTTAAACCATGCCCTCTCCAGCAGCTCAGATCCAAACCCTTGACCGTCCAATGCCTTGGGACGTCTTCCCAATATGAAGGTCATTATATAAGTGCAATTTGTTATCTGATTCCAAATATTTATAATCAGCTTGATTTTGGTAATAAGATGTTTTGTTTCTTTTAGGGCACTCCCCGTGTTACTGGATTCAGATGAAGTAAGTACACTTTGATTCCATCGTCCTCACAAATAGCTACATCAGCCGCATAAATCACTTTTCCTTCATTTTCTCTTTAAGTTTCTCCCCTACTGTATGTGGTAGCATGGTTAAACTCATTGTGCTTGTTTTTCCAGCATTGTTGTGGCAATGTTAAATGTCTAACTGGAACCAGCATATAGCACTTCAGAACTACTTCCAGTCAAACACATTTGTGGAAATCACTAACAAATGTTGACGTTTTTATTTTGAGAAGGTCCTATATCCCTCTTTTCTGATGCTTTATTTCAAGGGCCGGCCAATTGCCTGGCTCAGATGGGGGAATTTAACATTTGCCGGTGCAAATCACTAGAATAAGTGTAGTTCTTGTCACCCCAAACGAAGCTGGTGTCCATAAGGACAGCATGATCTGTATATACCTGCTCTTCAGAGAAAGGAGAGCACAGAGTTGAAAACACAGCAACAGTTGGTCAAATAGGTAAAACTTTTATTTTAAGTGTTATTGATTAAAGCCTCACACTGATTGTTCTCTTTCTTTTCAAATCAGGAAATAATGACAACTAAATTTGAAATGTCAAAGATGGAATGAAGTTTGTATCCAACGTTTATATTTTACTGTGAACTGAACTATTGATGCTGTTCAACCATCCGCTAATGATATGATCTGAAAGGCAATGAGTCATGAAGTATAAAGAACTGGAATCAAACAGAGGCACTGTCACAGATAAGAACACCCTTGTGTTTTGTTTCCTTTTTACGTGCAATTTTTACTTGCTCATTTTTCAGTTTGTTTTTAAAATCTAAATATGTGTGCAGGGTGCTCAGGTGTGCGTGGTAGGCAGAGTGGAAATATGCAGTGATAAGCAAGGCTCTAACTCCAAACAGGATTTTGTTAAGATTACAAAATTGTATTTTCCAATTTTTTAAAAACAAATACTGGTTGATGCAAATTCAGAATATTGTCTTTGAGGAATACGTTTTCATTTAGAAAGCCACAAATGTCATTTTGTCCCCCATAACTATAATCTATTCAACAAAGAGATGATTGCTTTCTCAAAATGTTCAGTCTAATTTTCCTGAAACTTTGTTTTTTACAGAACTGCAGTTAAAGATGGGGTTGATTCTCATATTGGACACTTTTTATATAAAGAACACAACATGAATAAATAAGGTTTTTTTTGGTGGAAACCCATTCATTTAGAGACTTTTTTTAAAAAATCTAACTAAAAATTATATTAATTATGATAAATCAGTAAGACAGTTTAGTCAGTTTAACTGAGATCTGGAGAAATGTTTTATTTCCATGGAACGAGGGAAGGTTCCTGATTAAAGTACATAATATTTTTTCAAAGAATCATTAAAAAGAAACATGTAAGAAGTTGTACAGTATTGTGAATGACCAAATTAATAAGTTTTACAGTAAACTAAATTAGAGATTCTCTATAAAATGATAGAATATTTTGCAACTTGTGGATTTTATTTCATTTGGTATCCTTGAGTGTTTTCTATACTTTATACACTTAAAAGTTGTTCTTTGTTTGAAAAATAAGGCTTGTTGTAAAGACATGCTTAGGAATAGATTGTTCTGTGTTCATTATGGAGATGCTAATTTTTTTTTGCACATTTGCTGATGGCACAAAAAAGTGGCCAAACTGCTTCTCTTGAAGATCTTTGTCTCTTTTCCTTCTACAGAGGTAGTATCCCACAGGCACCACTTGCCCTCCGGGACTTTGTCCAAGTAGTCATTGTGCATGTCTGAGTCATTGCAGTGAGAAACATCATCAGACGGCTATTTGACTGTAAGGTACATTGCAGCTGAGCCTGATTTCTGTCCTCACAATGACAACATGTGCTGAGTGTAGCAAAGATCTCTAGATAGTTACCAAAACCCTGACTTTTTTATTTCACTCACAACCCATGATACTGCCTAATTCTATTGCTCCATGTGAGGTAAGTTAGATGAGCACAGCGCCTGCTGCCCTGGCTCAGCTACATCACGTACAAACTCCGTGAGCTGTCGGGGGAGCTTGTCATAAGGGTTTTATTACATGAGAAAAGGAACCCAGTGGAGGGTTAACTATTCTGTAGCTGTTATCAGATGTGGCCGTGAGAATGGAATCTTCTCGCTCTTTCCAACTTGTATCTGTTCTGCACAAATGACTGTTAATGGAGCTTTGACCTATTGACACTGACCTTATTATTTGATTTACTCTTTTGTTTGAAGTTGCTTTTGTTTCTGATCTTTTATGCATCACCAATAGTTCCACATATTTTCTGTAATTATGCGTTTTGAAATTTAACGCAATGCCCTCTTTTCAGGATATGAAAAGCTTGACATTTGTACAATTATTTGGAGAGGTTGAGTAACTTTATTATAAATTATTTGGCAATAATTGCTGCAAAGGATGTTTTGTTTACTTATCAAACTATGCATAGCCCGCTTATTGTTGAGCACCACTTAAAATTGACCCTTTCTGCTGAATTCAATCTGAAAAATGATTCATCAGATGAGATCAAGTAATATTGAAGACTGCTACTTGCTGCTGATATCAGTGTGAATGTAGACTAAAAACAAATGTATTTATCTTTGTTTAACTCCATTAACATCAGTGAAACATGAAGCACAAAGTTCAGGCTATGTTTCCACAGTAACTTAATAGGCTATTTTTAGTGTCTAGCAATGTACTGTATGCCCTATTTGCACAGCACAGGAAGGGTTGGTGCAATGACAATCAGCTATCACTTGATGGCTGTCTGCTAAACACAGCAGGATAAAGGGGACAAAAACAGAAATCGCTGGGAACACTCAGCAGGTCAGGCAGCATCTATGGAGAAAGGAAAGTGAGTCAACGTTTTGGGTCCACGACCCTTCATCAGAACTGAACATTTGTGCTGATGGCACAAAAAATTGATTTTACTGAACAGAATAATTTTAATGTCATCTAATGTGAATTTGAGAGTATTTTTTCCCCCCCTTCACTCCTCCATATCAATAAAAACATTGAGAGCAGTTCTTGGATCAAATTCTTCCATGATGGTTTGGTAACTCAAAAATAGTCTGTAGGAGGTTCTTTCTGTTGTACTTTGGCTTGTGGGAGCAGATGACAAATCCTTCTAGCACTGTGGGCAAGTTTCTGTTAGGTTGTTAATTGGTGTACATGTTTAGTCACTTTCTTCCCATTGTGAGACCTAAAAGCACCTCAAATTGAGGTGAATGCATTTATGATAAATCTCTAATCAGTGAATGGTTCCTGAGTTTTTGAATGTTTCAAAACTATTAGGTGTAACTGGTTTTCAGCCAATCACAACCATTTTTCTAAAAATTACTTCTGACTTCAAAATCGATGGTCGGTTGCAAGAGAAACAAGAAAGGCAAGCCAGAAGTTTCAATCCCTATCTTTCCTCAAGATATTGAGATCAGCTACTACCCACAGACCATGGATCAAACGTGATTGATGCCTTCCTGGTTTGTTCATAGCAACTCAGTAGGTAAACCATCATTGGAGCTTAAAACTTTAAATTTAGGAAAATGTTAGGCCACATGTGCTGGATGAGTCTAAAATAAGTTTTTCTTTAAAATAAAATGGGAAAATAATAGAAAAGGTGAAAGATGAGCAGAATTAAATGCTTGAAATTTTATTTTCTTAAAATTGTGCTTTAGGTATATTTTGTCATTTAGTGTATGTTACAGTAAGTTATTTAACTAGCTTTATTTACTGTTGGTTATATCAAGGTAGGAGTGTGTGATTTTAAGAAACTTGATCGGCCCAGGAAAACTGGAATGTCACTGTACGTACCAGCAGTCTGGGTTATACACCAACCAAGGTACATTTGTGATGCAGGAATTGTAAAAGTATCATTGATAGCACTATGTCAGAGGGACTAATTATGGAACTTGAACAACACACATTGCCCCCACATTACTTGGCAGAGTTTATTTGGGCTTCTAACTTATCTTGCATTCCACTGTTCTCTTACCCGAACAGTTCACATTACGTTAGTGTTTTTTTTGGCAGGGTGACTATTTGTATATTTCAAAAGTGAAGAAATGCACTCGTGAGATTTTAATTCCTCTTCCAACATTTTGTTAAACAAAACCTACATATCGGGTAATTTGTGTTGTTCTAGAAACCTTGCATCATTTGTAATTTAGTTCTGTACATTTTAATTTGACAGTTTTATGGCATGACCTTTGTATTTGTGAATACTGTGTTTTTTAACAAGGTCCAATGTTGGATTACACATGAGTAGCTTGTTTAAATTCTAAGCCAAAGCCGCATGCGGGTAAGTGCTGCTTAGTAATTTGAAACCATACAAAATTATAAAAAGGCAAAATTAAGGGTAGGATTTCAATGATTGAGTTTCTGAGGTTCAGACGTGATTGTAAAAAATGATAGGAGATTATGTGATTTCCGGCAACATTGATTGTGCCTTTACATGCTTATTTGCATTAAATATAATTAAAAACACCTTGAAGTGCATGTTCATTAATGGTTAAGCTGAGTGTGGAGTAAATAGTTAATTATCATTAGCACATGCTGCAGGGGGAAGTTCAAAGTATTCCAAGTGTTCCAACTACCTCAATCCCTCCTCCTTGCCTCCTTCTGCATTTTGAGATCATGCCGAAGACTTTTCGTTTCAATCGTGCCAACAGTCACTTTCTCCCAAGCCCTGCTCAGCTTCAGGCTCTGCCACTGTTAAGCGCTCAAGCTACCCTGTGTGACGGGCGTTATATAAATGTAGGTTATTCATTTTAGTCACATTTACACCACTTTCTATCCACCTTTTCTTCCTTTTGGATTTTTGCTTTTTCATCCTATCCCTTAAATTTTTTTATTTTTATCTTAAATTATAACTGATTGTTAACATTGAAAATTATCACTTCAGCTTAAATACTGGTTGTTATACAGGATCCTTAAACCCAAAATACTAGCTACTTTAAGGCATAGCAAAACTCATTGCAGCAGGAAATCAACAGCTGGAACAGGTTACAGAAGAACACAAGAAACGCTAGGGGAAAAAAGACCAAGGTCCATATCGTTTGCCTTTCACCTTCCTGGGCTACCTACGTACTATATCCCATGATGATATTACCTAAAGGAAAACTATCTATGTTTGAATGAATCAACACTTCCCGCTTCAACCATCTCCCGAGGGAGCCTGTTCCACAGGTTCACTATTCACTCACTGAAATAGTGTTTGCGTAGATTTGTTCTGAATTTCCCCACCCTTCAATCACAAGCCATGTCCTCTGGTTTTATTAATCTGGACAAGTTGAAACAGGCAGTCATGATCTACATTGTGTCGTCCTTTTAGGATCTTAATCTCTCCTCAGCAATCATGTCGCCTCTCAATCTTTTTTCCAGTGTGAACATTCCCAATTTACTTAGTCGTTCCTCATAGTCCTCATTTTGGTTGCTCTCTGTATCTTCTTGATTTCTCCAATATCACTTTTGCACTGCGGCGACCAGAACTGTACACAGTACTCAAGTGTGGTCTCACCAATGATTTATACAGTCGCAGGATTACCCCACTATTGATTTTTTGGTACATACCTACTTTGATACATACATACTTTACAGTAAAAATTCTATGAAGTGCTTTGAGATACCTCAACTATGGGATATGGCACAAAATGAATCGCAAGGATTATTAATAAGTTTTCAACCATTATCGTCTTATTAGAAGTGGTGCCCTGACAAAGATAGCAAAGACAATTCAAACAGGGTGTGCAAGGATTGATGCAAAACAGGATTTCGGACCCTTTGGCACAAGTCTTTGCTGTTAAACACATCTGTATCTATTGAGCATCTGTTCAGTGAACATCTGTCAGTTATCTTTGTTCCTTGTTATTTCACTTCGGGGTAATTTCCGTTTTGCCAAATACTAGTTATCATCCACTTCCCATGTGGCTAAGAGGGTTTCATATCTGTCGGGAAGTGAATTGTAATTTAGAAACCAGAATTTGCTTAAATACAGCTGTTAAATCACAAGATATCATCTAGTATCCTCCCAGGGCCTGTCTGGAAATGTGCAGCCAGTTTGTGGTCATTTTCCTAGACAGAATATTATCCCTATATTTTATTGCAATCTCAATCCAAGTCCCGTTAAACTAAGGCAGAAGCTTTAATGCAGCACGGAAACTGACCATTCAGCCCAACTAGTCCACGTTGGTATTTGTACTCCACACAAGCCTCAAGGATAATAATCCTTCAAAAAAATAATAATTTTGTCAGTCAATCCACGACTGTGGGACACTGCAGTGCACAATTGGCTGCTGCGTTTCATCCACAAATATACAGTCAATTCACTTTCTGTGAAGCCTTTCGAGACGTCTAGAAAATGTGAAAAGCACTGTATCAAATGCAAGGATTATTATTATTATACGAACATCTGGTTTGTTTTACTCACTACCACAGAGCATTGTTGGGAGGGCTTCAATTGATTGTCAATCAGGACCCCGCAGGTCCTTTTATTTTCCATACACATTTAAGTTCCTTCGTTCAAATAATAGTCCCTTCCAAGATTTTTTGTCCCAATGTGAAGTACTTTACATTTCTCCACATTGAATTTCATCTGCCACTGATCTGCCCAGATTCCCAAGTATGTTCAAATCCTCCTGTAACCTATCTTTAGCTTTGTAATCTGGGGTTACCAGGATAGACGGTTGCAACCAACTCAATGGAATAATTTGTGGCTTCAATAGAAGACAGAAGGATAGGTAATAGGTTGAAGACCCTTCTGTGTCCATACTTTTCTTGCGATATGTGACAACAACAACAAGATTTCATTTACAGAGTGACTTTCAAAGTCGGGAGGGCGTTCCAAGGCGCTGGACAGTTGGGTCAGGACCCGAGCAGGGGGGAAATGGCCAGGGTGAGGGGAGGGAAGGGAGGGAGCGAGGAAGGGGTAGAGAGTCGAGAGGGGAGCTGAAGGCACGGTCAAAGAGAAAGGTCTTGAGACCGGCCTTGAAGGAGGAAAGGGAGGAAGCAAGGAGAAGGCACTGGGGGATAGAGTTCCAGAGTCTAGGGGCTGAGAGGCTGAAGGCCCGGCCACTGATGGTAGGGCGGTTGGGGCGGGGGATGTGGAGCAGACCGGAGCCGGAGGAACGGAGGGTACGGGCAGGTAGGTAGTGGGATAATAGGTCGGAGAGGTAGGAGGGAGCAAGGCCGTGAATGGCCTTGTAGGTGAGGATGAGGATCTTGAATTCGATCCGCTGGGGGATGGGAAGCCAGTGGAGGCGAGCGAGGGTGGGAATGATGTGGTCGCGTGACCTCTTATTGACAGACTAATAGATGGTAGGGTGCATCACAGTTGAAACTGATCCTGTACTGAGTACATAGATTTATATGGGTAGTTCAACTGGTGGCCTGAGGGCTGATTTAATCTATGCACCCTCCCCCACCACCGCCCATTTCATTGGCCCACCCGCTCTCCATAACCCGTAAATGTATTTCTGGAAGGGAAACAGAAAAATATTACTTATGTGGCCTACGGACATTTCTCAAATAGGGTATCGTGCGCTAAGCAGCCAAAAGGTTGGACCTGAAACAGAACATTCAGCCCAATTAGTCTGTGCCAGGCAGTGTTCATGCTCAACATGAGTCTCCATCTACTCCTTACTCCCTCCCACACCCTTCTATTATCTCACATATCTAGCTTCATCTCAATTATCTACAATTCTGCATTGTCTGATTTAACCACCACTTAAGGCAGTGAGTTAGTTCCACATTCTCACTTCCCTCTGGGTGAAGTTGTTCCTCCAAACATCTCTTAGATATCCTAGTTGCTATCTTATACTTGTGTCCCCTGGTTAGACTCCCCATTGTCTATTTATACTAACATTATTGAACCCTTTTATAATTTTGAACACCTCTGTTGGGTCCCCTCTTAAATGACTTATCTGGTGAAAAAAAGCGAAATCTATCCAGCCTATCCTGATAGCATATTACAGCAGGAATCACAGTGACTATCAACTGAAACAAACTAATCAATTTCTCTTTTAGAAGGCAAGGACCACTGTAAAATACATTTGATTCCTATTGCCTCATGTCCATACAAACAGGTACACATTAACAACAACAACAAAATTATATTTGTATAGCGCCTTTCACGTCGGAGGACATCCCAAGGCGCTGGACAGACAGAGCTGGGGGTAGGGGTGGGGAAGGGAAGCAGGGAGATCGAAAGCACGGTCGAAGAGGAGGGTCTTGAGATGGGTCTTGAAGGAGGCGAAGGAGGGAATGAAACGGAGGGACTGTGGGATGAAGTTCCATAGGGTGGGGACAGAGTGATAGAAAGTCCACCTGCCAATAATGAGGCGAGCGAGGTGGAGGATGTGTAGCAGGCTGGAGCCCGCTGAGTGGAAGGAGCAAACGGTGGTAGGGGGTTAGGAGGTCGGAGAGGTGGGGGAAGCAAGACCGTGGAGGGCTTTGAAGGTGAGGACCAGGATCTTGAACTGTATCTTCTGTGTGATGGGAAGCCTGTGGAGTTGGGCAAGGATGGAAGTGATAGGGTCGTGGAGCCAAGTGCGGGAGAGGACACGGGCTGCAGAGTTCTGGATGACCTGCAGCCTGTGGATGGAGGAGTTTCGGAGACCGACAAGCAGTGAGTTTGAATAGTCAAGCCTCGATATAATGAAGGCATGTATGAGGGTTTTGGCGGCCTGCAATGTGAGACAGTGGTGGAGCCGGGCGATGTTGTGGATGTGGGGGAAGGCAGAGTGGGTCATGGCACGGATGTGGGGTAGAAAGGATAGTCGAGGGTCAAACAAGACCCCAAGGTTCTGGACTGGCTTAGTAAGGTGGAGTGTGCAACCATGGATGGTGATGCTGTCAGCGCCTGAGGTGTGGAGGCGCTGACGGGAGCCAATCAGGAGAGCCTCAGTCTTGTTGACTTTCAACTGAAGAAAGTTGGCTCTCATCCAGGACTCGATGTCTGACAGATATTCTGTCAGGACAGCAGTGGTCCTGGAGTCAAAGGTGGAGGCAGAGAGGTAGAGTTGGTTGTCATCCGCATACATGTGGAAGTTGACCCCATGTCTACAGATGATGTCACCAAGAGGGAACATAGATATTGAAGAGGAGGGGACCAAGGACAGAGCCCTGAGGAACACCGCACAAGACGTTCTGGGGGTTAGAGGAGAAGCCATTTGAGGAGATGAAGTGCAGAGGGTATGAGAGGTACGATCTGAACCAGTCAAGGACAGCGCAGTGGAGGTTGAGGTGAGAGGAGAGGTGGTGGATGAGGATCGAATGGTCAATGGTGTCGAAAGCAGCAGAGAATTTGAATAGGATGAGGAGGCAGAGGGAGCCCTGGTCGCAGATGGACAGAATGTCATTTGTCACTTTGACCAGGGCTGTTTCTTGCTGTGGGCGGCACGGAAACCCGATTGGAGGGGTTCGAGAAGTGAGTGGCGGGAGAGGAAGGAGCGAAGCTGAGAAGCAACAACACGTTCCAGGAACTTGGAGAGGAAGGGGAGGTTGGAGATAGGGGAGTAGTTAGGGAGTAGAGAAGGGTCTAGGGAGGGTTTTTAAGGATAGGAGTGATGACAGCGGTTTATAATGGGGTGGGAACAGTGCCAGAAGACAGGGAGAGGTTTACGATGTCAGTGAGTAGAGGAGCAAGGAGGTGGAGCTGGGAGGTAAGGAGAGGGATGGGGTTGAGGGAGCAGGTGGTGGGTTTCATGCGGGTTATGGTGGTGATCAGAGAGGAGGGGGAGACAGGTTCAAAGGTGTGGAGGGAGGAATGGGTAGGGGCCGGAGTGGGAGGCGGAGATGGGGAGGGGGAAACAGATTCAATAGCAGAGGCTTCTGAGCAAATTCCTTTGACTTTGGATTTGAGGAAGTCCAGCATGGCCTCGCAGTTGGCATTTGAGGCGAGGATGGGCGAGGCATGAGAGGGTGGGCAGAGGAGCTGGTTCACAATGTCAGTGAGTAGAGGGGCATCATAAACATTAAGGAAATATATGATCGTTAGGTATATTCCTGTCACTTTTGAGTGTTCTTGTCAAAGCAGAGGACAGTGACACGGGTGAGATTTCATCAATGGTTTACGTATTTTGGAGTCTTCCCACATAATAACCAGCAGATGGCACAACTATCACTTATATAGTTAGTCTCTTTCAACTGAAATACAACTTGGTCGACTCTGCATTGAAATACAAATACAGTTAAAATACAAGCATTATTATGTATAATTTTGGTAGAGACCAGACCTCCACTTTTTTGTGTTTCTCCCTCTACTGTTAAAATAAAATTAATGACAATAAATTTTGCAATAACCTATTCGAAAAACATATTTTACTTTGCAGCAGTCTCCTGCTGGCAACAGATCAAAATAAACTCCCTTCCCTCATCGCCTCATTAATTTTCTGCCCAGTGTGTTGACTGCAGAAGGTAATTTAATTAAATATTTCTGTTTTCAAAGAGATGTAATAAACATTCTTTACATATTACGTGTTGGATCAAGTTCAAAGGCAGTTTGAGAGTTTATGATCACTGTGATGCTTCATTTGTCTTCACTGGTCATTTTATTCAATCGTTTGAAAAGCAGTTTAAGACAACCTGACCTCGGAACACATTTACTTTATTTGACTTTCTGCAATTATGCAACTCAAGGAAACCCTGAAATCCGAAATTTATAAAATGTCACGTTATTTTTCTTACTTTGATGTGTTTAATGCAGTGAAATTTGTCCCCAGATTCCTCAGGCAATGGGTCATTCTGTGTGGAAACCTGAGTTGCTCGTTTGCTGGACTTGTGTTACAGAGTCCTGCATCTCTGGAGCACATTGTAACTGTTCTGGTGAGACGTTTTTTTTTGTAAACTACCAATGAGAAGAATAACTCCGAAATTGGAATAACTTTTTCAAGTCAGTGAGCTTTACACCTCCTTGAGGGGCGGGAGGTTCAGTGTAACAGGAGTGTGAGGCCACACCAATCATCACCCTGAGCTCCCAGTCCAGCACACATCCCCCCCCCCTCCTCCTCCCACCCCTCCACCCCTCCCACCCCATCTTATTACAGCAACAAAACAAACCTGAGAGCGGATTCCTTGCATCCAGGACCAGCACATTGCAACCTCACTGCATCATTCCCATTTTCCCGGATAGCCGTCCATCCAGAGAGCGCAACGAAGTGTGTGTTGGCGAATGCACCTGTCAGTGGATGCCAAGGTCAGCCCGTGTCACAACAACAACAACAACAACAACAACAACAACAACAACAACAGGTCCTAAGGAATCTTTCTCAAAGCAAAACAAAGCAGCTGTGAGCATGGTTTCTGGGATCCAGGGCAGCCTGTGCGTGTGTGTGGCGGTGCTCTGTCTTTACCCATCGCAGGCTGATCAGGCAAGTCACACATCTCTTTCTTTTGGTGCTGTGTTCATGGGGGAGGGGAGGGGGGGGGGGGGAGGGGGGAAACATCATCAGCGACAAAAGGAGAATGATATTTTTTTTAAAAAAAAGGGTCTTCCGATAGGATAGGCTTTCCCTCGACCAGAGAGGCGCCGCACCGCACCGCACCGCACCGCACCGCACCCGCTGTGTCAGGGCTCTGCAGGTTTGAGGGAACAATCTCATCGGTAACCGGTCTCTCCGGTGGATTTGAATCTGGGTGTTGTGTAATGTGCGGTGGCAGATCACTCCGAGTCAGAACACATTTCCCCGCGTGCGTTAAGTGGACTTTAAACGTGTAATTCGGGTGCTGGCTATTTGGGTGCTTTGCCCCCAGTTATCTCAGCGGTTGCAATGTCATTACATTGCAATCTCATTACATTGCAATGTCATATTACATTGCAATGTCATATTACATTGCAATGTCATATTACATTGCAACCTCACACCGCATTCCCGTTCAGGGCTGTTACAGTGGTCACTCCGGAGCGCGGCGGCTTTTGTTGGCTGTGAGCATCCGATTGACAGGAATGCATGAGAGCCACAGAGAGGGTTTGTTCATAATGTGTATTAATTGTGTGCAATTTTCGACTGATACCGGACATAAGGCCGTAAGTCTACTTTATTAATGTATTCATGTACAGGTTTCAGTGCCACTTTTAGCACTGATGCTCCACTTAGTACTGTAGATGCAATACTGAGGTGCAAGTCTTGGCCTTTCACTGTCGTGTCCCATATCAGCAGTATTTAGGCTGTTGTCAGTCTGTTACATTTTCACCAGTTCCACGTTTTGTGCATTCTGATATCTTGCAATATTCAACTGTAAACACAGGGTTGTCACTAGTGTAATGACAGTTATTCCATCACTTTCAAATTACCTTAAACAAAAGCTGAAATTTCCATACGACAGCAAACTTTTTAAATCGGTTGCAATTTCAACAGTAGTGTTTACAAAAAAAAAAGATTTAATAGACATTCTTTCCGAATTATTTAGAATGAAGGGGATGTTGAATGGGAAGTTGAATGCTGAATGAATTGCTTTATGGTTTGTCAATCCGTTCTGAGATTACACGATCAGCAATTTAAACTAAAACTGCTTTATGTTATGTGCACGTTCACACCTGATAAATAAATCCTGGGCACAATAATAATAATAATCCTTGCATTTGATATAGCGCTTTTCACGTCGGGAGGACGTCCCAAAGCGCTTCACAGAATAGACTGTAAAGTGAATTGACTGTATATTTGTGGGCGAACGCGGCAGCCAATTGCACACAGCAATGTCCCACAAACAGTCAGGGATTGAAAATGACCAATTTATTATTGTTTTTGTTTTGGAGGGATTATTATTAGGCTCTGTGTGGAGTAAGGAAACTTGCCCAAGGTTTCGCCCTCTGCCTGGAATTGAACTCAGGTCTCTCGCTTGCAAAGCGAGTGCTCTAACCACTGAGCTACAGGATTCCTACAAGTCGTCTTGCTTTGCTGTCAATGCTTTTGAACAGCTCCAGGCAATCTTCACACTGCTGTGGGCTGGCTGCTGGCACACTTATTGCATTAACGTGCCTGAACAGACTGGAGTGCAGTTTTGATTGAGAAAAGAAACCCATCGTGGGTTATAATGCGCCAAATAAAAAGACTCATTGTGTCTCTTTCCTTCGGTGATTCCATCTGAGAGGCAAGCAAAGCAATTCATTGGAAATCCCCACTCAGTTGCCCTATCTGTCACTGTTAAAGTGGATCTTTACACACAAACACACACACACACATCCAAATTAAGTAGAAATACATTTTCAAATTGTATGGAAATGAAAGCGATAATATGATTCTTGATAATAATAGCCCTGGCATCAGATTACGCCTTTCTTGTAAAGAGCACTGATGTTTTAACAAACAAACCTTTGGACATATGTTTTCAGAAATGTGCAATAAAATCTTGCTTAAATAGTAAACCAGCTCCAAGTATGCAGGATTTCTTTTGTTCTTCACTCTTTTAAGTCTATTGAAGTCGGGTTTGTTTCCTTTATAAAATAAAACTCTTCCATTTCATTAATTGTTCCATCTGTCTGTTCCTTTTAGTGCTTCCAAGCTGTGTTCCTTCAATGCTTCTTTCTGGTGAGGGATTATTTTAGTTTTCTCTGAATATTTTTTGCAAGATTTTCCTGGGAAACATTCATGGGTTGAATGGCCAGTTCTATTTGCTGGTCAGGACGAAATTGTTTTGCTTTTTTATAGTGTTGTTAGATCTTTAACATCCACCTGAGGACAAGCAGGTGAGAACCCTAGTATTGCACCAGACTGTCAGCTTAGATATTGAAATCAATTTCTGACATGAGGCTTGAGCCTTCAATTTTCTGATCCAGGGCAAGAGTGCTACCAAATGAATCAAGTTGGCATGTGATTAATACAGTAATCTGAGAAAAGACTTACAGATAGAGGTGTGAGATGTGAAATGGACACTGATGCTGCACAATACTGGGTCTTTATTGATCCTGGAGTTCAGTCATAGCACAAGAGTAATTCTTAATCTTGCACCCATTGCCAAATTGTTTACAGTCAATGTTTAGAATGGGCAATGAAAGGTTTGCTACAGATAGTAATTGCTGAATAATAGACCCAACAATGTTTAATAATAATATAATAATATAATAATAATAATTTGCATTTGATATAGCGCCTTATCATGCCTTCGAGACGTCTCAAAGCACTTCACAGGATATAAAGTGAAATGACTGTATATTTTGTGGGCGAAACGCGGCAGCTAATTGCGCACAGCAGCGTCCCACAGATGTCACTCCCATATCATCAGTCCTGCACAATTGAGAAATACAGAAAGTAATTGATGTAATGTGAATTTAATTCATCTCAGAATCACAAGATCTAATCTTTTACTGTGTTGTGATGGAATGCTGCTAGTATTACTTGCCACGTCCCTTCCCCATAGCCCCACAGGTAACCTTTATATCCAGATACCCTTACCTCCAGAACCCTGAGCCATAGCCCACATCCTGTCTGCTGCTTGATCTTCCTGCTGGTGGAGTAGTCCATTGAAAAATAGAATAGTACACAAATCCGTACCCAAATATTCATATGCATAAATACACATAATAATCCTTGCATTTGATATAGCGCCTTATCACGTCGTCTCAAAGCGCTTCATAGAATATACTGGAAAGTGGATTGACTGTGTACTTTATGGGCAAAATGCGGCAGCTAATTGCACACAGCAGTGTCCCACAAACAGACAAATCACATAGATACACCAGCACATGTATAAACGATCCGAGATACTATCCTGCCTTAAGGGAGCTATATAAATGAAAGTTATTGTTGTTTTATGCACACAATATGCAAACACTGTGAGGAACAAAGGCAGAATGAGCCTTATAACTCTGGTTGTATTTCTATTGGATAGAGTTGCCTGGACAGGCAGCAGGTCCTGATCGCCATCCGGCAAATGCAGCAATTTCTAAAAGGACAGGAAAGTCGTTTTACTGATGGAATCCGCATCATGAAAGCCAGGCTCTCTGCCTTACAGAAATCAATTACCAAACCACCTGCAGATCAGGTCACAGGTATGTTACCACTTAATGCAGGAGAAATATTGCTCTTTCTGTAAACTCACCGTGTAATTATCGTTACTAACTCCCTGTATTTGTCAACCTATTTTATCTCCACTGGATGCTCACCAATTGAGAGGGAAGATTGGGGAAGTTGCATTATGATTGGAATGAAAGTCCCCCCTAATATTATATTTGGAATAATCCTAATATCTGATATATTATTATATCATGTTAGGTGTTATTAGGAGTTTGTCTCAAAATGCTTCACAGGATTTACTGTAAAGTGTAGTGATTGTATTTTGTAGGTGAATGCACCAGCCAATTTTGCACACAGCAAAGTCCCACAAGTAGCCACTAAATGAATAACCAATTTTATTTGGGGGATTGTTGGCCAGAATACTGAGAGAAACTCCCTTCTCATTTCGAATATTGCCATGGGATCTTTAATGTCCACCTCAACAGGCAGATAGGACCTCAGTTTAACATCGCATTTGAAGGACAGTGCCTCTAACAATGCACTGCAATACAGTGTCAGCCCCTATCATTTGAGTTCCAAGTCCCATTGTGGATTTGAAACTATAAAGTGGTTATGACTCTGTATATTCTGGGCAAAACGCAGCAGCCAGTTTGCACTCAGCAGTGTCCCACAAACAGCCATAGAATGAATGATCAATTTGAATGACTAAATTTAAGCTACCGCACTCCTGCTTTTAATACAACCACATCACAGTTCGGAGGAATTTTTTTAACTGTGATGTGGCTGTCCAATTTACGTTTCATTAAATCTGTTTCCTGAAATAGTTGAATGTTTGAAGTGTTGAAAAAATGTAAATTATTTGGCAATGACAACTCTTGATATAAATCCTCTCACCCACGTGTGTGAACTACAGTAAACTCCAGATAACTGGACCCTAGCTTAATTTGTTTTTACCTTTTAAATCACCACGCTGTCAATATCCCGGCTGCTATACTTGTCACTCCACTTAATAATAATAATAATCCTTGCGTTTGATATAGGGCCTTATCATGTCTTTTAGACGTCTCACAGTGATTCACAGAATATACTGTAAAGTTAATTGACTGTATATTTGTGGGCAAAACACAGCAGCCAATTGCGCACAGCAGCGTCCCACAAACAGTCATGGATTGAAGTGACCAATTTATCATTGATTTTTTTTTCTTGAGGAATTATTATCAGGCATGTAAAGAAACTTGCCCAAGGTTTCACCCTGACGGGAATCAAACCCAGGTCTTTTGCTTGCAAAGCGGGTGCTCTAACCACTGAGCTACTTAACACGTAACTAGTCGCATTCTAGAAATTCTTGTAAGCACCTTTACTTACAATGTAAAATTGATTGGATAACTGATATATAAGATAGGGCCACAAATTGTGGAGTCCTGTAGCTTAAGTGGTTAGAGCACTTGCCTCGCAAGCAAGAGGACCTGTGTTTGATTCCCGGGCAGTGCGAAATGTTGGGTAAGTTTCCTTACCCCACATGCTTCTGTTTACTTACCAGTAAGTAGGAACCCGGGTGTTAGTCGATTGGCGGATCACTTTTCCGTGGGTAATAATAAAAAAATTTTGATCACTCAATCCACGACTGTTTGTGGGACACTGCTGTGCGTAATTAGCTGCCGAGTTCGCCCAAAAAATATACGGTCAATTCACTTTACAGTGTATTTTGTGAAGCACTTTGAGACGTCTCAGATGTGATATCAAATGAAAGGATTATTATTACTATGATTATAGTGTGTTGCGTTGCAGAGGCCTCCCGCCCTATCCTGTGACTGGTGTGGGTGCTTGGCAGAGGTTGGGCACACAGCTCAGAGTCGCAGCTGGAGGAGAAGTAGATTTGTGTGTCATCCGCATAAATTGATGTGGAACTCATTTCCCTTCGAGTGTTGAGTTACCAGGAGTTTATTGTATTCTATGAGCATTTTGTCCAGTGTAATATACTATTACTATGTCCAACCACTTCACTATCACCCCTCTCTATATGTCCAGACACTGTGCAGTCATCCTTTTCCATTTGTACTTAATTTCAGCCACATCATGCCCTCCGCTGGAGGCCCCAAAACATGGCAAAATGTTTGGCTCCAAGTACAGCGTGGATCATGAAGTGCATTTTTTCTGTCAACCTGATTTTCAGCTTGTTGGCTCCAATAGTAGATTGTGTCAGAGCAATGGACAGTGGACAGGACAACCAACTGAGTGTAAAGGTAAATCCAGATTACTTTTTATGGAATTATGAAATGGGATGTTAGAACCATGTTTACCAGAACATCAGGAGAAAGATGTAGAGCTGAGAGAAGCCTTAGTGGGCTGGTAGTGAAATGGCTCAGGAACTCACTGTGCTTTATAATGCACAAGACAGATACAGGATGATGAAGGCACATTTAGCACAGACACCAGGAAATATTTATTTACATTGTGTTATTAACAGACTACCAGTATGGGCGGTTGAAGCTAAGCAGAGTGATGTTGTAATGGGAAAAAAGGCAGGTGGGTATCTGGGAAGGGAGAGAGTGCCATTTCATTCCAGACGCAGGGAAATTTCCATGAGTTAGTGGAATCTATACGTGGAACTCTTAGTCTTAAGCGTGGTGAAGAGATTCCACGTATGTCAGATGCCAGGCCGACTATTGAAAAATAGCTGTTATAACTTCAAAAAGAAGTGACACGAATGGCCCTCTTTGCTGTAAATTTCTAAGTAACTGCTTAAGAGAAAAACCTTCACCCAGCCAATAAACTTCATGCATTGCCCATTAGCTGGGACAGCTGCCAAGCAGGTTAAGAGACTGCCTGTGTCAACACCAAGTTGGCTTGAACATTGATACCACAATACTTATTGCCTCTGCAAGCCAGCATAGAACTGTTAGAGCTCATTACTCATTGTGCCGGGTATAGCTGGGACTAGAATCCCGCACCATTGAGCCAGCCATCATTTCACACGGCTAAAGAGTCCCTCTCCCACCCTAACAACAAGATTACATTTGTATAGCCTAATGCCACCAAAGTCACTGCGTTTGTTGTTATTTGTTATTTTACTATCTTAACTAGGATTAACCTCTGTGCAGTTCTTCCTGGTTGGTGACAAAGATGTTCCTGTGAGTGAACTGTGTTACTTGTGTTCCCCTCATCCTGGAAAAAACAACAAATAAGGATGAAACAAGTTGACTAAGTTGGATGAGTGGGATGTTGTTTGTTCTGCTGTGGTCTTGTAGCTCAAGACCTTACCATGACCTCACACTGTAAAACAATATATCAGTGATGAAAAGAGTACAGTGTAGATTCATGAGGAAGATAACAAGGCTGGCAAGTTCAGGACCGACTGGATAGGTTAAACCTTTTTCCGCTAGAAAAGAGTCGTTTAAGGGAGGAACCTAATAGAAGTGTTTAAAATTATAAAAAGGTTAACATCAAATAGGCTAATTCCACTGGTTGTGGTGTCCATAAGCAGGGCTTACAAATATAAGGAAGTGACTAAAAGAGAATTGAGGAGGAACTACTTCACGCAGAGGGTAATGAGATTGTGGAACTCACAGCTTGAAGCAATGGTTGAATCAGATAGTATAGATGTATTCAAGAGGAAACTACACTTTCACATGAGGGGGAGAGGAATAGAAGGGTATGGGAGGGAGTAAAGAATGGGTGAAGACTTGTGTGAAGTATAAACACTGGCACAGACTGGTTGGGCTGGGTGGCCTGTTTCTGTGCTGCACATTCCACGTAATCTTTGTGACCTTCTGAATGCCAGTCAAGTTCTGATCTGCTTAAGCCACCTAACAGGTCCTAGTCGAATGAAAAAGGAGTCAAAACACCTTTAGGGGAAAACATTGGCAACAAAAAAGGCTGATTTAACACTTCAGCTGTGGAATGAACAACATTTCTAACAAATCTACACATGTGTCATGCCTGTCCAATTTCCCATCTAAGAAAAGTTTTCATCTAACACTATCTTGTGAAACCTTAATTAGGTGTCAACATAATGCTTATTTGAGATATGGTTACATTCATAGCAACCTGTGCTTGTTATAGTCTCAGGCTGAAACTTGTCATTATCTAATCAAAGTTAGCTGAACCGGGTTCTTAAATAAAACCAAAAGCATCAGATTCCCTTTCTGGCAACCTGTATGGCTTCCTCTGTTGTTAATAATATTTGGTCATACATTCCAGCGATATAATCTTTCCCATCAAGTAAACTTTACCTGTCGGAGTGTACCTGTGCTCACACGTCTCACTCCCCTACTGCAGCTGCCTGGCTCAGTGGATTGTGGAGGTCAAGGAGGCATGGGTTAATACTCTCAGACATTTAATTAACTCATTTCATGGTCTAACGGTCCAGAAGTATTCAGAGCATGCTAGTGATGGCTACCACACCTAGTTTTGGCTGAGAAATCTCTGGTAGTCTGCCCTAGAGAGTCAGCTGCTGCACTGTAAATAGCTGTGCAATTAGACATTAAGAGACATAATGAATTGTGGAAAGCATGAAGTTGTCAAAGATTAAATTGGTCATTCACTTTAAGGTTGTTTGTGGGATGTTCTGCGTGCAAATTAGTTGCCCCATTCACCTAGAAATACACAGCCACTGCACTTCACAGTAATTGCCTATGAAAAGCTTGAAGACGTTTCAATATAATAGGCATTATATTAAATGCATAGATCATTTAAATTATTTATATTTTAATTCTGAAATTCCTCAGGCTGCTTCTCTGAAGATGTTTGCTATCACAGACTGAATGGTCCTGACAATGCCTGATGTCAATTTTGCTACACTAAGTGGCATGAGGAATTACCTGGCCTAGGGGAATGAAATTTCTCTGATTGTAATGAATGTGCATAAAGCTTATTTGAGGTTGGGTGTGGTGGAACTTTATGCTTCCATCCGAAATCCTACGTGGCAAATTCATTGCTGTTAAAAGTCAACTTTAGAGTAACAGCCAATGAGGAGGCACTTCCAATGAAGCATTTTAGATAAGTTTAAAGCACCCGAATAAACTGGAATCCTTGTATTTGATATCATGTCAGGAGGAGATTTCAAAACATGGTAAAGGATTTATTGTAAATTGTAAGCCCTGTATTTTATAGGCAAACACAGGAGCCAATTTGCATACAGCAATATTTCACAAAGAGCTATGACCAATTATTGGCTTGGACACTGGGAGGAACTCCCTTCTCTTTTGAGCAGTTCCATGGAATCTTTAATATCCACCTGAACAGGCAGACAGGACCTCAATTTAACATCTTATTTGAAGGATGGGATCTCCAACAATGCACCCCCAACACTGCATGCGCATCTCAGCTGAGGTTACAAAGTTAAAGTCCCAATGTGGGTTTGAATTTACTCAGAGGTGACAGTGCTACTGAGCCAATTTAAAGACTAAACCATGTGGAATTTTGATGTGGAACGAAGGAATGTCATATGTTTTTTTCCAAATTCCTTCATGTTGCTTGGGTTAGTCCTGGAGTAGAGCAAGACCTTTCTCTTGAGGGAGGACTTACCATGTAACTCAATACAGGTCAGCACAATATGCAAACTATGTAAAGTTGAAATGATACATTGTATGCGACAAGAAACGGACAACGTACTTACTTCCCCAGTAAGTAATGTTCTAGACTAGACACATCTTTCTGGACTGAACGAAGAGTGATAGACAAACCTGGAATGTAGATTTTCAATGACCACCAGTTGCTCAGATGTCTCTCCAGATAGTGAGTGCACATTCCATTCCAAAACAAGGGAAATCCCATAAGTAGGTGGGATGCATGGAATTTTGCTTGGTTTGGATACTCTTAAGAATGGTGATGGTTTTCCACACGTATCAGAAACATGGCTGACCNAAAAAATCCAATTTTCTTATATTGTATTTTCTGTCTGAATCGTATTGTGAATCGTATTAGAGATAGAGTAGCACTTCAAGCATTATTTGGAGGACCACAATGGCTTTCTCTAGCCATGTGCCTGGCCTATGTTTCACTGTCTATTTCTTAGATGCATTGTTCTTCTTTAGAAATTAGCAAATGTGCGAGCAACCCCTGCCAGAACGGAGGGACCTGTGTGGACACCGGAAACCAGTACAGATGTTCTTGTCCAATTGACTGGATGGGGAACAGCTGCCAGCACCCGGTGCAGACAGGTTTGTAATGTCTGGAAAAGAAATGGGGGAATTATTTCTTGGATTCCGAGAGTGAATGCAAGTAGCTCGTTCCAGCAATAGCTACGGGTCAAATGCCTGAGCCAGACTCCATAAGGAAAATGATCAACATTTCAGAGCATCCAGATTTTGACCTTTTTTTTAAACACAGCCTTATTTTTGAAGCCATTTTTCTATGTTATTTTAAGAACTGCAGGAAATTAACTTTAAAATTGAGGTCAGCACTTTAATAATTACCATTGGGATGCAAAGTGATTTTATAATTTCAACATGATCAACATGAGAAAGAGTGCTTAAAGGAATTTTGTAGAAACATATTTTTCAAATACAATTTTTTTACTGAATAAAGAATATTATTTAAAAATACTGTTTCTTCACAAATCAAATTTTACAAATTCACTTTGCCTATTTTGTATTTTCAGTCAGTGTTCAGTCCATCTCAGTGGCAATTTTTAAAGTGCTGTCCTCAACCTTGAAGTTAATTTTCTGCAGTTCTTAAAAGAACAGAGAAAATTGGTTCAAATTAAGGCTGTGCTAAAGAATTGGTCAAAATCTGGATGCTGTGAAATGTTACATACATAGAGTAGATCTAGCCTGGCTGATTGCTGGAAATACCAATCTTTATACATTATGTCCCATTGTAAAGACTTTGTGAAAAGGGTTCTTTTAATGATCGCTGAAGGTTAGATCTCATCGTTTGACAGAGTAGAGGGAGCTTTGCTTTGTAGCTCTACCTGGTTTTAGCATGTTATGTTGATACTGAATGCCTGAAATAGCAATGCATTACATTCCCCCAATACTCACATTCCTCACTTGTAATGAGCCCCAAAAAAGGTTTGAAGCAGAAAAAGCTAAAACCACTATTCAGAGCAGGAAATGTTCCTCTGCTGCATTGACCCATTTGATCTTCACTTATATCATGATGATCAATCAGTCATATTAGGAAACTGGGTCATCTGAAATCAGATGGCTGACTACTGTCATGGGTGAAGAGTAACAATATCCCACTCTTACATTAGATTTCCAACCATTCACTGATGGTTGCTGGGATATCGAGGTTTAGTAAACATTTCAATATTCTTCAATCATTTCAATACAAGATGGTTGAAACTCTTCATGAAAATACAGTAGAGGTTTATACTCCATTGTTCCTCAGCTTGGAGTTGCTGTTGCTGCTTTATTTTCAAAGATTTACAAAGAATGGACAGCATGGAAACCTCTAAGCTTCCTCCTGAATGCATTTATACTATCTGGTTCAAACACCACTTCCGGCAGCAAGTTCCACAATCGCATTAAGTAGTTCCTTCTAAATGTTATTTAAGATCCCCTAGACGCATTTTATACATCCCCTAAACGCTGTCTTATGAATGTTATAGTGGTCATGCTGATATCAGTCCTGGGAAGAAAATGCTTGTTTGGTCAGCTGGGTGCCTGACGCATGCAAACAACAACAACAACTTGCACTTATATAGTGCCCTCCACGTTTAAGAGTATGACCCATAGAAACCAGAGAACCATAAACATTTACAGCATGGAAGGCCATTCATCTCTGTGTCAGCTCCCTCAAGAGCAACCATTTTAGATCCTTTCCCCATACTCCTGCAGCTGACTTTTTAAGGTATTTATCTATTTCCCTCTTGAAAGCTAATATAGATTCTACCTCACCATCACTCCCAGCAGGGTATTCCATATCCTAACTACTCTGTGCCTGAAAATAATTCCCCTAAACTTCCCAGTTGCTTGCTAACTATCTTAAATTGATGCTTTCTAGTTCCTGACTCACCGATCAAACCAGACGTCCAAATTCAGGCTCAACATTAAAGATAGATTTCTGCAGTTCATAATATCATAGCAAATAAATTGATAAATAGATGTAACCTATTCCAGGGCCCTGGCCTCAACCATCCTTGCTAGTAACCTTTTCCAGTTATGATTCATCATCTGATGCCTTCCCTAAAATTGCCCTTTGCAACTTTAAACCTGTGTCTTATTCCATTGTCTTGGTGCATCCCAATAAACCAGACCTTAGGTTGCTGCCTGCCATAGCCAGTGAGCAGAACGTATTAAACTGTTGGAGTCACTGGATTCCGTACTCCCCACAGAGCTAGGAAAAGAGAGATAGCAATAGAAAACAGTACAAATTATTTTCTGCTACTTTTCTCTGTTTTTCCTCTAGCTGCAGATTGGAGCACACTGAGCGACTCATCCTTTAGCCGGAAAGCCCGCTGTGCCAAGATTGAGAGGACCCAGCATTGCAGTTGTGACGCGGGCTTCCACATGAGTGGGAGCAGCGAGAACAGCATGTGTAAAGGTAGGCCACCACAATGAAAACAAATATGTTCCTGACAGGCAACCACCACCACCAAATTACATTTGCAGAAGGTCTTTCACGTCAGGAGGATGTTCCAAGGCGATCAGAGCAACTTGAGAAAAGATGAAGGTGCGAGCCTTGCTTTCTGCCACAGGTGTTTATCTTTTATTGGAATAAACAGCACTGAGACCTTTAACCCTACAGGACAGCACAATCTCATCACTTCAATTTAAAAAATCACGATCCATGTCTTAAATGCCCTTACACCTAACATTGAATATCTGACTCTGAGAAGTGTAGGAATCTGGAAATACAGAAAAATGGGATTTCTCTGTGGGCTGTAACTTTTACCTTATTAATACGTTCTGTACAGAACCTGACCTACCTAAAATAATAGTGTAAAATTACAGCTGGAAACTAGGTATATTCCCTAGGCATTGCCACCTTAATACTGACAGCACAAATCCTAGGTCAATGAGGAATGGCTTAGTCTGATGTCAACAAAGCAAAGTAATTCAATTGTTTCTGCTTGACTAGATAAATGTTGGACTCTCTGAAATCGTAACTGAGTAAATAACTTGACAAATGTTGGACTCTCTGAAATCATAACTGAGTAAATCTAGACCCAGGTGGAGTTTCTACCCCTGCTAAGGAATTGCTTTATTTTCTCTGTGCAGATGTGAATGAGTGTGAGGTTTACCAGTTGGACGGGGTTCCAAGCCTCTGTGTACACACCTGTATCAACATCCCCGGCTCCTACCGCTGCAGCTGTCCTCCTGCCTACAAGCTCCTGAGTGATGGCCGGAGCTGTGAGGGTGAGTCACAGGTTGAGCAAACCTCCAGTTAGCTGGAAGCCACGAGTAAATCTGATCAAGGATTCCAGTTGCATTTAAACAATATAGAACCACAGAAGGTAACATGAATCAGGCTGTTTGGTTCATTAAGTTTGTGCCTCGGTTTTGTCCACATGAGCCACTTGATCCAGACCCACTCTCCTGAGACACAACATTGTGCAGAATTTGGAAAACTCTTAAGTTTAGTCTTGTGCTTAAAGTGAAATATCCTCTTAATGTGAAAGGCACTATACAAATTGTATTGTATAGTTTAGAAAACAGTTTTCCACACTTTTCAGCAAAAAAAATCTAAAATTATGTTTGTTCTTAAATAAGATAAATTTCAGGGCTTTGTACAATACAAAATTATATTTGTATAGCACCTTTTACATCGAGAGGATGTCCCAAGGTGCCGGAGACCTTAATATTGCTCCTTTTCAAGCACCTATTTAATACCCTTTAAAACAACATATGGGTTCTACCTCGTAAATGGTTTGTGACAGAGAATTCACATTCCAACCAGTCTTTGTGCACAAAATTTTCTTTGACCCCCATTACTTTTTTTTTGCAATTACTGTATCTGAAGGTTGGACACATTTGTTACCGACTCTCCGCCTAGTGGAAACAATGTATTACTAAGTACCCTATCATAACCTTCAGGATTATGAAGACTTTGATCATATCACCTTTTCATTTTTTCAGGAAACAGCCATCATTTCTCAAGAATCCCCTCATAACTGAAGCAACAGATTCCCAATGTGCAAGAATTCAGATATTAACTAGGCTGTAGATGTCTCTCTCCTCACTCTGGCTTTTGGAAATGCTTAATCCCACAGGAGTCGGCGTGTTATGAATGGTGAAAACCTTGGTATAAAATGAAGACGCTAAATTGTTCAAGGACAGGAATGGTTACTCTAGACTTTTGAGAATTGTGTTTGGTCTTATTTTACAGATATAGACGAGTGTGCTACATCACAGCACAACTGCACGAGAGGAAACACTTGTATCAATACAGGAGGAGCTTTTCAATGTGTCAATCCTGAGTGTCCAAAGTCACATGGGAATGTCAGCTATGTTAAAACATCACCATTGTAAGTAAAACAATCACTTATAAATTTACAAGTCTGCGTCTGAACTCTCACATATGAGGTATTCAGGAATTTGTGTAAAGTGTTTTGAGACATACACCCCTCGTGAAAATCATGCAAATTATTATTGTAGTCTGAGGCCCAGCATTGAACAATATTTTAGGTGAGAATTCACATGGCCAGTCGAGAAAGTATTGGGTCTCTGGATACCAAACAACCTTTTGAGCATTAGCTACAAAAAATACCAATCCACTAACATAAGCTACATAAACTCCTCTCGCTCTCTGGAAATCATACTTTGCTTTGTTTAACTCCAGGAGAGAAGAGCTAATATTGTCTCATCTATACACACTACATTAACAAATATCTCTGTCAGTGATAGATTGATAACCAATTGTAAATTTACCTGATGACTTCTCTGTGAGACTCTGAATGTCATGAGTACCTGCTCTGTGGGACTAAAATCTGAGTGTCCTTCTCAACAATATAAGAGTAAATTCAAATAGTAACAAAATATAAATAATAATAATAATCCTTGCATTTGATATAGCGTTTTTCACGTCTTCTAGATGTCTCAAAGTGCTTCACAGAATATATTGTAAAGTGAATTAACTGTATATTCATGGGCAAAATGCGGCAGCCAATTGTGCACTGCAATGTCCCACAGATAGTCGTGGATTGAAGTGTCCAATTTATTGTTTTTTCTCTAAACAAAAAGTCTCAGTAGAAAAATATTACATTATTATTAATAAAATCTAAATTATTACTATTCATCTCACACAGCAGTATGACCAAGCATGCAACCGTTTTAATCTTGAATTGATAAAAACAAAAGTGCTAAGAGATTTTATAACTCCTTGAAAGTTCTGCTAATGGCCCAAACTGCATAAATGATCCCAATATGAAGATGTAATTTTTTTTCAAACATTGCTAAAGTACGATTCTTGTTTATTCAGCCAATGTGAACGGAATCCTTGCCCTATGAACAGCAGATCCTGCCATCACGCCCCCAAGACCATCTCTTTCCACTACCTGTCTCTACCCTCAAACCTGAACACTCCAGTCACCCTGTTCCGCATGGCCACAGCCGCTGCCCCAGGAAGGCCTGGACCTGACAGCTTACGGTTTGGGATTGTGGGAGGGAACAGCAGAGGGCAGTTTGTTGTGCAGCGTTCAGACAGACACACTGGAGAGCTCATTCTTGTTCAGCCCTTGAAAGGTCCTTGGGTGACAGAGGTGGATGTGGACATGTCAGAATACCTTGATCGCACTTTCCAGGCCAAGCATGTGTCAAGGATCACACTATTTGTCTCAGCAAATGAATTCTGAGAAAATCCTATGGACTGCCGCTACCCATTGGCACTTATTGTGAGAGAGGATTAATTAAGTAGTGTTTTAGAAGGCATTTCATCAGAGTCCAGGTGCCAAAAGCTGAGCAACGACACTTGCTGTCATGTTAAGACATGTACAAGAACTGACTTTTGAAACTCTGGAGTTGAAAACAATCTCACTGAGACTTATTGGTACTGAGCACTGCCAATGGGATGCATTGCTTGTAGTTACCTGAGGAGCATGTTAAATGTTGTGTTATAAAATCATTCAGCTGCTTGGATAGCTCACCAGTTTCTTACCATCACGTAACTAGGCCCATTGGAATTTGCCCTCCCAAATGTCAGATACTAACTCTACAACATCCCAGAAATCTCCACAAATCAATTGGGACAGACACAAGCAACAACAACTTGCATTTATATAGCGCCCTTCATGCGGGGTAGTGTCCCCTAGCACTTCAGAAGCCTACAAGTGCCTCACCAGAATACAGGTGATGAAGATCCCATTGATGTAATGCACAATGCAACCCCTGAAGGAGACTGACCAGATGCAGAATTCACCACTGCCCTTTGCATGTCTATCAACTTGTGCCTTTCTTTCAAACTTGGGACTGTCTAGTTTGAGTAAATTAATCTACTGTAACAACATACTGAGCATTACAATGCTGTGTTTACTCCACAACCTGCATTGAAGAGCTGACCTCCTGTCATATATAGTGAGAAATATAACTAACTTATTAACAAGCTGTGTTTTTCATCTAGTTGCAAAAATATCTATTACATCACTAAAATGCCTTGACTTCACTTAATGCTATAGCACGCATGTGGTATATGTTTAACGAAAGTAGATTTCTTACAACGAGTAAAAGCTAAATGTTATTAAAGTGATTATAGCTTTGCACAGACAGTCCTAAAAAGGTAACCTACAGAAAGCCTTCAATTGTGTGTGCACCATTTAGTTCTTTTAAATAAAATTATTAACACTGGAGCTTCAGCTGTCTGGCCCTGTTGATTTCCACTGATCCTTTGCAATGCTTCAATTCAAAGTGAGTATCTTTACTGAAAGCTGCACTGTACCACTTATACTAGGTCTACATTGTGGTGATTATAGCAGTGACTCCATTTGGTAAACTGAAGCATGTCACACTGACCTGTGGGAACTCTGCTCCGGAAATAAATCGATTCAGAGCAGAGTATCCGTGGGGTGGTGTGACCCACATCTGGTTTCCAGAAAGAATCCCCACTGCAATTTATAGTGTCAGCTTGGCTCACTCTTGTCTCTGAATCAGAAGGTTGTGGGTTCAAATCCCATTTTGGGACTTGAACTCACATAGTTTAAGTTGACACTCCAATGCAGAGCTGGTGTATGTTGCATTGTCGGAGGTGTCGTCTTTCGGATGTATTGTTAATCTGAGGTCCCGTGTGCGTGTTCAGGTGGACGTTAAAGATCCTATGGCGCTATTTGAAAAGAGAAGAAATGCTAGCCCATTATGCCAGCCAATAATCCCCTGAGTAAAATTGATCATTTGTTTCATGGCTGTCAGTGGGATATTGCTGTGCGCCACATTTGCCTACAAATACACAGTCACTCCAGTGAATCCAGTGAAACACTTTGAGCTGTCCTTCTGACAGCAACAACAACTTGCACTTATATAGCAACAACAACAAAATTACATTTATAGAGCACCTTTCACGTCAGGAGGATGTCCCAAAGTTCTGATGAGCGCAAATTTGTAGCACCCTCCATGCTGGGCAGCATCTCAGAGCGCTTAACAATGGTGAAGCCCAAGGCCAAGCCAGGGGGAGGGGGAAGGTGACTGTAGGCACGATCGAAGAAGAAGGTCTTCAGGCGCGACCTGAAGATGGGAAAGGAAGGGGCGAGGCGAATGGGTTGAGGGAGAGAGTTCCAAAGTTTTGGGGCGTACTGGCTGAAGGCAATGTGGCAGAGATGGAAGAAAGCGATGCTGGTCAGGGACCGGATGTGGGGGAGGAAGAATAACTGGGGATTGAGCCTGACCCCTAAGTTGTGCATGGGTTCGGAAAGTTTTAAGGACAGGTCGGATAGGTTGAGGAGGTCGGAACCTTGCGACAGAAGACATCGACGGGAGCCAAAGAGTATGGCTTCTGTCTTGTTGACATTTAACTGCAGGAAATTTGCTCTCATCCAGCTCTTGAGTCTGACAGACAAGCTGACAGAACATCAGGGGACTGGGGGTTGCAGCTGGAAGTGGAAAAGTAGAGTTGAATGTCATCTGCAAACATGTGGAAGTTAACCCCGTGTTGCGGATGACATCACCGAGAGGGAGGATATATATGAGGAGGAGAAGGAGCCAAGGGTGGATCCTTGGGGTACCCCACAGGTGACCCATAGAAACGAGAAGAAAGCCATTTGCAGAAATGTAGTGCTGGCAGTTTGTAAGGTAGGATTCGAACCAAGTGAGTGCGGTCCCACTGAGGTGGATGATGGAGGACAGGTGATGGAGGAGGATGTCAAACACAGCAGAGAGGAGAAAGAGGCAGAGTGAGCCCTGGTCACAGATAGAGAGGATATTGTTTGTGACTTTCACGAGCCTTGTCTGTACTGTGGGCAGGACAGAAACTGGACTGGAAGGGTTCGAGTAGGGTGTGGAGGGAGAGGTGTGCGCGAAGTTGGTTGGCAACAATGTGTTCCAGACCATTGGCAAGGAAAAGCAGGTTTGAGATAGGGTGGTAGTGGCCGAGATTGGAGATCGAGGGTAGATTTTCTTTAATAAAATGGGGGGGGGGGGGGGTTGATGCCCACAGTTTTGCGGGCGAGTGGGACTGATCCTGAGGAGAGAAACTGGTTAATAGTGTCTGCCAGCAGTGGGCGAGGAGGGGGAGCTGAGTGATCAGCAGTTGGGTGGGGAGGGGGTTGAGGCAGCAGGTGGTGGGTTTCATTGTGGTGATGGTGGATGAGAGGGAAGGAGAGATGGGGGCAATGAATGTAGGATGGGGGCCGTGGTATTTACTGAGGGTAGGGTGGGTGAGAGATGGAATGGAGGTGGTGGTAGGCGACACGGGGCAGAAGTTTGAAGCTGCCAGGCAGATGTTATCAATCCTAGAGGTAAAGAAGTCCATGACCTCCTCATATTGGCGTTAGATGTGATGATTGAGGGTGCCTGAGAGGGCAAACGGAGGAGTTGTTGGGCTGGGAAAATAGGATTTTCGAGTTATTGTTGGCCTCCAGTATGATTTTTGGGTAGTGCGCAGTTTTTGCTTACTACAGGGAGCAGTGGTAGGTTTGAAGATGCTCGAGCCACAGCTGGAACTGTGAGGCTTGTTTTCTGCCACCTGCGCTCAAGCAACCGGGTTTGGGATTTTAGGGAGCAGAGATGGCTGTTGTAACAGGGGGAGTGGGTGGGTTTGGAGACTATCCTGGATTTCAGGGGGACGAAGGAGTTGAAGGTGGAAGAGGGGCAATCATGGAGCAGCTTGACGGCTGCTTCAGGGTCACTCTGGGTGGAAGGCCAGAGGGATAGGAGGTATGAGGATGAAAGGGTCTTTGTGAGGGTCTTGGGGGAAGCTTTTTCCATGGGAGGAAAAGTATGGTTGAGGGCTTGATGGAGGAGAGAGGGATGCGAGAGGAGAGGGAGATGAGGAAGTGGTCCAAGATGGTTTTGTCCATGATTGACAAGTCAATGACAAGGCCATATGTGTGACGCGGGTGGCCATGGTTGTGGGTCACTGAGTTGATGTGGAGGGTGTGGTTTAGGGAGGAAAGGAGGGCAGTGAAATCCGACGAGGTGGTGCAAGGGAAGTTTAGGTGGAGTTGAAGTCGCCCATTATGAGCAGGCGTTCTGAGCAGAGGGACAGGGAGGAAAGGAGAGCGGAGATATTGGAGAGGAAGGAACCAGGGGGTCTTGGGGATGGTAAACCAGGGAATTTGATTGAGAGAGAGGAGGGATGGTAGAGGGTGAAGTGCTCAAATGAAGAGAAGCAGCCAAGGAATAAGGGGATAGACCAAGTGAAGCTTGGGAGATGAGGGCTACCCCACCACCACATTGGTTAGAGCGGGGGGTGTGGTGGAAGGTGTAGTCAGGAGGGAAGGCTTCAACTAAGGGAACGGAGTCACTGGGGGAGAGTCAGGTTTCCAAAGCCCAAGAATATCCATGTGCTTATTTAGGATGAAGTCATGGATCGTGAAGGCTTTATCGGAGAGGGAGCAGACATTTTGTAGGGAAATGGGGATGGGTCTGCTGGTGGGGTTGGAGGAGAGAGTGACATGGAGAGGATTTGGGGTCGTGGGGGAGCGATGACTGTGGAGTTTGAGGAGGAGGGAGAGTTGGAGAGGGTATGGATGGGGGAGGGGGAAGGGGTGTTTTGCTTTTGGAGACGGTTGGTGCAGAGAGAGTGAGGACAGTTGGGGTGGCTGCTCTGGGTCAACCAACACCGGGTCCGGCGGAGGATGCCCAACCTGGAGCAGAAGGGGTTAATGGTGGGGTCCAGGAGAGAGAGGAGGGCGGTGGAAGAGAAGGGCAGAGTAGGAGTAGCGGATAGAGGGGGGTAAGAGGAGGAGCATTTCCAGGGAGAGTGGCTCGGGTCGGGGCAGCAGCCAAAACGCGCACACAGAGACCTGTAGTGAGTGATCAGCGGGACAGCATCAGCCCGTGGGCTACAGGAGACAGCGCAGGGGTGGGGAGGGGGAGGGGTGGGATGCTCAGCAGAATTTCAGCAAGGGAGACACAACCCTGACAGCTGTTGATGTCACAAAATAACCGAAATCATGAACATACTATTATTTGCCTGCTTATGCATCCTTCTTTGCAGAGTCAAAGGAGAACGTACTACAGTGGTAAGCCATTCTCCTCTAAACTATTTGTGCTTTGCCATAAAAACATGGAAATATTCACTTCATCAGTGGTTTCGTCATTGTGGGGCAATTAGCACAACATTTATATGTGAGAGAAACAAAACTGGAGTCTTGAAACTACGTAGGAGCTCATACATTATCTCGTCGATTGTGACAATTCAGCACCACAGAAACTCATTCATAACCCTGTCAATTGTGACAATTTCACAATACAATTTTCTGAACATATTTAACAGAGCTTTTTTGTATCAATGGATTTTGAATTTAATCTGGAACTTGTTACTCTCCTTTGGATGGATTCTAATGGTGAAAATCTGTAAAACACTGTCAGTGTGAGAGTAGCAAGTATCAAGATTATATTCAAAATCCATTGATACAAAAAGCGCCATTAAATATGCTCAGAAAATTGTATTGTTAAACTGTCACAACTGACAAGGTTATGAATCAGCTTTTGCTCATTGATTGGGAGTCCTGTAATGTAATGGTTAGAGCACTCGCCTCGCAAGCGAGAGGACCCGGGTTCGATTCCCGGTGTGGTGAAACCTTAGGCAAGTTTTCTTACTCCACATGCCTCTGTTTAGCAGTAAATAGGAACCTGGTTGCTAGTTGATTGCTGGGGGTAATAATCTCTCAAATAATTTGGTCACTCAATCCACGACTGTTCGTGGGATACTACTATGTGACGCGTTTCACCCCACAAAATACACAGTCATTCCACTTTACAACATATTCTGTGAAGCTCTTTGAGACATCTGAACAATGTGATAAGGCACTGTATCAAATGCAAGGATTATTATTATTATTAAGTGTATTATTTAATAGTGAACCCATTAAAATAAAATAGAGCATTTAGAGCGTCAACATCTTTCAATTCTTAAAAGTTCTCAAAGCATGCAGAATTAATCCATTGAATTGATGTTTGCCAACCACATAAAATAACTTCATAATCTTCATTTTGAATTCACAAATGACTCGGTATTTGCCAACTGAGACTAATTCAAGTTTGGAAAAACTCATAATGGAAAAGTACACACAATCTCCATTTATAGGCACATATAGATTTGATTGAAATGTGTGCGCTTAGCATTCTGACATAAACCAAATTTCTTTTAAGAATAAGGCTTACAGTAAGCATATTGTAAAGCTATCTTATGAAG